ACACATAGGCAAATTTTATTTTTTATCATCAAAATTTTTTATTAATAAAACCCAATATAGACAGCTACATAGGAATTGAAGCCAAATATTTTTTTTTACTTACATTTTAACAACAAAATAAGTGTAAGTAAAAAAATAATTAATGTAAACTCACAACACATATCTCATACGTAGATAGCAAAATGCTGAGATGAGCTGAAGCACCGCCGGTTGAAGAAACACCATGAAACTTCATCGGAACACTCAAAGATCTTCAATTAATCATGGAATACGTCAAATCCGAGATGCCTACAAACACAAAAAAAAACAGTTTTGTAAAACCTGAATGCAGATGCTTCAAAACTTCTTTCACTATCAGTATTGGGTAATAGAAAAGACTCGATGTGAAAAGAAAACAGATCATTCATCATTCGACTCTGTTAAATCTTTTTGTTAAATATTTATGTTCTTAAGAAGGAGCTCATGACCAAGAGAGGAAGAGAATTTTGGAACACAAATCCGACATAATTTGGATTATAAAATCGAAAGGAGATTAAAGAAAAACAAAACACAACAAAATTATCCAACAAAATGGAAATAGAAAAATCTGACTAAACAAAAACGAAAGATTCATCTAAGCGGAAATTATACATACAAAAAATAGGCCTTGTCGGAAATTGTCTCCCTTCCTAAAAGAAAATAGAGAGAGAGCTCAGTCCAATAAGTAATTTGACAGATAGATAAAAAAAAATTGTTTACAATATCCAAAAATTATATTAGCAGAAATTTCAAAATATAAACAAAATGTTTAGCAAATGAAAACCCCATTAAGCTTATTTTTAATCAAAGAAACCCCATTAAGATATACTTTGGATTTTATGTTTTTGATTTTTTTTTTGTCTTCATTTGTTTGGAAAATCTCCAACTTGTTCAACATTTTCTCCAACTTTATTCCGTTCAATTATGTTTGTTTTTTCAATTTTTTATTTCCTTGCTCTCTCTCTCTAAATCTTTTGATTAGGGTTAGATCGAGTGAAAAGTTTCAATTCTACTTCTTTATCTACTAGTTTCATCTACTCATTTAGATCGGGAAATTTTCTTTCTTAAAAAAGGTTTTTTATGGCTAAGAAAGACAAAATCATTATATTTGATGAATAGTGGCAACTTTGTGGGGAAGAAGAATTTTCTAACCATGGGTCTATTCTGGAGATATGGTGGTTCTTGAAAGAGATTGAAAAAGATTTATAATAGCACTACAACGATGAAGTTTCTGAAAGTTGAAGCTTTGTCCCGGATGTTAAAGACGGATGCGTCGATAAGATATTCAATTACAGTAACACCAAATGCTATAGAGTTTAAGTTGTATTTAGGCTTGGGTTTAATGTTTTGGGCTTTTTGTATTTGCCTCTTACTCCTATAATATGCCCTATGGCTTATTAATTAAAATATATCTAAATATGGTGTGAAGTTTGAAGGTTTGAGATATACATGTGAGTGTGACTAGTGTTTAAACTAAAGACATGAGAAAAGTAAAAAACCCCCAATAATTTTTTATTTATTAAAATTAAATAATTTTATACTTTGAAAAGGAGAGAGTACACCAAATTATAATTAGTTATCAAAAGAATGATTATTTTTAATCAAGTTATTGTATTTTTTTTTTTTGTGCGAAAGACTTTCATTAATGGGCTTAAATAAGGTTCATCAGGCGAAGCCCACTCTTTGCCAAGAAGTCGGCTTCAAGATTATCCTGTCTTGGTACATGCAAAAATGAAAAGCTTGAGAAAGAAAGAGATAGAGAAAGGATGTCAAAGGTGATTCCATGGAGAAATTTGTTGGTCGATTCTCCATTGATTGTCTTGACCAGTTCCAGCGAATCGGAGAACGCGGCGACGTGGTGCATCTTCAGATCGGCTGCATGTCGGAGAGCCTTTTGGAGGGCAACATCTTCAGCTAAAACAGGGGATCTGATAAGCCGGCAGGAGTCAGATCCGTGGGTCTTGATCCCTGATAAGGCTTGTGAGATAGTCCATCCGAAACCTGCTGCTCGAGATTCCTTGTCCCATGCCGCGTCAGAGAATATGATTGCCGTTGAATCCGGGTAAGACTTCTGCTGTGTTGATCTTCTATAGGTTATCATGACTGGTTCTTGGTCCGCTCCCTCATTGGCTTGGGATTCCTGGGCTTGATGCCATTCTTTCACATCGCCAATGGCTTTTGTGATTGCTTCTGCAGCCGAGAACACTCGATTCCTGAAGATTTTGTTGTTCCTGGCAGACCAGATGGCCCAGCAGATCCATGGGTAGATCGGGTAAATTCCGGTTGATGTGGAGTAGGCCTGCTCTTTCACTAGCTGCAATCTTTGGAGGGGAGATGTGATCTGATTCAAGTTTAAAGGTCGAGTGAAAGGGGCCAGGGACCATACCTGCTTGGCAAAGGAGCAGTTGAACAGCATATGGACTACAGATTCGGAGTTAGGACAATGAGGGCACTCGTAAAACGATGAAGTTATGCGCTCCATCAGTTTTTCTCCCACTGGGAGGGCCCCTTGAAAGATTTTCCACAGAAAGAGTTGGACTTTTGGAGCAGTCTTGACGCTCCAAACGTCTTCTTGCCAGTTAGGTAACCGGTTGATGTGATCTGGGCTTGGGGGTGTTACCGGAGTCGACACCGCTTCGAAGTAGCCAGATTTTGTTGTGTACTCCCCGTTGGGTGTGGGGAGCCAGACGTACTTGTCTTGCACTCCTGAGGAGCTCGGGATGATCTGTAAGATATCCGTTTTATACATCGGTAAGATTGCTCATACTCTGTCGAGCTTCCATTCTGCGAAGTTTTCCTGAATCAGGTGATCAACTGTGATTTCTTGTAGATGGGCAGGAGCAGGACCCATTGGAGCTGTTGGTTCTTCGATGGCTGTATACTTATGAATGAATATTTGAAAGTTTATTAAGTTTTTGAAAGCAGAAATATTATATTATCAAAGATACTAATTGAAAAAATTGACAACCGCCTAAATCTCGACCAGTGACTATGATTTGATGGATGAAAGAAACACTGATATGATTTGGAGAACGGGAGGAATGGCGACATTGTGAAGCCATTGTTGTAGCTACTAGACTTGTTTCTAGCATATGTAAGAGAAGAAGAACTGAAGAAAAACAAAGTTATAAGATGTGATTAGAAATTGACCATCAGTCAATTAAATACGAGCTTTAAATATTTGACATGATTATTTAGTTTCTTTCGATATGTTTTGTACCTTTTTTTTAATTTCTAGAGCTCAAAGTAGCGATATGGTCAATACATAAATTTAAGTTGTGGTAAATATGTAAGCTAATATGAATTGTTGTTTCATTTGTGGTTTTTCACTAAATATTTATTTTTAAAAAAAATACTAAAGAAATATTAATGTTAAAAAATTTATTTTAGTTAGTGTAAGAAAAATATATATTAAAAGTTTCATAATCAAAAATAAGAATATAATCAGCGTGTAGAGAAATTTATGATCATAAGTGAACTTATAATAGTAAAATTGCGATTTCTCAGTTTAGATGAGAATGCAATTTTTTTGGTTTTTGAAGATTAATGTAATTTTTTGGTTATTGCAAAAAACGCAATTTCATGATTTAAGCGGAAAAATGCAGTTTGACAGTTTTGTCGAGAAAATAGGATTTCTTGGATTTGGTGGGATTTTCTTGATTATGACAGAAAAATGTGATTTCTCGGTTTTGGTGGGAAAATACAATTTTGATGGGAAAATGCAAGTTAACGGCTTTGGCGGGAAAACGTAATTTCTCGATTTTGATGAGAAAATGTTATTTTTTTGTTTTGATTAGAAAACATGATTTCTCAATTATACTGGAAATGTGATTTTAAGAGTTTGGAAAAAAATAAATTTTTTCAGTTTTGGTTACAAAAAACATAATTTTGTAGTTTTGTAGAAAAACATGATTTTGTTTATTTAATTTTTTGTTTAGAAGTATTTTAGTCATTTATTATTTTGGACTAAAACATATCCATCCAAATGGTCTAATTTGATTCATCCATATGATTCTTATAAATTTATCTAAATCTTAAAAAAAAATCATCTAGATAATTCATCTGAATGTTAATTTTGTTACAAAACAAACAAAATTCTTATTTTTATTCAAATGAACCATATATATGGAGAAATAAGTAGGGTCTAAATATAAAAATTATGCTAATAAAAATAAATATAATATTTATTTACACTGTAAAAAGATATAAAATTTAGAATAACATTCCACAGCGTATCGCAGATATTTACCTAGTTTGTTTTATAATTATACAAACTCTTGTTTAATAAACGGTTTCAATCGTATATTTAAGATGTTGAAATGATTAATTTTATTGATTGAATTAAATGGAATTAGTTTAAGCAGGGTTTTGATGTTGTCTAGGCAGCAAAGAGTTTGAAATAGTGTTTTAGGGAATTGAAAAAAATGAGAATGAAGATGGTAATCTAGATTTTGTTGACATTGAATGGATCGTTATTTTAATTGAGCTATATAAATTATCAAGATTGATACTGAAATTTTTTTTCTGATAATAATTGTTTTAAATATGGTGCGGTGTTTAATTTGTTTCATAGTTTATGTGTATATATGTATTATAAAAATATATAATGGCTCCGAACACATACCTTTTTTGTAGGTTTCGTTTCTAAATATTTTGATTTTATAGATCTCCCTACGATTGTATACAATCTAATATACAATGCAATACATGTAAAAAGAGAAATATATCGCAAATACAAAAAGATTATAATCATGCAACTTAGAGTAAAACTTATATATATTTTTCTTAAATATATGATATTATTCCTTATATTTTATTTGTTTTTTAGTATCACATGACATTTTCATAGCCTAAATATTATAGATATTTTACCGATTATGCTTTATACTTATGTTTACTATAAAATGCAACTTCCTCATACGAATTGTTACAAGTTAGTTCTAATCATCATAGCTCTGCTTTCTTTTCTTTTTAAATTCTAGTTTTTTTCGTTTAAAATTCCTAAAAAAAATGAAGAACTTTATGCAATTAATCTGTACATTCTTCTTCGTAGCCATATTGTTTACGACGCCAGGTATACAAGTTCAATTTCCCACAAATATTAAATTATAACCAAAGCTACTAATACAAGTTCAACTCTGTGATCATAAATTTAAATTATTACTGAATAAGAAAAATGTATTATTTTTTAGGTGTGAAAATGGTTCAAGGACAACGAATGTGCGAAGCAAAAAGCCTAAATTTTAGAGGAATGTGTATGAAGTGGAGGACTTGCAAATTCGTATGTCTAAGTGAAGGTTTCACTGATGGTCGATGCGAAGGATTTATCCGTCATTGCATCTGCAGGAAACCTTGCATGGTTTCTACTTGAACTAAATTTAATTATTGGCAATAGCTAAAAAACAAAATGTCTAGTTATTAGAGTTATTAAAATAACAAAATACGTGTATTCGAGACTCAATTTTAATATAATACTTACTAGCTTTGGTCATTTGATCACTATCGCTTATACATTTCTTTTCATCAATTTAAGATCTAAATTTTAATCATGCATCAAGTAAGTAAACTAAGTTCAATGAAACTTGGAGCCTAACATATCATCAATCCATTAATAAAAAAGAAAGTGACTATGAACATTAAACCCTTCCCTTGAGAGATGGTTTCATTCGACAAAACAAAGGTTTTCGTTTGATTTTAGTGGAAGTACACATGTGGCTGATGCGTAAATTTGCTTTGATTTTTCTTTCATAAATAAGAAATTTGTAATCGGACTGAAAAGGTTCATATAGAAATTTGGAGTTCATGTACAGTGTCTGTTACGTATACAGATAAGAACATCGAGAATTCTTGTTTGCAAAAACTTCTGTCACAGAGTTGGAGCAAAAGAGAGATACAAGATATGGAACTCAACGTTCCATGTAGTGCTCTCCAAAAACTTCATTCATCAACCTGTAAAAACAAGAATAACTAACTACATTGATCACCCGAAATGATGAAAGAAAAACGCAGAGTACACAGAAAGGATCGAGGATTTCAAGACTGTTACCCAGATCAAGTGTCAATTTTTTTGAATCAAAACTTGGAGCGGCTAAAGTGTAAACAAAATTAGTCAAAAATTAGAAAAGCTTATATATTTTACTAGTTACAACCTAAACTATTTGAAAGTGTTGGCGCATGATGGATTTCTATTTTGGAGTTGAAACAGAATCTAAAACTTTTTAAAAAAATTACATAGGTTTTCTCAGAAACTGATTTGAAAGTGCGTTGAAAACTTATATTTTTGTTTAAAAAGCTTAGGTTTTCATTTCAAAAGTGTGGTGTTGTAAATAGATAGAAATCTTAAGGTTGTGTTTGATATATTCTAACTAAAAACTCAAAATCTAATTTTCTGATTTTGCAGTTGCATACACTATTATTTGTGTTACAACTTACAATTATACAAACTCTTGTTTAAAAAATGGTTTGAATCATATATTTAAGATGTTGAGAATGAATAATTTTATTAATTGAATTAAATGGAATTAGTTTAAGCAGGGTTTTGATGAATTTTTTCTCTTGGCTGCCAAGGGTTTGAAATTGTGTTTTAGGGAATCAGAAAAATGACAATGAAGATGGTGATCTAGAATTTTTGACATTGAATCGATCATTATTTTTATCGAACTATATAAACATTGATACTGAATTGGTTTTTCTGATAATAATTGTTTTAAAATAATCTGTGGTGTATAATTTATTTCATAGTTTAAGTGTATATATGTATTATAGAAATATATTAGGTGATCAGCGTGCACTGTGTACAGGTTATAAAATATTTTATATGTTTAAATATAATTAATATAGTATTAAAGATATTTTATTTATATATGATTAATTATGTATTAATACTAAAATAATAAATATATAATAAAAAAGTAATGATAAATTAAATATAAAATATTATATATTTCAATAGAAAATGAAGATAAAAAACTTATTAACTAAGATTTTAAAATATTTCGTTAGATAAAAAATGTAAATATGATAACTAAATAAACAAGAAAACATTAAAATATATAATAATTTATTTATTTTTTATTTTTGGCTTGTGTGCACAAGTATAATGTTTTTATAGACATAATTAGTGGTAATATATAATATTGATTAATTTCGTGTACATTATGTAAATGTTATGTTTTTTACATATACAATTTTAGTGTTTAATAACTATCACACAAACGTTTCATATTGTTTTGTGTCTTTTGAAATTTTTTTTATTTTTCATAGTGTTTACAGTAACATATAATTACAAATATCAAAAATTATATTAAATAATAATTAAATTCTCATAATATGTTTTAAATATACATTTTTCCTTGATATTTCGCTAATTAAACCAAAATAAATTTTACCATATTTATTTATTAAAAGGACATATAAAGATTAAAAATATATATAAACTGTCTAACAACTAAAATTAAAATTAGAGTATAATCGAAGTTAATAAAATGTATGCACGATAAGTTTGCATGCAAATTCGACTTTTACACAATTAGTATTTATATCTACACGTACACTTGTAAGAAAATCAAAGTATGTCGTTTATGTGTTAAAATAAAATAACAAAGTATATGTTTTGTAATAGTAATAAGTATATCTATGCATGTAGGTATGATGTAAAAATAAGTGAATTATAATATTTATGTGTTGATAAGTTTTTTTCTGGTATTTTCCGCAAACTTTATGTTTTTACACGATGCAGTTATTGGCGTTTAACAACAATCACAAAAACCATTCTATCGTTTTGTATTTGATCAAAGTTTCTTATTTTTCAGTGTTTGATGATATATGATTTCTCAATAAAAATATAATAAAAACTTATTATAAAATTTGTGAAATCATATTTTATAAAATTTTCCGGTTGCTCTCCGCTCATCTCTTCGTCAAATTTTTATAATCCGCAATCGCTCGCTTTCATAAATACTCTGCAACCGAATCGTTTAAACCAATCGGATCTAGATTTATATATGTATGATTTAAGGTGTAAAATAATATATTTAATATATGATTGTTATTAAAAATAAGAGTTAATCTGTTCCTAACTTTAATATGTTTCACAACATATACAAAACTTGTTTCATGAAATAATGTTTTAATATGTAAGAAAAAATATATGCATGAAAGAATTAATGTGTAAGATAATATTTTTAAATATTTCAAATAAAAACTTTTAATCGATCAAAATTATTCTTATTTGATTTTTTATCTTCTTTGACTCATACTTTTTTCTAAACCTTTATTAATATATTAAACATTAAGATCATCTCCAATATATTTTTATATTCTTTTCTTCTAAAATATAAGTTGGACTTCTCACCAACTTATTTCTATTTTATAAGAAATAACAACTTTTTCCCTCTAAATTAGACGATTTAAAATAAAAGTAGGTTGTATATACTTTAAACCAAAAATATAGCCTGCAACTTTTACATAAAACCAAAGTCGTAAAGATCATTTTTACTTTCACTTCTTTTTTTTATTCATATATACAATAATATAATAAAAAAAAAATTAGTTAAGAGGATATTTATAATTTATTTTTCTATCTGATTTTTTTTTTTGTTTCATTTATAATTTCGTTCTTACTATATATTGAGAATTCATTCATATATGATATAAACTAAACTTTTTATTTAAAAATGAGATTTGTTTACTTTTAACTTAACCAATCAAAATATTTCGTTTATTTTATGAAATTTTTCATATAACATTTATGAGGTGACATTGTTTTGCTCTAACTGTTTTTAAAGTGTTGACACATAAGATTTTTTTGGTAAACTTGCTTCTCAAATACTTCCTCCATTTCACAATATAAGTTGTTTTGAAGATTTGTTTTTGTTTCATAATATAAGTTGTTTTCAAATTTTTAGATAAAAAAGTAATACTTTAATTAATAAAAAATAATTCAAAAAGTTAAAAATAAAGATATAATGTGATTTAATAGTATTTTCTTACTCTAGTTAAGTATTATTGATTTCTTATTAACAAACTAATGATTGTTTTTTAGAAAACCTATAAAGCAAACAATGTAAAAATACGTGTGTTTTAACTCAAAACAAATTATATTTTGGAACAGGAGTAATAGTTAGGATAATGGCTCCAACACATACCTTTTTTTTTAAGTTTCGTTTCTAAACATTTTGATTTTATAGATCTCCCTACAATTGTATACAATCTAATATACAATGCAATACAAGTAAAAAGAGAAATATATCGCAAATAAAAAAGAATATAATCATGCAACTTAGAGTAAAATTTATATATTTTTTTCTTAAATATACTATATTATTCCCTATACTTTATTTGTTTTTTAGTATCACATGACACTTTCATAGCCTAAATATGTATATAGATATTTTACCGATTATGCTTTATACTTGTGTTTACTATAAAATGCAACTTTCTCATATTAATTGTTAAAAGTTAAGGGATGTATTGAAACTAAATTTTTACAAAATTTAAAAAGATTTGAGTTTTAATGAAATTTTAGGGAGATATTGAAACTGAAATTTTAGAAGACTTTGTGGTTATTTAAAAATTCTATGTTATTCAACTAATGATTTCTAAATGCCTTACCAAAATCTATGTTATTGAATATGAAATTTATATAAAACCAATTAAAATCATTTCAATATTCATGTTATTCAATGAAGAATTTGTTAAATCTAAATCGAATCCACTGTTATAGGAAATATTTTAAATAGTGGATTTTACAAAATATTGAGTATTTTTAAAAGATTTGGTGAAATTAGTTAGCAAAAAATATAGCAAAACTAAATCAAATCCACTATTTAAAATATTTCCAATAACAGTGGATTTGATTTAGTTTTTACAAATTATTCATTAAATAACATGGATGTTGAAGTGATTTTTATTGGTTTTATATAAAATTCATGTTCAATAACATAGATTTTGGTAAGACATTTAAAAATCATTACTTGAATAATATAGAATTTTTAAATAACCACAAAATCTTCTAAAATTTCAATTTTAATACATTCCCTTTAGTTATAATTATCATAGCTCTACTTTCTTTCTCTCTAAGTTCTAGTTCTTTCGTTTAAAATTCCTGAAAACAATGAAAAACGTTATGCAATTAATCTATACGCTCTTCTTCGTAGCCATATTGTTTACGACACCAGGTATACAAGTTCAATTTCCCACAAATATTAAATTATAACCAAATCTACTAATACATGTTCAACTCTGTGATCGTAAATTTAAATTATAATTAAATAGCAAAAATGTATGATTTTCTAGGTGTGAAAATGGTTAAAGGACAACAAATGTGCGAAGTAAAAAACCTAAAATTTAGAGGAATATGTATGAAGTGGAGGACTTGCAAGTTCGTATGTCTAAGTGAAGGTTTCCGTAACAATCTGGGTCCGGCTCATTTGAATAAGTTTAAATGGATTGATTTGGTTACATATGTCATCAAAATGCACTTATCTTTTTAGTTAGTAGGCTTGAGAAAATTCCAGAGTTAAGTGTGTTTGAACTGGAGCAGGACTAGGATGGGTGACATTTCGGAAAGTAATTCCCAAAACCGTGTGAGTGAGGCCAAAACACGGAGAAAGATCATGTGGTGATTGCAGGGTCAGTAAATATGTCGGTTGGGCTCCGGGAAAAATAACGCACCGGCTGTCGGACAGGGGCGGAGCCCACGAGCCTGATGAAGGGATGGGTGACTCGCCGGTATGGGCGGTCGGGGGCATTACAGTGGTATCATAGCTTTGGAAGTTAAACTGGTTCTGTCCCAGGAGACTGTCTCGGGGTTTGGGAGTTAATGCTCACACTGTCAGGATCATAATTCAGGGACAAATTCCCGTTTGGTGGGGGAGAATTGTAACGACCCGAGCCTGACTCATTTGAATAAGTTTAAATGGATTGATTTGGCTACATATGTCATCAAAATGCACTTATCTTTTCAGTTAGTGGGCCTGAAAGAACTCCAGAATTAAGCGTGCTTGAGCTGGAGCAGAACAACGATGGGTGACTTTTCGGGAAGTGATTCTCGAAACCGTGTGAGTGGGGCCATAACACGGGGAAAGATCATGTGATGATTGCAGGGTCAATAAATAAGTCGGTTGGGCTCCAGAAAAAAATAATGCACCGATCGTCGGACAGGGGCGGGGTCTACAAGCCCGACAGAGGGATGGGTGACTCGCCGGTAGGGGCGGTCGAGAGTGTTACAATTGTAATGACCTGGGCCCAGCCCATTTGAATAAGTTTAAATGGATTGATTTGGCTACATATGTCATCAAAGTGCACTTATCTTTTCGGTCATAGTCCCGAGAGAAGAAACTAACAGACATAGGAGAAGATGAGGGAGATGATCTGTAGAGAAGCTCAACACTGTCGTCCCCGGAAAAACCAGATCTAGGATTGCTAGAGAGAAGGAGAGAAGAAGAGAAAGAAGAGAGAGGAAGGAGAGAAAGAAGAGAGAGAGAAGAGATTAAAAATATAATTTTTAGTTTATTATGTCACATTTTAAATTTTGTAGAAGTAAAAAAACACATATTGTTATTTTACAATTTTATTTTATAATGGCAATTTCGTTATATAATAGATATTTTGGAGTTATATGTCTTTCTCCAACTTTGTAAGGTTATTATACTTACTCTTATATAGAAGGATGTTAATCTAGTCAATACCCTATTTAGTAAGGTTATTCTAGGTAAATAACTCTAGTATTACATGACATTTTCATAGTCTAAATATGTAGGGAGGATTACTAAAATATACTTTTAAAAAAGGATTTGGACTAGAACAACCGAAATCTTTTTTTTATTACTGAACTAACCTGCATATCTATTATGCTCTTCAAGCTTTTGATGACAAAAACAGTATTTACGATTGTATCATTACTTTTTCCTTGCAACGTAGGCGACACGTTTGATGGTAGACTTATTATTTTTGATCAACAAATAGTATATTTGTTTTATGCTGGAGAATTTGATAGACTTGTCTTTATCAATAAAGTAGTTACAAGGTGGTAGATTTGTTGAAGAATGGTAGATTTGTTACAAAATGGTATACTTAAAAATATTGATGAAATATTTAATTTTTTTAACTCTTTTTTCTTAACAGCCTCATATTTCTAGAACGACTCAGATATCTAAACCGATGGAATTTTTTTGACCCTTAGATGGGGGGAATCTGTGATGGCTATTTGACTTTTTCTGTTCATTGACTTTTATGATAATAGCTTTAATTTATATTTGGTAAATTTATTTTACAGTTGGTACTTATTTGATGATATGGTAGACTTGTGTCTGGAAAACAGTATTTGCAAGAAACCTTGCGTGATTTATTATGTCACATTTTAGATTTTGAAAAAACAAAAAAAAATAATTATTGTTATTTACAATTTTATTTTATAATGGCAATTTTGTTATATAGTAGATATTTTGAAGTTATATGTCTATCTCCAATTTTGCTAACTTATTATAGTTACTCTCATATAGAATGGTGTTAATTTAGTCAATACCTTATTTAGTAGATAAATAAGTCAAATATGTATGTAGAATGCTTTATACTTGTGTTTACTATAAAATGCAGTTTCCTCATACTAATTCTTACAAGTTAGTTCTAATATCATAGCTCTACTTTCTTTCTCTCTAAATTCTAGTTTTTTTGTTTAAAATTCCTAAAAAAAATGAAGAATTTTATGCAATTAATCTATACACTCTTCTTCGTAGCCATATTGTTTACGGCGCCAGGTATACAAAGTCCAGCTTCCCACAATATTAAATTATAACCTAATCGACTAATACAAGTTCAACTCTGTGATCAAAAATTTAAATTATTATTGAATAACAAAAATGTATTATTTTTTAGGTGTGAAAATGGTTCAAAGACCACAAATGTGCGAAGCAAAAAGCTTAGATTTTAGAGGAATGTGTGTAAAATGGAGGACTTGCAAATTCGTATGTCTAAGTGAAGGTGAAGGTTTCACCGATGGTCGATGCGGAGGATTTATCCGTCATTGCATTTGCAGGAAACCTTGCGTGGTTTCTACTTGAACTAAATTTAATTATTGGGAAAATAGCTATTAAACAAAATATATAATTATTAGAGTTATTACAAGAATAAAGTACGTGCATTCGAAACTCAATTTTAATACAGTACTTACTGCGTTGATCATTTGGTCAATATCGCTTATTGTAAGAGGTTTTCGTTTGATTTTTGTGTAAGTACACACGTGGCTGATGCGTAAATTTGCTTTGATTATTCTTTCATAAATAAGGAATTTGTAATCGGACTGAAAAAGTTGATATTTAAATTCGGAGTTCCTGTACAGTGTCTGTTACGTATACAGATAAGAGCATTGAGAAGAAACTCTCAGTATTCTTGTCTGCAAAAAGTTCTGTCACCAGCAGAGAGATAAGATTGTTACAAGATATAAAACTCAATGTTCCAAGAACTTCATTCATCAACCTGTAAAAACAAGAATATATAACTACATGGATCACCCGAAAAGAAGAAACAAACAAAAAAAACGCAGAGTACACAAAAAGGATAGATGCTTTCAAGACATTTACTCAGATCAAGTGTCAAAATCTTTGAATCGAAACTTACGAAAAGCAAATCAGATAGTCCGCTGGTCTAATGATTGTGTCAGTTTGGTTAATGAAAAACAATGGCTTAAAGAACTTACATTAGCTGTGTTTTAGCCACCGATGTGAATCATTGGTCTATTAGCTGTCTTGGCGATGTCAAGCATTCCAGCGTGTGCGGCTTTCTTCCTCTTCACCTGAAACCCCCATTGTGAAATCTTATGCCTCAAAACACAAACCAGTCTTTGAAGAAAACAGATGAAAGATTTTGTAAAGATATGTTAAAACCAGATGAAGCAACTAAATATACATACAGCAGCGCCTATAATTTCCCTTAGCGCTTCGTCATCAGCACCAGAGCGGAGAGGATCTCTTAAACTAACCTGCTTACAAGAAAGTTACAGTGTCCTTAACGTTGTTGAGAAGAAACCAAGTGAATGAGATGTTCTCAGCCATTTGAATCAATAAGAATCGGTTTTCAGTAACGAAGAAAAAGTTTGGAAATTTAGTTTTTACCTCTGAAGGGCCGAACAAGCACACTTTGAAGTTCCCATCTGCAAGTAATCTTAATCTATTGCAGCCAGAACAAAAGTGTTCCGTCATGGATGTGATGAAAGATACAGAACCGCAATGCCCATCGATCGTAAAGTTCTTAGCTGTTTCAGTCCGGTGATCTTGCATACGTTTTATACTCGGAAAACGCTTTACCTGTTACCATAACAACTTAAACCAATCATGAAACTGCTCTCAAGGAAACGTCAATGAATCTCATAAAAACATGGCCAAAACATTGAGAGAAATCTACCTTACCACTTTATCCATCACTTCTGCATAAGGCACAAGTTTCTTTACATTCCAAACATTCCCATCAAAGGGCATAAACTCGATGAACCGGACATTGATCGGCTTATCGCGTGTCAACTCCACGAAATCACAAATCTCATCATCATTCAATCCCCTCATCACAACGCAGTTCACCTGTAAAAAAAACACTATCTCGCATCAAATCGCTCCACTGCAATTAAATGGTGGAAGTGAATGATTATTGATATTATATACCTTTACTGGATTGTATCCAAGAGCAATAGCGGCATCAATCGATTGCATAACCCTCTCGTACCCTTTACGTCTAGTCAGAAACTCAAACTTCGCTGGGACCAGAGTATCCAAGCTGATATTTATCGAGTCGAGCCCACATTCTTTAAGCTTTGGTAGCTTTTTCGCAAGAGTGATACCATTGGTAGTGATAGCCAAATTCTTAAGCCCTTTCAAGCTAGACAACTGCAGACAAATCTCCTCTATATCTTTCCTAACCGTGGGCTCGCCACCTGTCAGCCGAATCTTGTTAACACCAGAGGAAACGAAGAGACCAGCCAACCGAACAATCTCAGACTGTGACAGCAACTGAGGCTTAGGAGTAAGTTCCACGCCTTCAGAGGGCATACAATACTGACACCTGAGGTTACAACGCTCCGTCAAAGATATCCTCAAGTAGGTATGTGACCGACCAAATGAATCAATCAACATGTCCGAGACAGGGTTGTCTTTTGTCTGATCAACTTGAGCTGCATTACTGCTAAATGAACGCTCAATGGTTCTTGATACTGAACTTGACCCAACCTGTTGAAGAATCCCAACAATTAATCACTGATTCTCTAAAACACACACATCTCACAGATATTGAATTCAGTAGGAAATGTCATATTAACATTCACTAGCTCTTAAATTCCGGTAAAATTTCTCACATTCGGAATATAATTGAATACTAGCTAGCTTAAGGAATAAACCATATCAAACAAGATACAAACTTGAGGGGAGAAATCGGATCGAAGAAAGAGATTCAACATGAATTTAGCAAAGTAAATAGGGGAAAAAAGATCAAAAATTTACCAAGAAAAAGTTCAAATTCTTGAAACCCATTTGCCAGTCAGTGATTTTGGAAAGGCACCTCCTCATCGTTGGTAACACTGCAGAGAAGACGATGGAATGAGAATCCTGACACAATCATTCAAATGGAGAGAGAAGAAAGAGAAGAGATGACCTTTGGTAGACGGAGAGAGTATTCTTCTGGTAAAACAAAAGGTTTAGATTCTTCTTCTATTGTAAAAAAAGCTAAGGCGTTGAAAAAATGAAGACGGCACTAAAAAGTAGAGAGGGCTTGGCTAAAAACATAAAACTCTTTCGTCTTTTCCGAGACATCTGCCGGTCTCGCCGGTGACCGGTTACCGCCGGCAACTAAACCGAAGTTAATTGAAATTTTTGTCGGTCCGAGTTTAGATTGGTCTGTGATATTTTCAGATTACATCAGATCTGGATCCGATGTGATGATTATACGATTATTTACAATATTAATTAATGAGATGAATCATGAAGAAATTAAAATAATGTTTTAAATAGAATATCATATGCTGCCGTACACAAACATTTCACTAATATTAAAAATTAAGAGAATGGCTGAATCATTAAATCTGTTAAAAAAACAGTCAAACCTGGAACACACGTGTTTTTTTTTTTTTTTTTTTTCGACTGACATAACAAGTATCACTAATTTTTTTTATAAAAAAGGCTTTCATATTAAATACATAAAAAAAGAAAAAATTTACAAGCTTAAAGCTATAGTTTTTTCAGAACCGAAGCCCAGTTCAGTAGACATTAAAGCAATTATAGAACAATCTAAATTGAGCCATTTTTGTTTTGGAGCCCAAGTCCAAATAGAGAAACTTCCAGTTGGAAAAGACGAGTCAACACAAACCAAAGAGTCACCGCATGCAAACTTCTATTGAGGAGGTTCGATTGATAGCCATTGTTGGAGTAGCCATGAAGACAAAGAAGGGTTGCAGTCTCGATAGCTTGAGATTCTGTTTTTGATCTGTTGTTCAATCATCTTGAAGATTAATTCCACCGGTCTAAAGTTGTTGCTGTGAAGTCTCCCATTTCGCTCATTCCATATCCAGTAAATTGAAGCTTGCCATCCCAGTATTGTATAGGCGCTTCATCAAATTCTCTACCGTCAGAGACTGCAGTTGCAGGACAGAGTCTGACCATGAGCGCATCGCATGAAGATTACATCTCCTCGCCACCATCTCCCAAATTGACCAGCTATAAGCACAGTCGAACAGCAAGTGATCCCGACTTTCAGTTTCTGCATTACACAGAAGACAAATTGGATCGACCAAGATGCCCCAAGAGATAATACGATCTTTCGTTGGGCACCGATCTAAAAGGAAAAGCCAAGATAAGAAGTTGTGTTTAGGGATTCCTCCTCTATTCCAGATTATTTGTGCCCAAGGTACATCCTGCACATCTGACAGCTCCATTAACTTTTCATAAACCACCCCAGTTTTGTATCGATAGCTGACTTTATCATCAATTTCTCATCCATAGTAGTTGTTTTCCTCCGTTAGGATTATAGTCGTGAGATAAGCTTGCAGGCTAACCTGATTCTCTGATCTTGCAGGAGGGAGAGACCAGCGACCTTGAACAAACAAAGACGAAAGAAGAGTCTTGTCTCTCAGTCCCAAGCGGTAATTACGATTCCCACGGAGAAAGTCTTCTAGTCTTCCATACGGCGTCCAGTTATCTGTCCAAAAAGAGCATCGCCGGCCGTTACCTATCCTCAGTTTAATCCAAAGGTAAATATTATTTCTGATCTTTAGCAGTTTATTGGCAAGCCAAGAGTGATTTCTGTGCGGTTTCATTGTCCAGAAGTTATTCAGCAATCCATTAAGAACTTCCTGCCGATACCAAGCCACCCACACCGATCCAGATTGAAAGAAGATTAGCCAGATTAGTTTAAGACAGCAAGCCCGGTTCCAAACTGTAAGATCTCTAATACCTAATCCACCTTTGTTTTTTGGTTTAGTAACAATTTCCCATGACACTCTTGCCGAGTGATGTCCCTCAATGTCTCCCGTCCATAGGAAAACACTACACAAGGAATTGATTCTTTTGATAACAGCTTTGGGAAGGAAAAATGAAGAGTACCAGAAGTTGGATATGCCAGCAACAACTGTCTTGATGAGAACGAGCCTGCCAGCAAAAGACAGAGATTTGGCACTCCAAGAGGTAACTCTACCTTTTACTTGCTGAATTAGCGATTCACAGTTGATGAGAGAAAGTTTTTTCCTGCATAAAGGGACACCAAGATAACGAACCGGTAGAGTACCTTGGGGCAATCCAGTAGAGAACTTGATGAGGTTACACTCTGTTTGAGAGAGTCCAGACGCAAAGAAGCTTGATTTCTGAACACTAATGGTGAGACCTGACCTTAGTTCGAACTCATGAAGCACTTGAAGTACCGATTGGACAGAGGAAATAGAGCCCTCCATGAATATCAGAAGATCATCAGCAAAACAGAGATGAGTGAGTTTTGAGGCGGCACAACTCTGGTGATAAGTGAACCTTTCTCCCTCAGCCGCCTTGTTAAGCATTAGAGAGAGACAATTCATAGCTATGACAAAGAGGTAAGGGGAGAGGGGATCACCTTGTCTTAATCCTCTTCTCCCTTTAAAGTACCTGTGAACTGATCCATTATAACCCACTGTGAAGTTTGTTGTGCATATGCAGGCCTTTAGCCAACTGATGCAAAGAGGGGGGATCATCAGACTTTCAAGGCAGCTGAAGAGGAACTCCCAAGACACTGTATCAAACGCCTTTGCTATATCCACCTTTATGGTAATCTTTCTTGTCCATATATCCTTATGATAACCATTTACCAGCTCTCCTGCTAGAATAGTATTTTCCACTAGAAGTCTGTCTTTAACAAACGCTGTTTGGTTAGGAAGAATGAGGGATGGAAGCAGAGGCTTCAGCCGAGCGACTAACAACCGGGAGATCACTTTGTACAAAGTATTCAGACAAGAGATAGGCCTATAGTCGGTGATATTTGAAGCACCAGGCCTCTTTGGGACAAGAGCCAGGATAGTTGAGTTTGTTGAAGCAGGCATAAAGGCTGAGTGGAAGAAGTGAATAATAGAGGTGGTAACTTCCGAACCAAGAATGTTCCAAACCGCCTTGTAGAACCCTGAAGAGAGACCATCTGGACCCGGTGCTTTGTTAGGATTGAGCTTGAACATAACTTTCGTAATCTCCTCCACAGACGGGATCATCATCATTGTTGATTGCTGGGCTAATGAACATCTGAACAGAGTCAAGCTCTGAAACCATTGAAACGGCGAAGAGATGGAGGGGGAGGATTGCACTTCTGGGCCCAAGATTGACTTGAAATGGTTAATGGCATGAATACTCATTTCCAGAGGGTTTAGTAGAACAACACCTGAGTTGAGGATGAAAAAGCGAATAGAGTTGAAACTTGCTCTCGCCTGTGCTACTCTTAGAAAGTAAGTTGTATTAAGATCCCCTTCTTTGAGCCAGTTTATTCGGGATTTCTGCTTAAAATAGCATTCCTCTATTTGCCTTAGGAAGTTCCATTTTTCATGCAGATCCCTCTCTTGCTGGAATAGGATTGTGCTTGGCGCCTGCAGAGCTTGTACCTGCACATTTTGTAACAAACTGTAAGCCTCACTAACTCTCCTTTGTATTTGAGAAAAATTGTCCCTATTTAGCTCTTTCAATTCTCTTTTGATGATCTTTTGCTTCCAACACAGGAATGTGAGATTCGAACCAAAGCTTCTGGCCTGAATCCAAGCCTCTTGCACCACACTGATGAAGTTTTGGTGCTTTGTGAGATAGTTGAAGAATTTAAATGGGCGGGTTCCAGCTTTAGGGAGGTTATGGGCAGGGTCTATAAGGCAAGGACTATGGTCAGAAATTAGCTGAGGTAAGAACGAGGCTAAGCTGTGGGGAAATTGGGAGATCAGATGACTGTTCACAAGTAACCGGTCAAGCTTTTTTGCAACAGGGGAGGCGGGTTGACGATTAGACCAAGTGAAAAGCGGTCCATGAAACCGTAAGTCGAACATGCCCATTTGAGAAAGACAGTCTCTGAAGGCGATCATGTCAGCAGTATGGTTATTCACATCTGGGTTTGAGTGTTCAGCATGATGAATGACTTGGTTAAAATCTCCTCCAATCATCCACGAACTTGAGTGAAGAGAGAGAGTTTGGTGAAGGCTCAACAGTTCAACCCAAAGGTCATTTCTCTCAGAGTTCGTATTAGATACATAAACCGCCGTGTAGGTGAACGGATTGGCACTCGGTAGATGCACTTCACAGGTAATAGTTTGTCTCGTTTGGTGCAGGACACGGACAGAAGCAGGAGGTCTCCACACAATGATTATGCGACCATCATCATCAGATAAGTGATTTGAGGTAAAACTCCAACCAGGACAGATAGTAGAAATAAGAAGGCTCAAATTTAGATCTTTGATATAGGTTTCTATAATTGCTCCAAAAATAGGCTGGTGACTGGAAAGCCACTGACCAAAAGGCCGATGCTTGTTCGGATCATTTAAACCACGAACATTCCAAAAAAATAGGTTTGAACACATTAAGACGGGGGAGCAGATTTCTCTGAATAGGGAGAATCTTCAAAAGAGGTAACCGAATTAGAAAGAGGCTTAGAAACTGATTTGGTAGGTGTTTTAGAGGATAAAGGGATATTTATGGGTAATCTTAAAGAGGGTTCGTTAGAGGAATGAGTCGAATAAACGGTGTTTAGAGACGGGTGAGACCGAGTACGTTTTAAAATGGCTTTTTGTGGATTTTCAGGTGGGCTATAGGGATAAGGCTCTCCAGTATGAGTGATAGTAGCAGGAAGCGCTATTACGAATGGGGTAAAAATAGGGACCAGAGGAGGCAAAGAACTCGAATGAGGAAATTTGGTTTTAGTTGGAGTTACCAGATCTATTTCATCACCAAGAGCTGCAAAAGGAGTTCCCATCACAGAAGCAGGAGCCAAGTGAGGGATAACAATCTTTTTTGGATCAACTTTCATATTAGCCAATTCTTCATCTTCAGAAGTCACTTTAACATTTTCCACATGATCTTTAGGGGATAGTTGCGCTAAAGATGTTTCCGCGCACTCATTTGTGGAGGTAGTAGCAGCTTTTGTAGAGGAAACTGTGAGCTTTGGAGCCCTTTTGCTTGCTGGATCAGCAGATTTCGGTGGAGGGGGCAGCAGTAGACAATTACGGGCAATATGACCCAACTCTTTGCAATGTGAGCAAGTAGGAGGCAACCAAGGATAATCAACAAGAACTTCAACCACTTCTCCACTCTGCCTAGTGAATTCAACTACCCGAGGCAGTTCTTTTGTCAGATTTACTTCAACTTTGACATGAGACATAGTCAAACTGACCAAGTTCTTGGTGAATTCATCAGTTTCCTTTGGTTCTCCAACCAAACCAGCCACAAAACTAAGTCCTTTCTGATGTCGCAGGTCTAGAGGAACTCCTGTCAGATAAGCCCAGATTTGCATTGACTCAAAATGACGAGAAGATCCCGAGTGCTCTGAAGTCCATTGAGCCACACGGAACAAGGAATCCCCGATGTACCAAGTACCCTTTTCCAGAATTTTTGTTCTTAGGTAATCACTCGGAATTCGCACAATCATATTGCGGGCAAGAGGGTTGTTATGAATCTCTAGTTTACCTCCTTTACCCCACATATGATTAAGTACACTTTGAATTTTGCTGTAGGAAGGAGCTCTACCGTTGAAGTAACAGACAATAAAATCCTTGTGAAGCTCTTCTCCTTTCTTGAATACTTCATCTGGAATGAGGACAGTAGGCCGACCACTATCAGTGAAGGAAACGGGAGCCACCCTACACAAAGACCGGTCTTCGAAAACTCTGATTTTTTCAGCTAAAGTAGGAGAATTGGCAGATTTATTTTCAACAGGTGGCACAACAGTTTGGGTTGGAGAGACATTCAGGTCAAAAGAGGATTCAGCAACAGCAGAAAGGGGAGCTGGGGTAATAGGATTGGGCGGACGGGGAGAATTTAGAGCGTTGTTTGTGGTTAATGGGGAAGTATTTTTTGGTTTCAGCACAGTAAATTTTGTTGGAACAGTAGTTTCAGATCTAAGTTTAGGGAGACTTACGCCTGTTTCCTTCAGAGCAACAGTTTCCGACTGAGTCATCTCAACATCAGTAGTGGTATGGTCAAGGGAGACTTTAGCAGAGGTTAAAGTAGAGGCCAAAACCACAGGCGCCACATGAGGAGCAGTACGTGAGAATGAACTAGGATTCAGGTTATCAGGGGGGGTAAGAGGGGGGAAATCGGAGGAAAAGTTTGAGAAAGGGTTAGGAGGGTCTGGGGGAACAAGGGGAGGAGGAAGGAGTATATCACCAGCGGTGAAAGACAAAGGATTCAGAACGGAAGCATGACCATCAGAGAACCAGGAGTTCTGCATTGGAAACCATACTTGAGAGCTTTTCAAAAGTTAGGGGTTTGTTCGCACTAATTTACTTTTATTTACATGCAAATATAATGTTTTTTTTTGTTAAAAGCAAATATAATGTTTGACAAAAAAAAAATACATGCAAATATAATAACCAAAATCACCAGCCAACGAAATTCTTCTAACAAAAACTTCGATAAATTCCATGGAACAGACAAATACAAAATAAATTCGTTGGAACCACGTGCAATTGTTTTTTTCTTGGTTGTTTAAGTTGCTGATAAGTTATAAATCAAATGATACTAAATTACTAATTTGGAGCCAAAATCTATTAATATTATCGAGAACATTCTTTAGAAATTATAACACTGGTTTATATTCGAATATATCTTCCGACTTATGTCTTCTGCTACAAAACTCATAGTATGGGGCCTATGGGCAGTAACGATGCCAAATTTTCGGCAAAGTAGCCGTCGGTGGCATCGACTACAACAAATATGAGTTTTGATGGGCTGGGCTAGACTAGACTGGACAAGATACCAAAACCCATTACATGAAACATGGGCCAGGCTCACATTTGTACTACGCAGCCTAAGTTATGTTGTCAAAAAATTATGATACATTTCTCATAATATTACAAAAGTCATCATTCCAATTTTTTTTTTATTGTGATTCATTTATCAACGTTGGTTATAAGTTTCGCATTAAATTTTGAAATGCTTAGCTATAGACTATAAAGTATAACCAGAGAGCTTTCTTTACTATTAGCTATGTTTGTATTCAGAAATTCATATTTTGTATTGAATAAATATACAATCCTTATAAATATGGGAGACATTTGGAAGATAACAATTGCCAGTACAAACTAATTCATCCACAAAAGCATTTGCCGGGTATAGTGCTTGAGTTTTTCTTCCTCTGTGTGTTGATATTACGCAAAAACTAACCAATACAAAATTCATTACTAACTTATTCAAAAAAAATTATTTATTTATTTATGTAAGTTAATAAAAAGGACTGAGTAGGAGCCATGTGCTCTCAACTCAACTTAGGCTAATGGTGACTGACTTTAATTATTCTTGTATGTAAATTTTTTTTTATTGAGTAAAATTATATGAAATTCAAACGCACTAAAATCTAAATTACAGACATATAATTAAATATTAAGAAATTGAGCAATTATCGAGGAATGGTTGCATGTCAGTCTTGCTACATCCATTATTCATCTCAGTTTTTCTTGTGATATCACTTTTGTAGTTTGTACTCTTGTGATATTTGGAAAACATTTCTCTTCATAAAACATGTTTAGGCAAACAATTTTGAGTCAATTACATCCAAAAGTATTTTTAAGTTTCTGATAATATTCAAAGGTACTTTTTGCTATTGAGTGCCTTTAAAAATTATTTTGGTTATAAAATACCAATTTTATCCTTGCTTTTAAATAAAAACCCTTAACACTTTTGAGATATTGATAATGAAAGTCTTTAAGCTTCTTCTGCCTCTTAGCTTCCGCCTCTGTTTCTATCTTCTTTATTCTTATTTGTTTTTCTTTGTTCTTACTTGTTCTTCCTTATATTTTTTTTCGCTTTCTTCTTCCTTTTATTTTTCTTCTTTTTTCGTACACTTCTTCTTCTTATCACTGTAGACGACGAAAACTCATAGCCAAACAGCGAATAGTGATTCATGGTGAAGCATCAAGATCTAGATTTGTCAAACTCGCTACCATCAATCAATGATCATAAAAAGCAGATCAAATTATTCCAACAGGTTTGCAGGCCCATATTTTATGTAATTAGGACACTGTGAGAATTTCATCCGATTTCTGGTGTTGGGGATGAAATCGAAGCAACCGTAAGTATATAAGATACAATATAGATTAATAATAAATTGAATTCGGGTGGGTCACTTAAAAATCAATATGTTTGTAAGTTTCATATGTTAGCGTGGACAAGTTTCCATGGTCAAAGTGTCATAGACTGAATCTTGGTAGACAATACTCGGGTCATGGACAGATTTTGGCGGAGTCATTTCGATGGATAAAGTATCTTACTCTAATTATGTAACTTAGAGAACACTTGAAGAAAATAATGAATCTCTCACGAGAACCTTTAAGAGTGGCAGATGAACACATACAAATGGTCGCTAAAAGATGGACATATTATCTTATACTTGAATTGCTTAATGCAGCTACGTGGATGTTATGACGTGGATGCAAAGATGTGGATGGTGATGTGGAAACAACGATCATGGATGCAACGGCGTGGATGCCATGGCGTTGATGCAGAACGTGGATGTAACGACGTGAAAAGCTGGTGAAAATTTATTGGAAGATCGAAGGATATGTTGATGTATTTTGGACAAGAGTAGTCGTTATAAGATAGTTAATGTACATAAAGAGCCTTATATGTTGTGAGAAAAGATAAGATGATGATTTATAAAGCCTATTTGCTTGGTGATGGTTTCAGAGCACTAAAGCTTCTTTTATGAAGAAAAATAGAAAAACTGCAGATACATGCATACACACAAACTGTAAAATGTCGTTGACATAGAGACATAGACATAAATGCGATGACACAAATGCGTATACATAAACTCATGGACAGAAATGCATTGATACAAAAAATCAGCACATATTATCTTTGCTTGTTGCTATCCATACATTCACTTGTGTCTATAATTAGCTATATATCGTCTTTAGTCGTTGTTATCCATGCTTTTATGTCTATGATTTATATTATAAATTGTCCACATGATCTCGTACAAAAAACATAGTATCTATCATAAATTATCCACAATAACCTTTTTAGTCTATATCTGTGTCTAGTTTTATCACAAAAGACCAATACTCTTTTTGTGCATAACACAAGCATTGCTGTTGTATCAAACATATTCATCCCAAAACTCTAATAAAAGATTAATAATATTATTTGAAGCCCAAACTTTTACATCAACACCATCAAAACTAAAATAGATATAAAAATATATAAACTAAAAAAAAGGTGTGTGAGATTTTAATTCCCATATAGTGAGATATTAAGAACTGTTATAAAAACAAAGCTCTTCATTCCCTTTACTCTTATCCATGCTCTAATCCATATAATTTATCTGAAAACCATAAGAAAAATAGATTATATGAGAAGTCCATTGTGGACAAAGACGTATGGATAGAAAAACATAAAACTATAATGAAGATACACAGATATATACACATTCACATCAATACATATGCATAGACACAGTCAAATGGACAGACTCTCATAATACAAAACATATACACAATCTTGTGGATACAAAGCGCACAGAAATAAACAAAATAAATACAAATGAACACAATCTCGTGGACACCACTAGTGGATAGACTCTAATAAATACAAAACATAGACACAATCTTATAGATACAAAGCGCATAAAAATGGACACAAGATTCATGGACACACTTGTACACATATATTGACCTATATATAGGAAAACATTAAACTAAAGGCCTTCTCCGAGACCTTGATTTAAAGGAAGATAAAACTTTCATGGATAAAAATCGATGGATTATATAAAGTGGACAGTTATTCATGGTCAAGTAATTGTAGATTAAATTTCAATTTTTGGGTAGAGAAAGTCAAACTTTTTGCAATTTTCAGAGAATTTCTTGGACATAGAGGCGTGGACAGAAACAGTAGGTAGAATGTTCTGGACATAGAGGCATGCACAGAAACGATGACACAAATACGTACACACAACTCGTGGACATAGAGGCGTGGTCGGAAACTTTCTCCAACCGATCATGTCTGCAACCTCTTATTCGTGACTTTGTATCTGTGATATCCACAACTTAGTGTCCATAACCACATGTCCAATTTGTAAATTGACAGTTTTTGCAGTCATTCTCAACTTTATATCCATGAATTTATAGCTGCCTAATATCCATAACAGTATGTCCATGGTTTAATGTCCATAATTGCATGTTTTGATAATCAAAGAGATTGTGTTTATATGTTGTGTCCATGAGAATCCATCCATAAGTGTTTGTCCATTGCATATTAATCCACAATAACATGTCCATAATATACTAGACTTCTATATTAGATAAACAAATACGTTCGTGGACAAGTTAAGATGGACAATATATGATATCTTTATGTTCTCACATCTATCCAACACCACGCCACATCACCCGACACTGTGACATCTCCACCAGAGAAGCTTTCACCATCGCCCATCATCTACCTCTTCTCCTTCCTCCCCCGCCATCACCATATCCGAATATAAAATCTTAAAACTCATGAACCATCAAGGGATTTCGAATCCTCTGCCACTGAGGCTCACCGTATTAACGTGGAAACACGCAAAGGAGATGGTGAGGGCTAGCGAGGAGGTTCTATGATATGCAGGTGCAGTGAGGATGTGTTTAGATGAGGGAATAGATGCGTTTGTGACCGGAGGAAGCATCTCCGATTCGAAGCTTGTGTTGAGGAGGGAGCCGTTCGGCGGATGCGTAAGCACGACAGAGTCAGTGGCGCGATGCTTGGGAGTCAACGATCCAACACGAGAGATCCACGCAGACTTTTTTGTTTCTGCCACAATTTTATATTACAACGGAGATCTGATCAGATCTCATTGAGAGTCAATTTTTATTAGCGAAAAACTCAGACTTTGTAAGCGAAATCAAAGAGAAATGAAATTGAGATGAAGCAGCAAACTCACGAATATGAACGAGTGGGTAAATCTTTTTTCAAGGGTCTAATATATCCCAAATATGTTTCAGTCCCATTAGTTTTTGCTTCCGGTTCGAGAGAGAAAGAGAAAGATGTAATTAAGGGATCGTTTGGTCATTTGAAATGGTCAAAGTACACCTCCCTTTGTAAGTGCCTCTATATGTAATTGGAAAGTGTAAAAGTACCTTTAAATATAATATTCTCAACAATTTTAACTATGAATACAGAAATCGTGTATGTGTTTAAATCAGTTTTTACCACTCGATCGACAACATGTAAAAGCATACATACATACGTCAAATTTTTATGTATCTTCTTTTTTTTGTTCAAATTTTTTTTTGTATCTAAAAAACAGTTTTTCTGATGTTGAAATTAAAAAGGAGAATATCTACTTTCTCCTCAAATAGTTTTGGATTCGTAAATAGTTTATTGTATGTTTATATGTAAAAAAAAATGGGAAAATTTGGTATCTGGACCAATATAATCTGATAATTAGAAAAAAGAAACCAATAATCAAAAATTAGATTGATACATGTTATACAGGTAAATTATGACCATTTTGTCCTTTAACTTATCTGATGCGTTATAATTGGATAACAATTTGATTAGCATGCTAACTAATATGATATCGTGATAACTGTTAAAAACTATGCTTACTAATATAACGTTTAACTAGCAGATTGTACAAATATCGAGTTAACTAGTTATCGTATAATAAAAAATGAAATTATCACGTTAACAATATTATTATATCAAAAAGTTATCGTATTAAATTTGTGAGCGTGCTAACTATTATGTTATTATTGATATCATTTCATAAAAGTTAACTTTGTTATCTGTATAAATTATTCAAAATTATTTTGATAACTAATTAAATTACAATCATGAATATTATTACTAACATTATTATTACTGTTGTCCACTATCTTCCATCTATCACCACCGTCATCTACCACCACCACCAGCGACCACAACCATTATTGACTACACCATCATCACCACCGACGACCACCACCACCGACAACATCATCATCACCACTGCCACCGTCACCACCACCACCGGGGACTCCATTACCACTACCATTGACCACCACCAACACCACTCCCGCTATCAACCACCACCACTGCCACCACCATTGGCGATTCTATCACCATGACCACCGACAACATTATAACCACACCGACCATCGTCAACACCACCATCAACACCACCTCCATCATCGACCACCACCGCCATCGATTCTATCATTATCACTGACCACCACCACTACCGCCGATAATCATCACTATTGCCACCACCACCGACAATCACTATCGATATTTTTATATTTCGTGTTTCTCTTTTTTAGTTTTAGAAAAATGTTAAAAGAAAATATGTGAAGAAGTGAGAGAAAAAAAAACGGTGAAGAAAATGATTAGATGTAAGGACTATATCAATTTTTTATTTACAACAGTTGTATCAAAAAGTTGTCAGAAATTATCGCTTAATTCTCTTATTATTTGAAGTCATTTCTTGCAATTTCTTAAGAAAAATTCGTAAACCTCTTGGAAACTCTTTTAACAATTTTTTTTCCCATAAATTTTCCTTTTAAAATTTAACTCGTATATAGTTTATTGTATGTTTAATTGTAAAACAAAAATTGAGCTACTATATTTTCATGTTCCGATTATGTATACTTTCAATATTTTCAATCGATGGGAATAGGAAACACTTTGGCATACGGATTTATTTTACTTTTCCAATATTAATTGATTAAATATGATGTTGGTTAAAAAGTATATATCCCGTTACATCATAAATACATAAGAGAACGACCCAGCATCTTCTACAGATTAATAGAGCATAAGAACATTGGAATATGGAGATGATGTCGTGGCCATTCCTCATTGGTTGATATAAAAAAGCTGCACCGAACACTAGAAAGAAAGAAAGAAGAAGAAGTATAATAAATTAGCCAAAAAAAAACATTGGCGCCTGTCTTGTTCCCGTTGCGTTTCCCCATCTTTATCTGCGATTCCTTTCTCTCTCTCTCTGGTGCTACTCTGGGGAAGAAGATAGACGACCCGTCGTGCGGCTCTTGTTCGATTGCATGTCCTTGCTTCTCCCTGAAGCTGTCGTAGTTTCTTAATTTTGATCCTCCGCTTCTCTTTTCCTCACTCGATCAGGTGATTGTTGATCTCTGGGTTTGCTCTTAGTTTCTGATTTCGGAACCTTATGGGGGTTTGCTTTACTTTTCCGATACTTGACTAATCCGAATCCGATTCAAAGTTTAAATTTTCTTACTTGGGGTTTTTCACTGAACACTTTTGATTGAGTGAGACCATAGATTCGTCTTCTGTTGCTTTGTCGGAATTATTTTAAATATTGTATCAATTATTGCTCTCTTTGTTTTAATTCATGGTTTGATCTTCCGTCGGACATTGTCTGAGACTCAATAAGGCAATAGTTGAAGCCTTGCTACTTTTAAATTAGGATTTTCTTGCGTCTCGCTATGAACAATCGAAGTTAGCTGTGACTCAAAGGTTCTTGGTGATTAGATTTCGTGATAAAGTTTTGTGCTTTACACATCTTTTGCTACTTTTTTCTTGGGGTCTATTCGGATTCTTTTTATTAATTACTAAAAAAAAGCAACTTTTAGCAGTTATCGTCCCTTTTCGATGATATCAATTTAATTGGAGTGAATCTCATCTTGCTTCGGAATGAAACAATTCATGTTTTTTTTTTCTTTTCCGGATCGCTAGTTGTTTGCTCACTCTGTCTCTTCTCTGTCAGTAGCTTATGATTTTGGTCTTTTTCCAGTTCATATAGTTCTCAAATCTTGTTCTTGGTGGTGGCGTGAAAGCTCCTTTTTAGTTTGATTTTAGGAGGATTTAAAAGATGGCTCAAAGGAGAGGACCTGATCAGCCTCCGCCACAGAGGCGGATTCTGCGGACTCAAACTGCTGGGAATCTCGGAGAGGCTATGCTTGACAGTGAAGTGGTGCCATCGTCTCTTGTGGAGATTGCTCCTATCCTTCGTGTAGCCAATGAAGTAGAAGCTAGTAACCCTCGTGTTGCCTACTTATGTGAGTTGAATTAGTGTAGAAAAAGCTCCTGATGATAGTGATTTTTGTTTGCTCATCTTAAACAATCTTGAGAAAAATCCATGAATGCTTCTCTCAGGTCGGTTCTATGCGTTTGAGAAGGCGCACAGGCTTGATCCCACGTCAAGCGGACGTGGTGTTCGCCAGTTTAAAACTGCGCTTCTTCAACGGTTAGAACGGGTGAATATCATTACTTTGTTTACTCTACTTTGAGTTTCATTTTCATGCTCTTGTCTTGTCCTTATAATCCTCACCGTAGGGATTATGCGTCAGTTTGCCTAAATTTCTTGTCACTTGTGCAGGAGAATGAAACAACTCTTGCAGGAAGGCAGAAGAGTGATGCCCGTGAAATGCAAAGTTTCTACCAACACTACTACAAGAAATACATCCAAGCTTTGCTAAACGCTGCTGACAAAGCTGACCGGTTTGTGTTTGATTGAAATGTTTTATCTCAATAGCAATCTATGTGTCTTTGTTCTCCATTCTTAAAGACAAAATTTTCTTTTGGCTTCTTAGTGCTCAGCTTACAAAGGCATACCAAACTGCTGCTGTTCTCTTTGAAGTCTTGAAGGCTGTTAATCAGACAGAGGATGTGGAAGTGGCTGATGAGGTGAAGCATAGTAGATTATGTCTTGTAGTGTTATAAGCTCTTACTTACGGTCTTTAGCCATCCTTTCATGGAAAACATCTTGATAACTTGTTTCTGTTCATCTTTTTTCTTGCTGGTAGATTTTGGAAGCCCACACTAAGGTGGAAGAGAAAAGCCAAATCTACGTGCCTTACAACATTCTTCCTCTTGATCCTGATAGTCAAAATCAGGCTATAATGAGATTCCCTGAGGTTAACCAAACATTCCACTAAACGTTTCGATGTTATGTTTGATTGTCTTCTGTGTCAGGAAAAATAAACATTTGCAACACTGTTGTGCAGATACAAGCTACAGTAATCGCTCTTCGTAACACTAGGGGCCTACCATGGCCAGCAGGTCACAAGAAGAAACTCGATGAAGACATGCTTGACTGGCTTCAAACTATGTTTGGTTTTCAGGTGATGCTAGCGAATATCCTGTTTTTTTTGTTTTGTAGTTGATTGAGGATTTCTCTCTGCTGATTGTGGTCCAAACTTTTAAAATGACAGAAAGATAATGTCTCAAATCAAAGAGAGCACTTGATTCTGTTACTTGCTAATGTCCACATTCGCCAGTTTCCGAGACCTGAACAACAACCAAAGGTATGTATTCTTGTTTTCTTGCTCCTCTAGTCCTCCGTATCTGCACTGACGCTCTTATATACAATATCTGCCTTTAGCTTGATGATCGCGCATTGACTATAGTGATGAAGAAACTTTTCAAAAACTACAAAAAATGGTGCAAGTATTTGGGTCGGAAAAGCAGCCTTTGGTGAGGCTTCTCCTTGTATAGCCTCAATTTGTAACATACGTTGAATATTATACGCCTTGTGCCTTTTTATACTTAGCCATCTCTCTTGTTCCCACTTGTAGGTTGCCGACGATTCAACAAGAGGTTCAGCAACGTAAACTGCTTTACATGGGACTCTATCTTTTAATTTGGGGAGAAGCTGCAAACCTGAGATTCATGCCTGAGTGCCTTTGCTATATATATCACCATGTATGTAAAAAAAAATCAGTTTCCCCTATATATGCTAAGTAACTATATGGCGTGCCTGAAATATTACGTTTCAATCTAGAAAATGGCATCATGTGTTCAATTTGTGATCTTGGCTATTGCATAGACCTGCTAATCGACTAGTAGAATTCAAAAGAGCTAGTATAGATAATGATTAGAATAAACTAGGGCAAAGTGTTCATGGTTAAGTACTAGTGAAGAGTACATATGTGAAATGTTCATAAAATGAGAATTGGACAAAAATGGTTGTATTGTGACATCCGAGTTTCTTTGTCCCCTACATGTGTCTAAATCCGGGTTTTATCTTATTTTTTGAATTTGTTCAGATGGCTTTTGAGTTGTATGGGATGTTGGCTGGGAGTGTTAGTCCAATGACAGGGGAGCATGTGAAACCGGCATATGGTGGTGAAGATGAAGCTTTCTTGCAGAAAGTAGTGACACCTATATACAAGACGATAGCGAAGGTAGCTTGCTTCAGTTTTTTTTTTTTCACTCTTGACCATCTTTAGCTTTTTTCCGATCTAATTCCTCTATTTTTTCATCTTCGCATTTGTGCACTATAGGAAGCAAAGAGAAGTAGAGGAGGAAAGTCGAAGCATTCTGAGTGGAGAAACTATGATGACTTGAACGAATATTTTTGGTATAATGCAGATGATTTTCTTGTAACCTTGTGAAATGTCCTTTTACAACTATTCATGATTTAAATCCCCATGTCGTTTTATCTTTTAGGTCAATTCGGTGCTTTCGGTTAGGGTGGCCTATGCGAGCTGATGCTGATTTCTTTTGTCAGACTGCTGAAGAACTTCGACTAGACAAAAGTGAGGTACGGATAGAAGAAACTAGACTCTCATTATTTGTTTATTGCTTCCGATAATTGTTAACAAAACAGTATGCAACTTCTTGTCTTATAGATCAAAAATTTGTTAACTTAGTGTTTAATATCAGACTAAAGTTTGATCGATCAGCTTAAAATGTTCAGAATGGCTGTTAGAGAAACATACAACGTTCAACAAGACATGAGAAACGTTAGATAGAAGTGTTCCATCTATTTTTCCTCAAGTTTTGCGTATTTAGAATTTCATGGTTGATGTTCACAATGCTGCAGAATAAACCAAAAACTGGAGATCGATGGATGGGCAAAGTCAATTTTGTTGAGATACGCTCCTTCTGGCATATATTTAGAAGTTTCGATAGAATGTGGAGTTTCTATATCCTGTCTTTGCAGGTACGACTAGTTTCTATCAAGTTCAATTACCAAACTAGTATTTTCTTGACATGACATGTGATTTGATGTGATTATTGTCTTGTTTAGGCAATGATCATCATTGCTTGGAATGGATCAGGGGATTTAAGCGCCATCTTTCAAGGTGATGTCTTCCTAAAGGTTTTGAGCATCTTCATTACGGCAGCTATATTAAAGCTTGCACAAGGTGATGACTCCTCAACTTATTATCACTGTTCACTGCAAGCCAAGCTTATTTGTGTCTTATCTAGAGCTCATGTAACCTCATTTTCACATATCTTGATTTTTGGTTTGCAGTCTCATACTTCTGACAGAACAGATGTTGCTTGTTGTTCTCTAATTCTGTTTCCATGTTGTAAGTGAAGAGAAATTGATATTTTCTTTCCTTTCTATGAAAATTTCAGCTGTCCTCGATATAGCTCTGAGCTGGAAATCAAGACATAGCATGTCACTCTATGTGAAGCTGAGATTCATATTGAAGGCAGTTGCAGCTGCAGTATGGGTTGTACTCATGCCAGTAACTTACGCATACAGCTGGAGGAGCCCTTCTGGTTTTGCTCAGACCATAAAGAACTGGTTTGGGGGAAACACCAATTCATCACCTTCCCTTTTCATTGTGGTCATTCTCATCTACTTATCCCCAAACATGCTCTCCACGGTGCTCTTCGCGTTCCCATTCATCCGGCGTTATCTTGAAAGATCCGACTTTAAAATAGTGATGCTGATGATGTGGTGGTCTCAGGTACTTTATCCATATACTCTTATCTCACTATATTCAACCAAGGAGGTGACTAATCTTGATTCTTGATGATACAGCCGAGGCTGTATATAGGAAGGGGTATGCATGAGAGTGCATGGTCACTTTTCAAGTAAGAGTGTAAACCTTGAATGCTACGGTTGATATGTTGGTTTGTCTTACCGTATTGTCTAACGAGGTCTCGTGAATGATGTATAGGTACACAATGTTCTGGATTGTCCTTCTTATATCAAAGCTTGCATTCAGTTTTTATGCAGAGGTACGTTCTACATTTTCACATGTCTTTAGTGTGTGAAATTTTTGTAGGTATAACAAGAGCACAGAAAACCTGAAATTCTAGTGAGACTGTTATCAACATATAAATGTGTATGGTTTCTCATACTTTCTATCTTGTGAGCAGATTAAGCCTCTTGTTGTTCCAACCAAAGATATTATGCGAGTTCATATATCAGTCTACCGCTGGCACGAGTTTTTCCCTCATGGTAATGGTTCATAGCATCTAGGTTTTCAGATAATTGAATAATGAATTTTTACTAAATAATCTATTCTTTTTTATTTTCAGCCAAGAATAATATGGGTGTGGTGATCGCGCTCTGGTCACCTGTTATTCTTGTGAGTTGGCACAGCTTTCTTTACCATATGCTTCCTTTGAATCCTCTTGCCTATCTATGCTAATTTTCGCATATGCAGGTTTATTTCATGGACACTCAAATATGGTATGCTATAGTATCAACTCTGGTTGGAGGTTTAAATGGAGCTTTTCGACGTCTTGGAGAGGTTCATATATTATGCTTTCTTTGAAAATAGAACTTAGTTATTTCATGGTAAAGTGGCATGCTCTCACTTCTTGAGTTTCCCAGCAAAATAAAGTTTGTTTCATTTGCAGATCCGAACACTAGGAATGTTGAGATCTAGATTTGAGTCCTTACCAGGGGCCTTTAATGCTTGCTTGGTTCCAAGTGAGAAGAGCGAGACTGCAAAGAAAAGAGGCATTAAGGCGACTTTCTCCCGCAAGTTCGATCAGGTCTGGTTACTTCTCTTATACCAGTAAATGAAACATGACACAAAGTCACAAACCAATTTTTTAGTAAACAGGTCTGTTTTGTTCTCCATTTGAAGTTCTGTTATATTTTGGTAATTGCTGCAGATTCCATCGAGTAAGGACAAGGAGTCCGCACGATTTGCTCAGATGTGGAACAAGATAATCAGTAGCTTCCGAGAGGAGGATTTGATCAGCAATAGGTTGAGTGTGGCTTTTTTTTTTAATCAATATGACTGCTAAATCATTTTATCCTGAGAAGAGCTCAGTGATAATTTTCGTTTGTTTGCAGGGAAATGGAACTCCTGCTTGTGCCATATTGGGCTGACCGTGATCTAGATCTTATCCGCTGGCCACCGTTTCTTCTGGCCAGTAAGGTGTGTGTTTATCTTGGTCTTGAACATGATGATCTTAGGTTTTGTACTCTGTTGTTGTCTTGATCCCTCTTGTTTAAATCTGGTAGATTCCAATAGCTTTGGACATGGCGAAAGATAGCAATGGAAAAGATCGTGAACTTAAAAAGAGACTGAGTGTGGACAGTTACATGACTTGTGCAGTTAGAGAGTGCTATGCCTCTTTTAAGAATCTCATAAACTTTCTGGTTGTTGGAGAGCGAGAAGGACAGTAAGTCTTGGGGAACCCCTCGGAAATTTACCTGTTTTTAGCTTGGAGTACACACTAACATCTTAATTTTACTTGTCTTGTGCAGGGTCCTAAAGGACATTTTCTACAAGATTGATGAACATATAGAGAAAGAAACACTGATAACCGATTTGAATTTGAGTGCTCTCCCAGATCTCTATGGTCAGTTTGTTCGACTTATTGAATATTTGGTAAGTCTTGTAGCCTTACCGTGTTGAGCACCGATGCAACTTTAAAATGAAAGTAAGAAAATAGCTGAGATTAGTCTACTTGAAACAGATGCAAAACAAAGAGGAGGACAAGGACCAGATTGTTATTGTCTTGCTGAATATGTTAGAAGTGGTGACCAGAGATATAATGGAGGAAGAAGTCCCAAGGTAAGATCATTTGAGTTAGGCTTTCTGCTGAATGGTTTTGATCAATGTTGTTTGAAGCACACTCATTTAGAGTCTTCTTTCTATAGCTTGCTAGAGACAGCCCACAATGGATCTTATGTCAAGTACGATGTAATGACTCCTCTTCATCAACAGCGCAAATATTTCAGCCAACTTCGGTTCCCAGTGTACTCTCAAACAGAAGCATGGAAAGAAAAAGCAAGTTTCCTATTTGAAATTCATCTATTGATTCATTCCTGCTTCATCGATAATAGTGGTGCATCTGAAATCTTTTGCCTGAGGTCCTTCTAAGTTATTTTTAATTGTGCAGATCAAGAGGCTTCATCTTTTACTTACTGTCAAAGAATCAGCCATGGATGTGCCATCCAACTTGGAAGCTCGAAGGCGTCTTACTTTCTTTTCGAATTCGTTATTCATGGAAATGCCAGATGCACCCAAGATCCGCAACATGCTTTCGTTTTCGTAGGTTCCATCCTCTTTCAACTTATGTTTTGATTGCATATTCATGTATGAATGGATGTTTTCGGTTGAGGAAGAAACTCAGCTGCAGTCATATTAATCATCTCTCTCTCTCTGTTACATATATCCTACGAGCAGTGAAGAAGTGCAGAAACCAATAGCCATACAACAACTTATTGTCTATGTTTTTGCTTTTCCATAGGGTCCTAACACCATATTATCAAGAGGATGTTCTTTTCTCCATTTTTGGTTTGGAGAAGCAAAATGAAGATGGAGTCTCTATTCTCTTTTACTTGCAGAAGATCTTTCCAGGTTTCACTTTTTCTTTTCCTGTTTCCAAATGGTATTTTGCCACTATAATCCGTCAACCAAGTCGGTGATTTACCTCAGATGAGTGGACAAACTTTCTGGAACGAATGAAATGTGGCAGCGAGGAAGAACTCAGAGCGAGAGAAGAGTTGGAAGAGGACCTTCGTCTGTGGGCATCTTACAGAGGCCAAACACTGACCAAAACTGGTATGTGGTCTTTCTCTTAATGTTTTCATCAGGCTAACTCTGACCAACACGTGTCGTGTCTAATTTTTCTGATTTTTTTATCAACAAGTTCGAGGCATGATGTATTACCGAAAGGCTTTGGAGCTCCAGGCCTTCCTTGATATGGCAAAGGATGAAGGTGCCTTACGAAACATTGTTGTTGTGTTAATCTTTTATTCGTAGAAAACTGTGAAAAACATTCCTAAAAAACTGCTTTTGTTTTGTTCAAGAATTAATGAAAGGGTACAAGGCTCTCGAGTTGAGTAGTGAAGACGCATCAAAGAGCGGAACGTCACTCTGGGCTCAGTGTCAAGCACTTGCTGACATGAAATTCACTTTTGTGGTTTCATGCCAACAATACAGTGTTCAGAAGAGATCTGGTGACCAACGTGCTAAAGACATATTGAGGCTTATGACTACGTATGTCTTCTCTCATCATAATTCATCAGCTCATCAGTTATTTCTTTCGCAGATCCATTAATTAAAGCTTACTGGTTCTGTGTGTCAGGTACCCATCTTTACGTGTTGCTTATATCGATGAGGTTGAGCAAACACATAAAGACAGCTATAAAGGGGCGGACGACAAGATTTATTACTCAGCTCTCGTCAAAGCTGCTCCACAGACCAAATCTATGGATTCTTCTGAATCTGTGCAAACTCTAGACCAGGTATAACATCCGAGATAATTCGATGCGTACTGACTACTAAACCTTGGTGCTCAATTATTTCTGTATAGTATATAAGCATATGAGTTTTTCAATCTATTTTCGTATGGCTGTTTTTTTTGTTCCTCTCTTAACATTCACATGCATATTATCTGAAACCATACGCGGTCATAGGCACTCATATTGTTGTTATAGTTTTGGAGACTGAGTTTATATATTTTCCTGCAGGTCATTTATCGGATTAAGCTACCAGGACCTGCAATACTAGGAGAAGGAAAGCCGGAGAATCAGAACCATTCTATCATTTTTACTCGCGGAGAAGGGTTACAGACAATAGACATGAACCAGGTGCGCCTACAAGTTCTGGTCTGAGTATCGTAGTTGTCTCATTACGCTTGTAGGTAAAATATTGATCCAATCATTTGACAAACAGGATAACTACATGGAGGAAGCTTTCAAAATGAGGAACTTGCTACAAGAGTTTCTTATAAAGCATGGAGGTGTAAGAACCCCTACAATTCTTGGACTTAGAGAGCATATTTTCACTGGAAGGTAATCTCACTACTGCCCTTTTAGATACTCATTTTTGGTCACTTCGAGCACAAAATGATTTTCCCACTTGTCTCGTTTCTTGTGGCAGTGTTTCTTCTCTTGCATGGTTTATGTCAAATCAGGAGAACAGCTTTGTTACTATTGGGCAGAGAGTGTTAGCCAGCCCCTTGAAGTAAGTTTTTATTTGTCCCCGTTTTTTTGAAGGAAGCTTGGATTTGTAATGGTCGAAGTTGACCTTTTGTTTCGACTCCTCCAGGGTACGATTCCATTATGGTCATCCAGATGTTTTTGATCGGCTGTTTCACCTTACCAGAGGAGGTGTCTGCAAAGCTTCTAAAGTTATCAATCTAAGTGAAGACATATTTGCAGGCACTTGCTTCTACTCCTTTTTCTCTGGTGACACATGTTATGATCTTGCTCCATAAGCTTTCTCGTTTCCTCATACCTTTGCTGTGTTCAGGTTTCAACTCTACTCTACGTGAAGGCAATGTGACTCATCATGAATACATACAAGTTGGTAAAGGAAGAGATGTTGGACTCAACCAGATTTCAATGTTTGAGGCAAAGATAGCTAACGGAAACGGGGAGCAAACTCTAAGCCGTGACCTATACAGGCTAGGGCACCGATTTGATTTCTTCCGTATGCTTTCTTGTTACTTCACTACAATTGGGTTCTATTTCAGTACCATGGTAGGTCAAAATTCTCCATTTTTTTTTCATCTTCACAATCATAGTATGATACATGTAAAGTCTGAAACATTATCGGTGTCTTTTTTTTTTTTGCAGTTAACAGTGCTTACCGTCTATGTATTTCTATATGGCCGGCTGTATCTCGTCCTAAGTGGTCTTGAAGAAGGATTGAGCAACCAGAAAGCTTTCCGTTCCAACATGCCTCTTCAAGCAGCACTTGCTTCTCAGTCATTTGTGCAGATCGGTTTCTTAATGGCCTTACCTATGATGATGGAGATTGGTCTCGAGAGGGGGTTTCATAACGCCTTAATAGACTTCGTACTGATGCAGTTACAACTCGCTTCCGTGTTTTTCACGTTTCAGCTCGGGACAAAGACTCATTACTACGGCAGAACATTGTTTCATGGAGGAGCGGAATACAGAGGCACTGGTCGTGGGTTCGTGGTGTTCCATGCAAAGTTCGCTGAGAACTACAGGTTCTACTCACGCAGTCACTTCGTGAAGGGTATTGAGCTGATGATTCTGCTGCTCGTGTATCAGATATTTGGCCATGCTTATAGAGGAGTGGTTACATATATTCTGATAACTGTTTCGATATGGTTCATGGTGGTGACTTGGCTGTTTGCTCCCTTTTTGTTCAATCCCTCCGGTTTCGAGTGGCAGAAGATTGTAGATGATTGGACTGATTGGAATAAATGGATATATAACCGAGGAGGAATCGGTGTTCCTCCGGAGAAGAGTTGGGAATCTTGGTGGGAGAAAGAGATAGAGCACCTTCGACACTCGGGGAAACGTGGTATCATCCTCGAGATTGTTTTGGCTTTACGTTTCTTCATCTTTCAGTATGGGCTTGTGTATCAGCTCAGCACTTTTAAACAGCAAAATCAGAGTTTGTGGGTGAGAGAGCTTTACTCATCTAAACGTTGCTCTTATTATTATCTACTGAATCTCTTTGAGTTTTGATTGAACTGATTCTTGACGTTTCACAGATTTATGGAGCTTCATGGTTCGTGATCTTATTCATTTTACTCATCGTAAAGGTATTGGCAACATTCTTTTACTTTTTGAGTTTTACTTTTCAAGATTGGTTTAAGCTGGATCGAGCAGTTACTAAAACCGAATGTAAACTAATCACAGGGTTTGGGTATGGGAAGGCGACGGTTCAGCACAAACTTTCAGCTTCTCTTCAGGATCATCAAGGGTCTTGTGTTCCTCACGTTTCTTGGGATTCTCATTACTTTCATAGCTCTTCCTCTTATAACACCTAAAGACATCTTCCTTTGTATGCTCGCTTTCATGCCAACCGGATGGGGAATGTTACTGGTAAACTCTTCCTTGCTCCATTAAACTACTCCACAAAAGACATCTTTGTGTTTTGTCTGGCTGCTATACATTCTTCTCTTTGTTTTGTTTCAGATTGCACAAGCATGTAAGCCTCTGATTCAACGGCTAGGGATCTGGTCATCGGTTAGGACGCTGGCTCGAGGCTATGAGATTCTGATGGGTTTGCTTTTGTTCACTCCCGTGGCGTTCTTGGCTTGGTTCCCGTTCGTGTCCGAGTTTCAGACAAGAATGCTCTTTAACCAAGCATTCAGCAGAGGTTTGCAGATTTCGCGTATTCTTGGTGGTCAGAGAAAAGACCGATCTTCCAAGAACAAAGAGTGAAACACAATACGTAAAATCAAAGAAACTGACTGAATAGTCCGAATTATACACGTGTATGTATATATTGCTGTGTTGATTAGAACCGTAGATAATGCTAGTTATGTTCTATGCTTATTACTTTCATTCCAAGTTATTTACTGATTCTTCCGTTTGTTTTTTGCTCTTTTGGTCTGTGAGAGTCGATAAACTAAAAACAAATCCCATGAAAGCTTAGCTATTTCCGAAAGAGAATATTACAGAAAAAGGCATTTTAGCAAACTATAATATCAAAAAAATAAACTGCGCAATTTAAGTCATTTTTACCAAGTAAACAAATAATTTTATCCTTCTTCTCTCTTTCTTCTTTTCTAATTTTTTTTTCCCCATTAAACGAGATTTGGAGGAAACGCCATGGAGAATCGGGCCAACGAATTGGATTGACGATTTAAACGGTAGAGACAGTGGTTCAAGGTTCATGTCATCGGGGAAGAAATCTGAAACCCCGGCGTAAGGGTTGTTGTCAGATCATGAACTGTTAGATCCGAAATCGCGATGGATACCACAAAGGTTGCCGGATTCGAAGTGGACGAAAAAATGGATACAATCGGATGGATGGAAGAGATGGATGCAACGAGATAGATGCAATCGAGGTAGATGAAAGAAGTGAATGCAATCGGGTGGATAAAAGAGATGAATGCAATCAGGTGGATAAAAGAGATGGATGCAATCTGGTGGATGGAAAAAAGATGAATGCAAGTGGGTGGATGGAAAAGATTGATGCAATCGGGTGGATGGAAGAGATGGATGCAATTCGGTGGATTGAAAAAAAAATGGATGCAAGTGGATGGATGAAAAAGATGATTGCAAGCGTGTGGATGACAAATATGGATGTAATTAAGTGGATGGATGCCCAAAAACTATAGTATTATGACGCCCAACACAATATTCAGTAAGGACGAAATCATCACATCAAATGCTCAAATATTGAGCAAAGCGCCTTATATCTTCTAAGTGCTTAATTTTGTAACAACTTTCTCCCATTTACAACTCTTTCCGAAATAATCCAAACATTCTAGAAGCTTTCTAATTGAACCCCCAATTCCAAATTAGCCTACCCAGAAGTTTAGACGGTTTATCAATGGAACATTAAACTGGTTTAATTCGGTTCGGTTACTAAAGGGACGAAAACCGGTCTCTCGCGCTTCAACTCGTCTTCTTTACCAATTTCCCAGTTTTCTTCCTCCACTGTCTCGAATGTTGATGGTTTTCCCGCAAAACCCTGGTCGTTTCTGGGTTTAACCTACTTGCGTCACCGAGTTTCTCTGCAGCGTTCTTCTCCACTTTCGCGCTTCTGTAACAAGTAGAATATTTCGCTGAAGGGGAAAAGATGAGTACGGTCGATAAAATGCTGATCAAGGGTATCAGAAGCTTCGACCCGGAAAATAAGAACGTCATCACTTTCTTCAGGCCTTTAACCCTAATCGTTGGTTCCAACGGTGCCGGAAAAACTGTAAATCGTTCAACCCTTCTCTTTCTCTTCACTTCACTTCACTCCCACTTCGTCTCCGTATTTCTCTTCTTTTTGTTGAAAAATCTGGGTGTTTTCGTGATTTCGCAGACGATTATTGAGTGCTTGAAGGTATCTTGCACGGGAGAGTTGCCCCCAAACGCGAGGTCTGGTCACAGCTTCATTCATGACCCTAAAGTATGTTTTCTATTAGCATTTAGATTTTCGCTCTTACCCAATTTCATGTTCATTTTCTTAATTCATCCTATGTTATATTGTTGATGGATGTGAGAATTGGCATTTTCTATCGCTGTGAAGGGCTAATAGAGATTGAACATTCCATTGTTTCCTTCTAAATTTTTGGGAGATTTCATTCAAAGAAAGATGTTCTCTGTTGTTATAAGGTTGCTGGGGAAACGGAGACAAAAGCACAAATTAAGCTGCGATTCAAGACAGCTGCAGGGAAGGATGTGGTTTGTATAAGGTCATTTCAGTTGACACAGAAGGCCTCGAAGATGGAGTACAAGGCCATTGAGAGTGTGCTTCAAACCATTAATCCTCACACTGGAGAGGTTGCACATAATTCTTTATATTACCCTTTGATTTGGTTTTATTTTTTTCTCACTTCTTAAGCTATGTGTTCATATCTTTATAGTTCCGGTGGTAGTGTCTATTATTTCTTAAAGCTTTTGTTTTTTCCTGCAAATAGAATGCTTTATTTTGTATGTCTCGATTTTGCATGTTTTCATTCCACCAATATCATTTTTCTTTTTCTAATATTTCTATATACATTATCAAATTGCAGAAAGTTTGTCTCAGCTACAGATGCGCTGACATGGATAGGGAAATCCCAGCTTTGATGGGTGTGTCGAAAGCTATTTTAGAAAACGTCATATTTGTGCACCAAGATGAGTCTAACTGGCCACTGCAAGATCCTTCGACTTTGAAAAAGAAGTTTGATGATATTTTCTCAGCCACCAGGTATTTTCTGGATTTGAATGCATCTCCTTTTCTGGTTTTCTCTTATTCTTCCACAAATTCTAGCTAAGGCATCTTCCTGGATTTACTGAAAACGCCTTGTTGGTTATGTAACTAACACGCATATCAACTTATGCTGGATGACATGTGACTTTATTTGTAGCAGAATCCTAGATCCACTTAATACTTTTTCGACCTGTCTATACATGGGAAAAGTGGAAGTGCATGTATATGCCCTGAGTCAGTAGTGGGTGATTCTTCTCCTCTTCTATGGTTTTGGTGGGAGTAATCCTTGTGTTTATAGGAGTTGTAGTTGATCTAACGAAACCAAGATGTGGAGACCAGAAAAAGAGGGATATGCGAAGTCACTTGTTATCATCTGTGCTCACTTCCGTGCTGTATTTGATACATGTTTTGTATAAGAAACCGATTCCAGAAACTGTAACATGTGTGTTTAACATGATCCAGATACACAAAGGCTTTGGAGGTTATTAAGAAACTTCACAAAGATCAAGCTCAGGAGATAAAGACGTATAAGTTGAAGTTGGAAAATCTGCAGACATTGAAAGACGCAGCTTATAAGGTATGCTGGATATTAACTTTTTGACATTGGTTCTTCTTTTTGCTTTTAGTATCGCTGGTCAATGATGCAGATTGTTTTAATTCCGAAAGTTGTTTTAGACAAGTACTGCATACATGTGTTTAGATTGTGTGGGCTACTCTTATGCCATGATACTTCCTATGCAGCTTCGTGAGAGCATTGCTCAAGATCAAGAAAGAACAGAGTCTTCAAAAGCTCAAATGTTGGAACTGGAAAGCAGCATTCAGAAAGTGGATGCTGAAGTTCATAATAAGGAAATGATGTTAAAAGATTTGAGAAATCTACAGGACCAAGTTTCGAGAAAAACTGCCGAAAGGAGCACCTTATTTAAAGAACAGCAGAGACAGTATGCAGCATTACCCGAGGAAAATGAAGGTTTTCTCTTGTACTATCATACTCTTTATCCTTTTTTTTCTTTCTTTATGGTGGTGGGGATCTTCTTTTAGGTGGTCTTTGTCACAATGGTTTGTTCATTTGACAGATCGTGTCCCTGCTTTTTTATAGATATATTGTTGCCTTTCTTGACAAGTATCTCGCGTTTTGTTATTTCTTCACGTAGTCTGTTGATGCTTGTTATATTTGTTGTTCAGATACTATTGAAGAGCTGAAAGAATGGAAAAGCAAGTTTGAAGAAAGAATTGCTCTTCTTGAGACCAAAATTCGAAAGATGGAGAGAGAAATGGATGACACAGACACTACAATTTCTTCTCTTCACAATGCAAAAACCAACTATATGCTGGAGATCAGCAAGCTACAAACAGAAGCTGAAGTAAATCCGACAAAGCTACCACATATTAAAATATTATGAGTTCTGGTCCATTTGGTTTAACATTTTTCTATTTTTTCGTAGGCTTATATATTGTTGAAGAGTGAAAGAGATTCTACCATCCAGAAACTTTTTTCCCATCACAATTTGGGAAATCTTCCTAGTACCCCTTTCAGTACTGCGGTCGTTTTGAATCTCGAAAATCGAATAAAATCAAGGCTGGGTGAATTGGAGATGGACTTGCTTGATAAGAAGGTACACGTTCGTTGTTTTCTTCAATGAGTCAATTTTGTACTGCATTTTCGTCTGCTGACATCCTTAGAGATTTGAATGTCATCTCAGAAATCAAATGAGACTGCTTTAAGTACAGCTTGGGATGGGTATATGGATGCTAATGACCGTTGGAAAAGCATCGAAGCTCAGAAACGAGCTAAAGATGAAATCAAGGTGTGGTTCATGAATCGGAATTCTATCCAAATCCTCCAATAACGTGCCTAAAGTTTAACACATTTCCTTTTGATGTTGACTTATGCAGGCCGGCATATCAAAACGCATACAAGAGAAAGAAATTGAGCGTGATTCATTTGAATTCGAGATATCCAATGTGGATGTTAAACAAATTGATGAGCGAGAAAAAAAAGTGGTATTGAGTTCTTTCCCTTGATGAACTTGCATGATTTTGGTCTTGACGAGTTTGCCCTTGCTATCTGTGCCTTATTTTACCGTCGTTTGCTTTTTCACAGCAAGTCGACCTTGAGAGAAAGACAAAACAAAATTCTGAGAGGGGATTTGAATCTAAAATAGAACAGAAACAGCATGAAATATACAGCATAGAGCATAAAATCAAGACTCTGAATCGAGAAAGAGACGTTATGGCTGGTGATGCTGAGGATAGAGTGAAATTGTCTTTGAAGAAAACGGAACTGGAGAATCTTAGGAAGAAACACAAAAAGATGTGATCTCACTTACTGATGCTTTTCTTATCTTTCTTTCTTTCTTTTCATCAATCTACTATGTTGACTCTCTAATGCTATTTACCAGAATTGATGAGTGCAAGGAAAAAGTTCGAGGGGTGCTGAAGGGGAGATTGCCACCTGAGAAGGATTTGAAGAAGGAAATAGTTGAAGCTCTAAGGTCGTGCTTTCACTGAACTTATTCCTTGTAGTGATCCTAGATTAATCCTTTGTTGCTTTAAGATCTCTTGATTAGGATCTGAAAAAAAAAAATAGGCTTGCTACTTCAGTTCTTCAGAAGGTTTCACATCTCAAAAACGTATTTGTATACGTTTTCTCTTTGGTTTAGGTCAGTTGAAAGGGAATATGATGACCTATGCTTGAAATCCCGAGAAGCAGAAAAGGAGGTTAACGTCTTGCAGATGAAGATACAAGAAGTAAACAATAGCTTGTCCAAACATCACAAGGATACAGAATGTAAGCACTGGTGTATATTTAAAGTTAGATATCTTTTTGACCAAAATAAAAAAATTTGACCAAAAAATAAAGTTAGATATCTATTGGCCAGTTATATGACTAGCGCATTAAGTTAATTAAATTGTTCTTGATAACTTTGTCAGTGGTACCACTTGGGACCATTTTAATATAAAATTTCATCTGTCACCCCTATAAATTGATTTTGATTTTTACATTGTGCCTGAACTGACATTAATAACACAGACTAGGAGTCCATTTTTGGCGCACGGTGGATGATTAGACAGTGATATCTATGCACTCAATCTGATTTGTGTATTCGTTATGCAGCAAGAAAGAGATACATTGAGTCCAAGCTTCAAGCCTTAAAACAGGAATCATTTAGCATTGATGCTTATCCCAGATTGTTGGAGTCGGCTAAGGATAATAGAGATTCCCACAAAAGGTTTCTGGTTGATATTGGCAGACTATTTCTACATACCCCATCACATGCTTGGCGTGAATTCCAAGATATTTCCGTCTTGCATTCAAAGCGTAGTTCTTTTTCTGGTTTGTGTTTGCAGCAAATATAGCATGGCACATGGTATGCGCCAGATGTTTGAACCATTTGAGAAGGTAGCCCGTGAACATCATATTTGTCCTTGCTGCGATCGCAGTTTTTCAACTGAAGAAGAGGATAACTTCGTTAAGAAGGTTACATATTTACTCCTGCAGATTTTACCTTTTAATTCATACTTTTTAGTGTTCCTGAAATAACTGTTTGTCTCGTCATTTGATTATGTAAATTTATTTTCAACTGCAGCAAAGGGCTCAGGCTTCAACCACGGGGGAGCATCTCAAAGTCTTAGCAACAAATTCTTCAAACGCTGACTCTATCTTTCAGCAGCTGGACAAACTTCGCTCAGTTTTTGAAGAGTACTCGAAACTTACTAATGAAATTATTCCTCTAGCTCAGAAATCTTTGCAAGAGTATACAGAAGAGTTGGAGCAGAAGTCTGAAGCCCTTGATGATGTGAGTTGGAGAGCTCTAAAAATTTCCTTGGATATAACTGATTTGCAGCCGCACAGTCAGTTAGAGTCATTAGAAATCTTGTTGTTTTCTGCTTGCTCTGTTTCTTATTAATCATGTGGTGATGCACGCAAGCTGGAAAAATCCTAATTTTAGTTCGTATCTTCTCACATCATATGTCATCAATACTTTTAGGTATTGGGAATCTCAGGACAGATAAAAGCTGACAAAGACTCAGTTGAAGCATTGGTGCAGCCCCTGGAAAATGCTGATAGACTCTTCCAGGAAACCATATCCTACCAAAAGCAAATTGAAGATCTGGAATATAAACTTGATTTCAGGGGTCTTGGGGTCAAAAGTATGCAAGAAATCCAATCGGAACTAAGTAGCCTCCAAAGCACCAAGTAAGTATTCTGAATTTATGCATGGTAAACCACATTTCTTTTCCTTGAATATGACTTGGTTTAGCAGTACATCTTTTTTTATGTTTTCCTTTCATATGTACTCATGAACAGGGATAACTTGCACGATGAGTTGGAGAAATTAAGGGATGAACAAATTTGCATGGAACGTGATATATCATGCCTCCAGGCCAGATGGCATGCACTAAGAGAGGATAAGGCTAAGGCGGCCACTTTGTTACGCGACGTTACAAAGGCAGAAGAAGACCTAGAGCGTTTAACTGAGGAGAAAAGTCAGCTCGACTTAGACGTGAAGGTGCGTCTTATTAGAGCTCATCTTTAGATTGTTTTGCACACGTCTTTCTCTGTGTCACTTTTATGATTTTATCATCCATTGTTCATTGTCGAATATGGAGGTTCTAATTTACTACGTCCGTGATCATAAGTAAGAGTTCTTCAGTTTAAGGAATGTGATTAGTATATTATTTTCTTTCTGATAATATATGCTTACTCGTGATGCAATGCAATGGAACACACTTTGATCTGATTCCTTACTGCGTATAGATATGTAGGTAACAATAACTTCCTCTCGAGTAGTGTATCTAAACAGCTCTAAGTATATTCTGTTTATGCATTCGTAAAATGTGATCACGTAGTTTCTTGAAACACGCAAAAGAGTAAACTTGGTCTTTTTGTTCCTGTTTCTGCTTCAAAATGTTTCTGTCACACTAAATGTAGAGCCCTTAGATGTAACACAATCTTCCATTTCAATTATTTTTCAGTATTTGACCGAAGCGCTGGGTCCTTTATCCAAGGAAAAGGAGCAGTTACTGAATGACTACAATGATATTAAAGTTAAACTTAATCAAGAGTATGAAGAACTGGCTGAGAAAAAAAGAAACTACCAACAAGAAGTTGAGGCGTTACTCAAGGCCAGTTCTAAGATAAATGAGTATGTTCTGTTAGCCAAAGATTAATTTCATCACTATCATGTGTACCGGATACGCTTACAGCTGCTTTACCAGGTATCATAATCTGAAGAAAGGAGAGCGACTAAATGATATTCAAGAAAAGCAGCGGGTAGGTGAATCCCAGCTTCAGAGCTCTGAAGCTAGAAAGAATGAAATTACAGCTGAACTGAACAAAAGTAAAGACTTGATGCGGAATCAAGATCAACTGAGAAGAAACATAGAGGACAACTTGAACTACCGGACAACAAAAGCAGAAGTTGAGGAGCTCACACGTGAAATTGAATCGATCGAAGAAAATATCTTTAAAATTGGTGGGATATCCGCAGTTGAAGCTGAACTTGTAAAAATATCGCGGGAAAGGGAAAGACTTCTTTCAGAGGTGAGCAGGCTCTTATATATGGCACTCTGATAACACGTACATTAAATAGGGTAGTCATTTGTTGTTCCTGCTTAGTGTAAGATCTTGCATTTTTCCTTTATAAGCATTTAATATCTGAAGTGGTAGGTTTTTTTCTAAGTTTAGCCTCGCCTCAAGCTAGCCAAAGAATATTAAGTTAAGAAAAAAGATTTTCTTCACTTATTATCATTAGTCGTCGCTGTTAGCAACTGAGATACGTGAACGTGGAGTTATCCTGCGTTAACCTGGATTATCTTAAGATAAGATCTCCATTTAAAGCTTACAGAACCTACTTTGTTGTGGTTGAAGAATGATTCTCTTTTTTTCATGTAGTTGAACCGGTGTCGTGGAACAGTGTCTGTGTATGAGAGCAGTATTTCAAAGAACAGAGTGGAGCTAAAACAGGCGCAATACAAGGATATAGATAAGCGGCACTTTGATCAACTAATCCAGCTAAAGGTAAGACATGATGTTATTACCTTGTGGCAGTGTCTTATTGATCAACGAATTCCACTCTATCTTCATAAATGAACATTTCATTTTGGCCAGACAACTGAAATGGCAAATAAAGACTTGGATAGATACTACAATGCCCTTGACAAGTAAGCTGTTCTTGAGTCCTAATATAAGTTTTTCTCTGGGTAGTTTTTCATTCTACACTATCCGATTCACAAAATCATTTAATCTTTAGTTTTTGACATATATTTCCATTTATACATACAGAGCCCTAATGCGCTTCCACACGATGAAAATGGAGGAAATAAATAAGATTATTAGGGAACTGTGGCAGCAGACATACAGAGGTCAAGATATGGATTACATAAGAATACATTCAGATTCCGAGGGTGCAGGCACTCGCTCTTACAGCTACAAGGTACGCGACAGAATTGACAAACATGGTTTTGCCATTTGATCACCATTTACATTGTGCTAAACTATTTTTTTTTTTTGTAGGTTCTTATGCAGACTGGTGATACAGAACTTGAAATGAGAGGAAGATGCAGCGCAGGTCAAAAGGTGAGTTGTTCTAAAATCTCTCTTGTAGAGCATCATTACCTATTCATTAAGCATCGTTATTTAACTCAGGTGATCGCTTTCTTCTCCATTTTTCTCCTGCAGGTTCTTGCTTCATTGATAATAAGGCTTGCTTTGGCCGAGACATTTTGCTTAAACTGTGGAATATTAGCCCTTGATGAGCCAACTACAAACTTGGATGGGCCCAATTCAGAATCTCTTGCCGGAGCACTTCTTAGGTATGAATCCAGATCTATAACCTCGGCGACAGTAATGAATGATGATAGTTTCTCTTACACCGAAATTTATCCAATTACTGGAATCATTACTGTTTAATTGCCCTGTCCTTTACACATTTTAAGATCTTGGCTGTCGACATTGGATCTTATTCTGTCATTGCATTCTCCAGGATCATGGAGGACAGAAAGGGCCAAGAGAATTTCCAACTCATAGTCATCACCCACGATGAACGCTTTGCTCAAATGATTGGCCAACGGCAACATGCTGAGAAATATTACCGGGTTGCGAAAGATGATATGTAAGCAAAACGTTCTTCCTTGTCATTCTCATCTCTTCTTTTTTGCTTTTTTCCATTTTCTCTGAATCCGAAGATCTGAAACTTCGTCAACTCGTGATCTTTTCAGGCAACACAGCATAATAGAAGCCCAAGAGATCTTTGATTGATAAACCGGGTTGCTTGTCCTATTAACCAACATAACAGCATTAGTCCACTGTTTAACGGTAAGGTCATCTTTGTGAAGTCTTCGATCTGTTTCTTACAACTTTACATATGGTTAATTAGATGTGTGCAAAGTTTTCAGTTGAATTGAAAAATCAAAATGCAGAGGCACCTCTTGTAACCCTTTGTATGTTAAGTTTATTTTAAGACAATGCAACATTTCAGATTAGTTCGTGGGTTTGTTCATGGTTCTTTGATGGTTCTGATATTCCAGCAAGTCTCATCACATCTTCATAACATCTTTCGTTCTTTATTTATGAACAACATAAACATCATTACAACCAACTATTAACCCATTGTTAATAGCTTCATATCGTTCTTTTTGGTCTTTTTCGATCACATTATGGAAATTTGTTTGTCGAATAAGAAAATAAGGTTAGTAGATAGGACTAGCGACAGGAGTGAAACCGAGCAACTTCTTAGAATGGAGCCATGGTTGAATAACCACAACGGAGTCAAACATCCTGCTCGAGCCATCGGGTTGAGTCACTTCAATCCTTAGATAGAATTTGGTACCAGCCACGACCTGTTTCTGAGCCGACACAACTCGGCTAAACATCAACGGATTCAACGTGGCCGTGTCCGTTTTCGCAATTGATGCTACGTTTCCTTGCTCGCTCTGTTCCTGTAGATTGAATTGCTCCACGCAATACCTGTATCACACAAATCACAATTTCAATATATCGGCATGTGTATATCAGTATACGTACATGTATATAATGTGGATGCATCATGTATGCTTTATACCTTCCAAGTTCTTGAATTTCCATGTTGGTTCGAACGTTGGCAACATCTGACTTCCCTCCGAGGACGACAGACTTCCTTGAAGCGTTCGCCGATGGAGTCACGACGGCGATCACCAGAAACCCTAACAACGACAATCTAAGAGAAACCTTTAACATTGCATCCATTGCTTTCTCACTTCTGTCTTCCCTCTTTGGCTTCAGTTTTGATATTTTGGATGATTTCTCTTGCTCCTTAATGTATCTTTAAAGCTTTGTTTTGGTTTCTCTTTAAAACGCTGTTTATGTGTGTTGTATAATTTGTGTGAGAGAGAAGGGTTTATATAGAGAGAAAGAGAGTTTGGGTATGTTGGTGTTGTTGTGTTTGGGTGTACGTGAATGGGTCCCATGCTATCGGCACCTTCGGGGTTCCGCATCTTTTAAGTTACTTTCTGATCAAAGTCTCCACGTGAAGTGAGCCCCCACCATTTTTAACGTATGTGACCTCATCGGATCGGTATAATTATGTTTTTTTTTAAGTTTTTACGATTTAGATGTTTGTATGATCAAGATTTTAACTTAAGAACTTCATAGAGAATCTTTAAACCATTATATTATATTATAAATTGGTATGTTTAAAACAACAAACACAGAAATCTCGTATCTTATATAATGCTTTGTTTCTATGATCCATTGTTTTACAGTAGTTGCACCAATGAAACAGTTTTTAATCCTAATTTGACCAAAGGAATCATGGGTCTCTAGCCACCTTATCGCCTCGATTTCATTTTACATAATTTTTTTGTCTTTTTGTTGGTTTTTGTTATAATGCAAGGGATGTTTGGGAGAACGACACGTATCAACTGAATTTGACATCTGCCCTCTCTTCTCCTCGCATGCTGCTCACGTAGCACCTCCTTACGTATGCTAAAACTACACATAAATACTGTCTATTATAATTTTCAATCTGTTACGACCAACTGCTAAACAAACCAAATGAAAAAACATATATAAAAGGGACATTGTTTATGCCCTTCTCAAAAACAAAAACCAAATGAAAATATTTTGCTGTATAATAGCCAACCAGTCTAGACTTATCTTAACGTGGGCTTTATCAATTTGTTTGGGCCTATAAAAAATTATGGATTATTTCAGTTTCGTTTAACCCAACAAAACAAATAAGTTACTCAGTACTTCAGTAGAGATATATAATGCCTATTTTTAGTTTATGTGAAAGAATTGGGAAACATTCTACAAGACAGGTGAATATCTAAATACGAAAATAAATGTAGGAATCATTAAAAAATTTGGGGTCTAATTATTTATACAAAAACATTTCCTCAGTCTTGAATTTCTCTCCTTGTTCCTTCAATTATCTTTACCACTCCATTCACAGCAACATCAAAAGCATCTTCAAGAGTCTCTCCATCCGGTTTGTGTCGGTTTGGTTTAGTGTACACAATCTTCGGAACCAATCTTATTACGTTTTCTCTCATGCCAACCACTTTCGCATTTGGTATTCCACGCAAAATCTTTTCAATTTTGTTCTTTCCCCCGGTTCTCAGCTCTTTAACCGGTATATAAACCGAATACTCGCTCTCGTTCTTGGGTATGTGCCATACATATTGCTTGTATGCGCTTTCCTGGTTGAAGAAAACCGGAATACAACCAGCCAAGATCGAATCAAATACCGATCTTCTGGTTAACGAATCACCCGGCGGTTGTAAACAGAAAACCGAGCTCTCGAAGAGCTTCATCAGACTGATCGGATCATCGCAGCCGTTGGCTTTAACATCGCAGTCAAGAAACCTACACGTCTTAGAAGAACTCTTGCATTGCTGGATAACTTGAGTGCGAACCAAACCGTTCTGGTTTCTGCTTGGTCTTTGAGCTCCGGCGAAGGAGAAGAGGACCGTCCGGTTTGTGAGCTTGATCTTGTCTTGCCACTGGATGATCTCGACGGCTGAAGTCGGGTGGAAGTAGGTTGGATAAGGAATTGCAAACTCGTTGGGGCTCGTTGGACTACGTTCAATGGTGAGGAAAGAGAGGCTTTGCGACTCTGGTAATAGCATCAAATTGGTTCCCCATCCGGATTTGTGGTCGGAGTTTCGCCGGAAATCTCGTGAAATCCGACCGGTTACGAGGAAATGGTCTTTACCTGACATACCTGGATATCAATTCGTAATAACTGAGAAATTATATACGTAGTTATGTCAACAAATAAAATGGCCGAAAAACTTAAAAAACCTACAATTTTGTGATACATTAAAATTTCGATTAAAATTCTTAGCAAGAAAATATAGGTTACGTTATAGTTTGTACATATATTATATTTTGTTGACCAAAACAAAACAAAAATGGGTTTGAAGTTTCTCTTCAAAACAAAAGTGGTTGAAAAGGGATAAGAAATGAAAGTTGTTGGTAAGTTCCATCAACTCGTGCTAATGATTAAAATCGAAACTATAAGCAATAATTGCAAACGATCAAAAACACTGGGGATCAAAACGAAAATTTCTTAAATAAATAGAAGAGACAAGCGTACCTTTCCACTGGGGTTGCTTTTTGAGCCATTTAAACAGTTCCTTGCCGGCGGCGTCTCTCACTGCCACGTTACGCCGCCGTAGATGTCGCCGGAAATCGAGACCAGCATAATAAGGTACGTAAATAGCCGAAGCCAGACTCGAATTTCTCGTCAAGCACTCGTATCTCTTCATTTTCTCGTGGAAAATCACTTCAAGCATGAACTGATTAGTCGCGTACCAGCTCGGGGAATACTGAGAAACTCCGTCACCGGAAAATTCACCGATCAGAGGTCCGAATCCGAAGTTCTCAACGTACTTACACATACTGATTTTGTCCTTTGGTCTCGAAATCGACTCGCAATCGTCGAGGATGTCGATGTTGAATCGAGAAGGTAGGTTGTGGATATATACATAGCGGCCGAGACATGAATCGTCTCCGAATCCGGCGGAGTTTTGACGGAGGTGATGATCGGATTGTGAGGAAGTGGTGATGAGGATGATTTTGTTTTGGGAAAGACGAAGGAGAAGCAGAGAGATTGTGAGGAGAGAGAGGAGAAGCAAGAGAGTCGTCGGTTTCTTCTTCCATGGCGGTTTCTCGATGGAACTGTTGTTGTTCTTCTTCATCGTCGTTGTTGTGAATGTCGTGTGGTGTTTCTTTATTTGACGATCCATGTCGAATTGAGAGAAAGGTCAAAGAGTACACGCAAATAATATATTATTATTATTTAAATTTTGATTGGGGGAATTAAAAAGTCGGATTACAGAGATATCAAATAGAATCATTTAGTTTATATCATTTCTTGATTTTATAATCATATACATACATACGTAGGTTGGGTGGAAGCTTCTTATGATTGTTTTTCCAAAAATCAATATTTGGTCAAAATAGCTCAATTTGTAGTATATATAATAAAACCTTTATTAAATGTTTGCTACATGTTTACTTTTGCAAAGCCTTTCAAAATTTTGGTTATTCGTATTAGAGTGATGAGAGCTTATGATGGAAGAACTATATCTACTCTCAATAAAGATGAATATAGAGTTTACCTAATTATCTATCAAACAATGCAAGAGTTCTCGTATAACATAAATACAAATCTCTATAATTATATTCATAATATTCTGTTAATAACATGGATCTTCTGTTGACAAAAAAAAAAAAAAAACATGGATCTTACAGATCCTTCTACATATAGTTAGCTAGTTAACCTTTTTAATTAAAAACAACTTCTTTAGTATTTAATTAATCATCAATCTTAAACCTGTAATCATCTTTTTCTTATTTTGTTACTCTTCTTATAAATAAGATCCACAAAGAAACCAAACCAGAGCAAAGTCAAGTGTCTTGTTTTCTAGTTCTGTACCTTTTGTGTTTAACAAAAAAACATACGTTGCTTGTTGATTTGTGAGTTATTTGACTGAAAAGTCTTAAAGTAAAACTCGGAGAAAGACTCTATCGACAGACTAAACCGGCTTAGATATCGACCTCTCGCACCTCAAGTTTAAGCCCTTTGCCTCCTCCATTCGCCAATGGATGGATCCCGAGCTCGGGCCCGGTCATATACGCCCTTGCCTCTCTCTCTCCCTCTATCGATACTCCAAACCTCTTCTCTGCCTCTGCATCCATAATTATAATCCAAATCCAATCATAAAACTACAAAACACTGTCTATGGATTCTCACGTTGAAAGTACGAAATGACACTAACTCATTTATGGATCTTTCGTACCCTGAATCATCTCGTGGAAAAGCTGGCCATCGCGTGTTACGGCCATCATGACATTAGGTAAGCCAATGGGAAGCTCATGCCCCATGTCAACTTGCCAAAAATGGAAAACTTTGCCATACGTCTTTGCGACTTTGTCAAGGTCTTGACGCTGAATGGGACCAGGAACACCAGGCATGAACAGGAACCCTCCTTTCACTTCCCACTCGTGCGTGTGCCAAAGCTTCTTCTCTTCATCAGGCAAAGTCATGAACAGCTTCTCTGTTACTATGTACTCCAATCCGATCAGACGAGCGTTTGCATCCGGACCGTCGTAGATCAGACACTGACGTATCTCTTCGTTCACGTGACTGCAGAAATGGTGAGCCTCTACTTGTCGTGTCATGTCGTCAGCATAGAAATGGAACCTACCAACACACTCACTGAGTTTAATAACACTCGTTCTATATACATTGTAGATTTGTAACTAAACATTCAAACGCAAATCGAATCAAAACAAAATTTATAAGATATATTCTTGCCAATGTTTTTCCAAATTGAAACTCAACCGAACCAAAGAATTCACAAATAGATATAGTATTATTAAGTCATTTGATATGAATTTATTTTTGCAAGCTTTATATATATATTAATATCGAGTATTTATATACTTTGTTTCTTCTGACCTTGTTTCAAAGAATTACAAATCCAAGAAAGACTAATAAAAAAGGTAGAGTTGATAAAGATAGACCGGGTTAACATACGCGCAGAGATGTTGGTGGATTTGGTTAACCGGAGCAAAACTTTGGACGGCGGAGGTGGCTGTGTCGATTATGGAGGTGCCGGTTTTCGTTGCATCCCCTGGAACCTCCGGTCCAGACGTCGTCGATGAGTGGACTGCTTTCTCCATTTTAATTAATTCGTTGCTCTTCCCTTCCAAAATTTTGTTATGCAACCAAACAAACAAAGTTACTGCAAAGAGAAATAGATCATGCGTTCGTACTTGTTGGTGTAACCTAAAAAAAGGATGGAGTGTATATGCATGGAGTGTAACATGTGGCAAGCCGAGAAGGTTACACTTGGGTATTTCAGCTTTTGTTTAGGAAGGTATTACAAGAATTAGTCAAAATGTTGAGTGATTTTGGAAAGCTGATCAGATAATTGCTTGTGCCAAAAATTATGCTACGTAGTGAGTGATCCGTTATCAGTAGCCTTGTATATAGTAGTAAAGCTTGAAAGATATAAAAATCGTTCTTGTTATTCAAGCAAAAAGTAAGATCTTTGAATTTCCATCTGTTTACTTCTGACGCAAGTAACGAAACGACACTAAACACAAGAAATTTTAGGGTTTTCTATCGTTTCAGAAGTCTCTGAAACTCATCTTTGGGTCGACACCTTTTGAGCCTCTTCTCCCTCCTCTGCCTCTGCCTCTCCCTCGTCCCCTTCCCCTTCCTCCACGCCTCACAAAGGACCTCCCATGTTTCACTTCAACCAGTGAGAGAAGCAACTCATCACAGAGAACGCATCCTTGATGCAGAGTGGCTCCGTTCTCTAGAGGAGTGGTTTTCTTGTTGAAGTCGATCTCTATGATGGCTGAATCGCAATCGGGACAGCGGTTACTAGTGGTGGCGATGCGGTGAGCACCTTCCGGGAGCAAAACGATGCAGCTACACAAGTTGCAGTTGAGTTTCCACTTGGGGAAGCTCACCGGGTCCAAGACGAGTGTGCCTTCACACTCTGGGCAAGCGCAGACTCCTTGGTTTCTCAGAGAGTGTGGGCATGTGGGATGAGGACAGAGAGAACACGGCATGCCTGAACCGGTTTTGTTTTTGGCAGAAGCATCTGCCGTCTTAGTGGCTCCAAAGAGTGTGTCTATGCCTTCGAATGGAGGAGAGTTGTAGCAGTATGGACAGAGTGGAAATGACTTCCCCTCGGATCCTGGAACTGAATAGATCACGAGCTCAAAGTTGTCTAAAGGACACGTGAGTTCCTTGTACAGCTGTAAGACAATCAGGTAACAAAGGATTCAGATTCATGTTTAGTAATGGAAAATCCGAAAACTAGAGATCCACTGAGGTTTCAGGTTAAGGGATTTTAGGTAATGAAACGGTTTTATTACCTTGACTGTGCCTTTTTGTGGAAGATAATAAACTTCTTCGCATGTGCCACAGAAAAGACGAGGTGGAACTGCTGTGATGTGTTTCATGTAACGCAAGCATTTTCCACATTTGCTTAAAGCGCGACCAGAATCAGCCAGAGGAGAGAACTGTGCTTCAAAAAGGGCATCCATGTGTTCGATCTGAAGGACAATATAAGGGAGAAATTAATGAGGACCAGATTTAAAATCGAAGACTTTATAATGCCTTCAAAGAAAACATAACATAAGCCACTTTTCCCCAACCTGTTGAACAAAATAACTGAATTTACGCCGGAATTGCTGAATCACATGTTGCACAACGTGTGAATGATCAGCTTGGCCCTTGGCAACAAGTGTGATTTGTTGCTCGATAAAGCTCCGGATGTCTGGTAAGCAAAGGTCTGGATCAATACATTGATAGCCTCTTATCAGCGTGATTCCTAGTGCCGTTGGAACCAATTTCCTCCCAGATTGGACCTGCAACAGAGCGTAAACACCAAACAAGGATAATGAAATTTCTCAGATAGCAAAAATATATCCTCCTGAAATGACTAACATGATAATCATGAAGAAAAAGCACACTGCCTTATCCTTAACCCACCTGAACATAATTACGTTCACCAATGTTGTTTATATGCACAGGTATTGATGCATCTGTGCCTATGCCATGCTTCTCCATTAAAGATATCAGCTCACTCTCAGTAAGAAAGTCCGGAGGCGCAGTGTTACCCTGTAAGATTGTACAAAATTCAAAGACAAATAGAAAAGATAAACTAAAACTGAAAACATTTTTGTGTCCTAGTACAAGGCAATAGAAAGTGGAGGAGAATGTAACCTCGTACAGCTCCACTCTTAAAGCTTCAATCTTCTCTCCTTTGAGAAAAGAAGGGAGTTTTTTCTCGTCCACTGCAGACCATGGCATTATAGCTGTAAACCCCTTTTCTGTCACACGCTGCCCCGTACAATGGAAAGTTTCTCCACCAATTGATAATTCCACTTTAGTCCTGAGATATCCATCCAAGAGAATGAGGAATCCCACATATAACATATGCAAAGAATAAGCTGTAATTGACATGGATCAAGCTACAAAGGCTTTATTTACCTTATGTATTTGCAGTTAGGTGAGACGGTGCCAATAAAATGTTGACAGACATACTGATAGAGTCGCCAAGCATCTCCTCCGACCATGACCTCGGTTGCTGCTCGCATTGGGGTGATAGGAGGATGGTCTCCAGCATCGGTTCCTGACTTTGGCTTCTGAAAGCCGTCTGAGATAAGTCTCTGTACGAAACCACCCCATACCGGATTACTAACTTGCGCTCTGAGTGTGTCTGTGAAGTCGAATGAAGAAGGATAGGCTGTGCTTTCCGTGCGCGGATAGCTAGCACAAAACATAAGAGTTTGAGTCAAAAAAAGGTTTCATCACCATGATGATAGAAACAGGTTTAAATGAATAATTTAGGGAAAAATGTGATGCATGTATATCCTCATCAGCGATGGTGATGCATGTATATATCCTCATCAGCGATGCTTTTTGCAATTTCTTATTGAAAAGTTCTAAATTACTCAAACAAAACTACCATTCATTAACGATATATGATTTACCAAAATTAGCCAATTATATGCTGGTAAAGAGGAGTTAAAGGACAAAAATAATAATCTGGAGAAAGGTTAAGCAACCTGATGAAGCCTTGAGTATACAATCGCTCGGCAAGATGCATAGCCGTCTGAGGCCCAAATCCTAGAGCACTTGAAGCAATCTGTGTAACAGTGAACAAAACTTGCTTTTATTGAACTCGTGAACAAGACTAAGCAATGAAAAACGCTCTAATCGTAACAACATCGAAACCAAAAACAGGATAAATAAAACAAGAAGAGAACGATCATCGCGATTTTGTTGTCAACCTTAAAAACAACCACGATACTGACGGAAATGTCAAATAACATATCCTTGGACGAATGCAGAATATTCCAGTTTTCCAGTCAGTGTTTTGCGATCATTAGTACATGATATGGTGTTCGCCTAAAGTATAATGTACAACCACACAAGTTTCATTTTGAAGGAATGGTAATTACGGCTCACGAATACTCTCACCTTTAGTAGATTCACGGTGTTAAGACCAGCTGGTCGACCTTTGACTTCCTGCTTTTCTGATACGTCAATAACTTTTGCAGTTCTGCCTTCCACAACCAACTTTTGAAACACAATAGCAGCCTACAATTTGTGAAAGCATATGAATATATTATATATATGAACGCGAGGTTGGAAAAAGAAAGCCAAGAATGTCAAAGAAATTCTAACACAAAACCGAAACACTAACTTCCAGGTCGAACAATCTACGTCTATCCCACTCTAGTTGAAGCTCATAACCATCCTTCATTATATGAGGTCGCAAAGACCAAAACTTTTCTGGCTTGAAAGTATTAATCTGCATGTATCGTTGCACACAAAATCCAAGAGTAGGAGTCTGGCATGGTCCATAACTGAAATAAACATTTAACAGGATCTTCAGTAGTTGAAAGAATTAAACCAGATGGATATAGTGACTTGTGTTATAACGAAGAAGAAAAAACTAGTTGGTAATATAGTTTACAGAAACACTACTGTTGAAGTCGAAGAGTGACAGAAAAGACATTAAATCAGTCGCACTCTTAGGATCGAATTCGAACCCCAAGAGAACTAGAAACATCGTCGAATCATGGCAAAGATAGACAACATAAAAGCATATCTTACAAGGCAATATCTATACTTCTTTTTAGCATTCACACGAATAATGAAACGCATTACTAAGATGCTCTAAATGTCAGGAACCACGATAGAATTCTACAGACGCATCTTATATGATTCAACCATATCAAGAAAATTATCGACCCTACTTTTTAGAAACTCTTTACATATGAAACAAAAGGAGAGGAAAAGAAGGAGATGAGAGGAAACTAACGAGATAACTCTGCAGTCTAGATTCTGATATTTGCCTTGGAAATAACTTGTTTGAAATCGCGAGAATGCTACACCAACTTTTAGATCTATCTCTTGGCGAGCATCTACTGCTAGTGCTTCATCCCTGTTTGGTTCAACAAGGTTGTCCATGGCCTTTGATATATCTTTTTCAGTAACAGAAGAAAATCGTGCCCGATAAACCTTTCTCTTACTATCTTTCATGTCAAAGCCAGTGCACTCGATAACTACAGAAATTATAGCAACGGCCATCAAAACCATGTGCATTCCCAAATATGAATGGCGTAGAAAAAGTATTTTTGCAGGATAAAAATATTTAAGATGTTGGTGGTTACACCTCATATGCGGGAGCTAACTGTAATATGGAACCCACAATCTACTACGACAACTTAATGGGTCTACCAGTAGATAATGGCATGATTTGTTTTCAATTAGCAGAGAAGAAAGTACAGTTATTGATTCAACAATTACCAATAGAATGGATGCAATAATTAGAAACAATAGATTCTGTATGTTTAACCAAAAGCTGCTAATTAGAGACTTGCCTTCAAAACATATATTCTCCCCTTCACGATCGCAATCCAACCACAATACCATATAACTGCAACCACGAGCTTCATTACTTAAATGCCTACAAATATGAGCCTGAGATTTGAAGACTGTTAGAGAAAAGTTTACACTTATACATAAAAGAACACAAGTAGCATTTAACCACTAGAAAGATGCATCTCTACTACTAAATACTAAACATACGCATAATCTTGTTCCAGAAGTCATGCATATCGTTTTCTTCATAAAGCAATAAAGCTCATCCCTTGACGTATACAAATGTTACTATAAAATGTGTACTACTGCTGCCAAAATCCAAAGTAAAAGCCAAAAAAACCAGCTCAAGCACTCCCCATACGCAGAGAAAAAAGATTTAAGATTGTGAGAACTATTTACCTTTGGGTTTGACTCTTTTTTATGAATTGGAGCGTCGAAAAGATCTTGTGGATCAATTGTTGCCCAATTCTGATATTTTTCTGGGAAATCTACACTAGAATATGAGAGTGACATTTAGAAAGACTGAAAAATCTGCTTTGAAACATTAAGAATGTCAGCAAGCGTTTGTTTTCACAGCAGCTTTCTACACGATATAGAGTCCAAGAAATAAATAAGAAAAATGGATAAAACATTAAACTAAAACCATTTTTCAAACTCTCGAGTGTAGCAATAAAAATAGAGACTTGAGTAGCTTAGAAGAGGTCAGATGATGAAAAGAGCGATTTTCAAAGCATATGAGTTGTCAATGTGCATTTGATAAAGAAAGTGTGATGAACATTTTAAAGAAAAGTTCCATTGTTGAAAGGTAATCTATGCAGCAGCAAACACTTATATATCTCTTGATTTGATGATAATATTTGATAGGCAAGAGAGAACCTGAAAACATGCCCGATGACAGATGTTACTCTGTAATGTGCTTTGAAGCCTCGAAATATCCCATCAAATTCATGCACCTCTGTACTGCCTCTCCTTGTGGACATCTGATTCAAAAGGAGAAGATATTTCAAATAAACCAAACCTCTAACACCAAAAAAAGCAAATCAAATGGTCCAATAATCAGAAGAAAAAAACGTGCTGATTACAAAACTAAGCAACCAAAAATTAATCCTTCATTAATGCTTCTTGCAAGCAATTCAGACTTGCAAGAACGGATTCGGTTTTTTCAACTCCCAAAGAACTACAGAATTTACAAAAGTGCAGTCCAGTCACAACTCCAAAATTAACAACCCATCAGAGAAAAGTTTTGAAATTTACAAATCAAAGCACAAATCGAGCAAGGTGGCTGCTTTGAAAAGTAGGTCTCAGACATTAAAGCTAGCCATTTGAACATTACTTTAACTGATTTATGCCTGAAGGTTTATTTATTTCAAACGAGATGAGAATCAAAATTACGCAGAACAGTCCTAATAATATCATTCCCTCTGAGAAATCGACAGCAAACCAAAAAAAGAATAGGAAGAAAGACAAGAGGAGGAACCTGTCCATGAGAGAGAACTGAAGCTATGGAGAGAGCAATGCTGGGCTTCTCCGCCACCTGATGAAAGCAGTAAGAGATGAAGACGAAGTGGAATCGAAATCAGGAAAAGGAAGAAAAAAAAGCTAATTCCCTCACCATAAGAACCCTGGGGAGATGAGCCATTGATGACGACGATGTTCGAATCGGGTCAAAACTCAAGCTTTTAGCCGAAGACGCAGAACTCAGCACAAAGGCAAACCCCAAACGAGAGAGGAAATACGAAGCAGTTTTTGCCATATCCCAAAACGATGCCGTTTCGGGGTTTGTAATAATTTTTTGTAATAAAAAGAAATCATCTACCTATTAATTGAGAATGTAGTTTAATAAAAAATGCTGATTTGTTTAAATCTGATTGGTTAAAATCATTTGTCTACTCTAATTAAATGTGACATAAAAATGATGATGTGTAATGATGATGTAATTGTGACATGTCATTTACTAACACATGTGGTTGATGACATGGCAAAAAAAAATTTTTTTGTGATATTTCCATAAATAAAAAAAAAAATTAGATGACAAAATTTAATGTACTAATAACTAAATCTGGAATGATTCGCCAGATACACTACGAATGGTCTGATATTATTATTCATCTATATGGGTAATAGTAGATAAATTATGGATTGAACGTGATGATTTTAATACATATATACATATATATATTATAATACTATATTATATACCTATAAAATTTACTATAGGTCTGTCATGGACCACTGTGATTTTCCATATTTACATATATATTATAATACTATATTCATATGGAATACATGCACATATGTTTTCATATATTTCACAGTAGGCAAATTTATAATAACAAAATCACATTGATCAAATCGTGTACCTAATAATTCATATTTTTTGTAAAAGCGGTGTTCCATTTACGTGCACATATGTTTTCACATAATCCAGGTGGCAAAATTATAATAACAAAATAAGATATTATTATGATCTTATGTAGAACATTCAAAATTTAAAATTAGTTTAGTTTAAAAATAATAACAAATATAAATATAAGATTTCAATTTAATAATCTTCTATTGTTATTTTTCTTAACAAACGTTAGATATTATAAAAAATCAACGTGCATCTAATAAAAAACTAAAATTATAATCCTCTACATTATTTAAAAAGTTTAATGTCCATTTAATAAAAACCAAAAAGATCCATATAAAATCAAGTTCATCCCAAATAACTATGTAATAAAAAAGTTAAATACTTGGGTCCTTATATAATAAAACATCACAATATACATGAATATTAAACAAATTAAACCTTAACTCAAAGTGCGGGCATAACAATTCTATCAATACATTTACCTAAATTGAATATGGCTAAAATGAAACTTGAAGGTTGGATAGACTCCAATCATGAGTGTAATGAAGAAAAGTTTTATCGCTACACTAAATTTCCAAACAAATAGATTTGGCATCAAAAAATTAAGAAGTGGCTCCCTCGTCTACGCAACAGAAAAACAATGTTTCCTACGATATCAGCCTTCCATAAGTTTTAGAAGAATATGGTGAGCTTTTCTACCTTAAAATGTTGCTAAGTGTTCAGAGATGACCAATATGCTTCAAAGATATCAGGACAGTAAATAGAGTTTTATATCTAACATTCGCTGAAACATGTCTTGCAATAGGGTTAGTTGAAGCACTTGATGCTTAAGTGGAGATGATCTTGCAATTATTTATAGAGTCTACTTAGTAAAATAATAAGTAGAAAAATCGCACATATGAGTAGATCAAAACCAACAATGACAGAATCCTTGAAAAAATAGTGCTTTAAATTGAAGAAGATTATAGGAAGACAAAGAAAATGAAAAATGTTTGTTAAAAGAAAAAAAGACAGAGAAGATAAAATTTGTAGCCTGATCCGTAAATCCAAAGAAGATAACCAACTATCCACGAGTTTGACCCATTTGACCCTCTAAAATAGAGGGTCAAGTTTTACAAAACCTGTTCATCGAAAAATAATTTTTGTGTTTTCCAAATTTAATTATTATTTTTCAAGTTTGTCTAAGAATATAAATGAACCTTTTATTATAACAAAATGTTTAGTTAAAACTACATCATATTTTACCATTAAATTTAAAGTTTTATAATTCAAAACACTAACCTTGAGTTTTATAAACTACAAAAAATTAAAATATCTAAGACGAATTTAAGTATTGTATTTAGATAATTACATTTTTAAAATTGTTCATGCTCGCACATGCGTACAGGCCAATATCCTAGTTTCTGTATACATACAAACTATAAAACTGCTGCATAATTTTCATAACGATAAGCATGGATTTAGTGTTAACCACATAAACACTGGCCCCAAATAAACAAAAAAAAAATATAGTAAAACACCTAATTCATGTTTTTTTTTTTTTGGTTCCTGGTTTTATTATTTATACATATAGGGAAAACGAAACCATGTGACTTCTTCTCTCGACTCTCGCCAATCTCCCTATTGGTTCTTGTTATATCATGGAAATAGCTTTTTTGTGCGAATATCATGGAAATAGCTATATCATGGTTTTGCATAAGAAATATTCAATCAATCGTAAAAAATGGTTAACAGAAATATTTCATCCAAATCGGTCAATAAGTTATGTGGTTTCGCAATCTTTGCCTCTCGAATAAGTGTAGATTAGTGTTTGAGAAACATACAAGACGATATAAACATTTAATACTAACCTAAGATTTTACATTTCCCATCCCTCCTAGATTTTGGTCTACCAGACAAAGTGAAAAGCAAACAATAAAGGGCATTGTGTCTTGTTGTAGTGACATATCATCTTTCCCTTTCAATATGTTTTCTTTTTCGGCTTTTCATTTCTTTATTTTTTATTATAATGTATACATCGGTGTATGTTTTCCGAATTTTTTATTATTATTCTTTTCTTGGAGCACAATTGTTTGGGTAGAATAATATACGCTATTAAAGTCTATTGATATCAAATAAACTATACCTAGCTATGTGTCGCTGTTCAAATTTCAGTATGAAAATTGTAAGAATATACACTTAGACGTCTCACCCAAACCCTATGCTATCTATATAATTGACACCCCACTTATAATTTTATCTTTAACATAAAAAATGGGAAAAAAAAAATCATATATCAAAGATTTTATTGACAGTTATTAATAACAATTTCATCTGGTGAATCTTTAAGAAATGATAAGACATAGATAGAATTTTAATCACGTGAGATGATATGTTAAACATTTGATTTGGAAACATGTTTTCTATGTCATTTGCTAACACATGCATGCTCATATGTGTAGATATAATATATGTGAGTGAGCTTCGACGACACCACGTTGACAGAAAGTGTCCATTGAAACAAACCCTAATCCTCTCGACGTTCGCTTCTTTTGTTTTGAGAAAAAGTATTAACAATGTTTTGAATGGTTTCTTTTCCTTTTTCTGATATAAGTTTTGTTTTTTGATAGAAAAATCGGAGAACGACGTCAAAAACATAAAATATTGTGTGCATTGTGTTTGACTGTTTGTGTGTACATAATGTATATTTATAACTCAGAATAAATGGCTATGTACATGTGATAGTGGAGTGACAGAGAAACGACTAGTGTATATTTATCGGAGGGATGTTTTGTAATCTTATTGGCAAAATCATAATTTCTCTATCAAAATGAACCATAGGGGCATATATATATACCCCGGATTGTATAATATGATCATAAAAAGTAGTCTAGTATATGGTTTATCGAGAAAATAATTTAAGGTGGACGAAAATTAAAAGCGGAAAAAGTCCAACATTGTGAGGCAGAGACTTTGGATGGGAAAGAAGAAATGATGGAGGCATGTTTGGCATCTGGCCATCTAAAGGCCAAAACCATTCTATCCAAATATTTAATTATTTTGTCTTTTTAAAGCAAAAGAATCCGTTTCGATATTATAACTACAACGACTAATCCATGCATACATTATGTATACGTTTATAAACCAATCATACATATATAAACATTATGTACGTATACATGTATATAGTCATTGTCATCCAACCAGATTAAACGTGAGGGTCTTGTTCAGATAAAATTACACGTTCATAATATTAAATCGCAGTTGAATCAGTGACAAATATATATGTCACATGTTTAGAAGAAATTTGAAGTGGAAGGAAACGTTAAAGTAAAACTAAGCATGTTTGATAGGATACCTAAATTAGTTTTATAACATATGGGAAAAAATAATTGGTTTATAATATGGGGGAACTCATCTTTATAACCTAAAATTTGATTTTTTTCTCAATATGTAGACCCCTTATTGAATGTTTGGCAAAATTAACTCAAAGGAGTAGTGAAATTACAGCTCAGTCCTTTGTGACTAAACAAAAAACGTCTACCACAATTACGATTTTATCCTTCGAGAAGTCTACGTAAGAAGTCTACAATCGTTGTATGTAGACTTCAAAAGAAGTCTACTACATAATTCGTTTTTTAAAAATTAATTAGAAAATATAAAATAAATAAATTTCTAAAAAAATGGTAAACATAAGTAAGACATATATATTTGATATGTATAGAATACAAAATTTCATACAAATGAATCAACTTAAATGCAGAAAGAAAATTAACTAGAAAACATACAACCCCTTAGAAAACATACGTATGCAGTAGACTTCTCGAGTAGACTTCTCCAGTAGACTTCTCTAGTAGACTTAAAAAAAACATAGTGAGAAATCAAAATTATTTAACAAATTGGGCGGGAATTGGAACAAATTAGGCGGGAATCGAAATCGAAAAAATATATTGAAGTAGACTTTTCAAGTAGACTTCTCCAAGAAGTCTACTTAACCGAAAATTTTCCTACATATATAAGGAGATTAACCTAATTAGGTTAAAAATAAAGTTTTTCTCTCCCTCTAAAAAAAGCCTCTCTCTCCTCTACCTCCTCTCTGGCCATGAATCTCTTCTCCTTCCTCTCTTGCCATCAAACCCATCTCTATCCTCTATCCTCTCTATCTCAATTATGGCGATGGTAAACAAATCTGAGGTTTTGTGTTTCTTTTGTTGTTTGTTTTGTGTTCATATTGTAAATCTGGGTTTATTAGTGCATATTTGAGCTTCTTGTTGTAGATCTGAGTTTATTCTTGCAAATATGCGCTTCTTATGGTATAAATTTTGTAAAATTTGTTGTAGATCTGAATTTTTTGTTGTTGCAGATCTGATTTTTTTTTGTAGATCTGAATTTTTAGTTGTTGCAGATCTGATTTTGTTTATTTTGTTGCAGATCTGAATTTTGTTTATTTTGTTGCAGATCTATAATTTTTTTTGTTGCATAGCTGATTTCTTTTTTTCTTTTTTGTTGTAGATATGATGTTTGTAAATATAGCAGATTTTGTTGAAATATGAATTTTAACATTTTTTTTCTTATTGTGCAGGCCTGAGCTTATTTATTTCTCTTTTGTTTTTGTTGGAAGCAGACTTCAGCTGCAGATGTCTCAAGTAGACTTCTCGAGCAGACTTCAGTCACATACATCTATTTCAAACATTTTGTTTTTATATGCTAATTTTAAGATTTATAATTAGTGATCCTTAAATGTTTGTTTGATTAGAAGGTCTATTTTATATGTAAAGTTGGATTGTAATTAATGTTATTTTTATATATTCTTAAATTATGTGTGTTTTATCATATTCAGATTTCATATGCAGACTTCTTTGTCAGATTTAGTCATCGCCATCTTTGAACCTCTAATAACACAAGAAAATTAATTCAATTTAACTATACAAAAACATGTAAAATTCATAACAAAATAACATGTAAAACTACTTAGAAATACCACAACTAGTCTTTCTTCACACATTCTCAATAAACAGTGGGTATGTGAACCATTCTCTGTAAGAAAACAAAATTCAAACCACATTAGAAATCATTGTCGAAAAAGTAGACTGCAAACGTAGTCTACTATGTAGACTTCAAATGAAGTCTGCGGACTAGTAAGCTAAATACCAAATAGAAGAAGAAAATTAGTTAAAGCTCAACTGTAACAAAAAAAAATTCAAACTTATACATAAGCAAGAACAATATATCACACACTTAAGAGTCAAATGATAAATTTTATTTGTTACATATATCTGATCAATTAAATTTATAAAAAATTAATGTCGCAGACTGCAAACGAAGTCTACGGACTAATAAGCTAAATACCAAATAAAACAAGAAATTTGATTTTACCAAATATATATAATATAAACATGTAAAACTGATATAAATATAAGTACACTTACTAAAAAAATCGTAAGACCAAAAAAATCTTAATAATTCGTTGTAAATTTGATAAAAACGCATTTATAAAAAAGTGAAATAGTAGATTAACAACGAAGTTTACAAAAGTAGACTTGTAATGAAGTCTACAAATGTAGACTTCGTATGAAGTCTATATTTTAGGCTACTTTTGCAATTGCCAAAAGATGAGTAGACTTCTTCAAAGAAGTCTACTCACTCCGAGAAGTCTACGTAAAAAAAGGTTAGTTTTGCAATTGACCAAACTTTGACTTTTTCGTAAGAAGTCTACTTGCAAAAGTAGACTTCTTAGAGGTTAGTTTTGCAATTGATCAATGTTGACTTTTCAAAGTAGACTTCGTTTGAAGTCTACTTCAAAAGTAGACTTCAAACGAAGTCTACTTGGGTTAGTTTTGGGGTTGACCAAACATTGAATTTATTTTCGAGTAGACTTCGGAAAAGTAGACTTCAAGCGAAGTCTACTCGAAAAAGTCAACATTGGTCAATTGCAAAACTAACCTCTAAGAAGTCTACTTTCAAAGTAGACTTCTCCGAAGAAGTCTACTTTTGCGAGTAAACTTCTTACGTAAAAGTCAAACGTTGGTCAATTGCAAAACTAACCCCTTTTTACGTAGACTTCTTTTGAAGTTTACACTATTTTTTTTTGTTGTCAAAGGAAATGGCACAGACTTCAACTGAAGTCTACTATCAGAAATTGGTACACCCGGTCAATTGCAAAACTAACATGTGTGTTGACCAGCAGACTTCTTTTGAAGTCTACTACCGACAGTAGACTTCTTAAGAAGTCTACTTTCGCGGCACAGATCTGAAAACTCACGAAAATTGACTGAAAAATCACCTACCAATGGTATTTAACTTATTCTACCACCGATTTCTTTGATTCCGGCCACCACCACCAAACAAGCCCAAACGATTTGCCAGACCAAATCACCAAATATAGCAATATATTAAAACATCAAGTTTCAAAAATTAAGATTAGAGAGTTTTTGTGCTGAAAATGGTGAAAAAATGGAAGAATAGAATGTTAAGAGAAGAGGAAATGAGGTTACAAAGCTAAAAAGGGGTATTTGAAGCAATAAAAGCTTAAAATTGGTTGAAAATTGTGGTTGAATGAATTGATGGTGTTGATATTTTCGTGAATAAGTGAGGAAGATGAGGATTGTTTGGTAAAATAGATTTCCGAAATAATAATAAAAAACAATAATCTAATGACATTTTTGTGAATAAATATAACTGATAAGGATATAAGTGAGATAAAGTGATTAATTTCAAAAGTGATAAAATAAGAGGTTAGTTTAGCAATTGACTTGAATTTATGGGTCATTTTTGCAAAATTCCCTTATAATATACAATGGTTAACTTTTTGCTCCTTTCCTTAATCCAGAATGATTTGGGAGACTCCTTTTTAACATCCTTAAAATCTCAACATTTACGAGGCGGTCAAAAGCAACCGAGATTCATCTTAATTTACATATCCTTCACTATTTATACACACAAATATTATTAAATAATTAATTATATGCTTCATTCTTATGTAGAATCCCCTTTTTTGTTGTTGAAGGCTATGTAATGCCCATTTGGTTATAGACGCGGGTCATGTTTGAGAATCTAAGAATTTCTAAAATGATTGTTTGTGTCAATGGCCTAATTTTTCAATGAAAACCCTAATCTAAGTGTATATTCTTGTTTTTTTTTGTTAATATTTTTATGATTTAATGAGATTGTTGTGTCGCAGAGCAATTCTCATAATTAAAAGTCTTGAAATTCGTTTAACTATTGTCACATCGAACACATCATTAGCACCCCCTGCATCGCATGCGAATTCGAGTGTTATTAATTAGAGAAAATATTGAGACAAGTAGAGAGAAAATTAGTACTCCATTAATTTTTGTAGTCTGACTAACGTAATGAATATAATTTGGTGATTTGAGAAAACCCGTCCTGTTCTCGTACCTTATGAGTACAAAGACATAGACATAGACCTCTCGATTCCCCAACATTACTCGTTTCATTTATGAATTGTGTGATATGCAGAATTAACAAGTAATTACGGAGTATTAATTTTGCAATCACATCAAAGATTACGATTGCATTTATTATATATTAACTTTGGTTCATAACCAGTCGTTGGGAATTTACATTCATATTATTTCAACTTAGAACAATTTTTATATAAAATGAATTAATAAGTAGTATGATATTTTTTTTTTCTATTAACGTGTTAAAACGATACTTACAATGAAATAGGTCGCTTTTTGTGGTAACGAAATAGATCTAGGTCGCTGATATCTGTAATTTTGTATTTTATAATTTTAACAACATAGTTAATCCATCAAAGTTATAAAAAACCATAGTTAATCCATATTCAGTTTTGTTAAAACTAAGTTTCTCCATAGTAAATTAATATTTTATATCATCTATTATATGCTTGAATATTTATCATGTTTTAGTACTCCATTTATTTCATATTAATTTGTTTTAGCTATAATCACAAAAATTAAGATAAAAAGTATTATTTAACATACAATTTAATCAATCATTAAAAAATTTTTGCAGAGTATAATAAATCACAAAGTATTGAAAAAAATATGAAAACAACTTATATTTTGAAACAAAAAAATATTTTTAAAATAGAAAATATATCATAATGGATATAGGATCTGGTTTCATTAAATTTTGATACTTGGATTATCTGTATGAGTAATTAAAAATTTAATATACCATCTGATATTTTTTTATAATTGATATAGTAGTTTTGGTATGTTATTTGGAATATTATAAGTTATCATGTAATCTTAGATAATTTTAAATATATTACGGACCAACAGTATAAAATATTTTCTTTTGTTAGAAAATATACAACAAATGTTAGGAAAAATGTGTGTTAAAAATGTAAGGAGAATATTTAAAATTTCATAGCCATTTTTTGAATAAGTATCCGTTTAATATTTGTTCCTCTAAAAATCTCATAGCCATTTTTTGAATAAGTATCCGTTTAATATTTGTTCCTCTAAATGCTGTAATCGAGTCCTTAATAATTTGACTAATTGTAAATCAAATTCAGCAAAAAAAAGGAACCCATAAGGACTGATTAGTCTAAGCCTAAAGTTCCTTGTAAGCTCTCTCTCTCTCTCTCTCTCTGCGCTTTATTCTGTTCAAATCCGCTGCTTTTACTTTGCCGTTTCACTGAGAACGAGGCTCACTCTCTCTCTCTCTCTCTCTCTCTCTCTCTCCATCCTAGAAGAAGAAGAAGAAGCAGGACCAAGGATAAAGCTTAAACCAGCGCACTCTCTCTTCAAATCACTTTTGCTTTCTCTCTCCAAAGTCTTCCTCATTGTCTTTGTCTGCTCACAAGAATTGTTGTCTCTTCAACACCTTTTTCTGCTTATTCCAAACCATTCTCGTCTTCCTCTCTTATTCTCTAAAGAACCAACCACAAAAAAAAAAGTCTTTTCTTTTGTCTCTCTTGGGAGATTGAGAGTCTCAGAAATTAAACCCATTTCTTAATCCCTGTCTCTTAGACAAAACCCTTAATCCTACTCCAACTCTGTCTTTGCTTAGCTTCTGTCTGATCTACTAAAGGATGGGGAAATAAGCCAATTCTTTGTCAATTTCGAAAAATTTATATTTTTAAAACAGTGATTCAACTAAAAACCCCAAATTTGTTCGACATTTTGATTTGATCTCTGTTGTCTCTTTGGGGGGGTTTTACGCTTTTGAATGGAGTGAGCCTCTCTGTCCCAAGGAAAAATCAAGAACAAACATATACAAAGAGTGAGTCAAACAAAGAGCAGCAATGAGAGACGACAAATCCAAGAAAAGCAAGGTTTTTTTGTTTATTTTTAAACTTCTTTTCCATCTTCAAGAATGATTCAGATGAACAATTTCATTCAAAAAATCCTTTCTTCTCTCCATCCAAATTAGTTGTCCTGGTCCAAGAAGATGGTGAGGAAATGGTTCAACATCAAAAGCAAAACAGAAGAGTTTCAAGCAGATGTTTCTGTTCCTCAAGGTAAACTTTATTCCTCTTCTGGCTTTTGTTTAAACTTGTTCTTGTTCTTTTCTGATGGGCGTTAATTGCAACATTCTTTTGTCTTTTCTGAGAAAACACAACATCCCAATTCACTTTTTTCTTTCTTTCTAAGGTTACAGGTCAATTTACAGTTTCTGTTTATTCTGCTTTAGCCACTCCTTTCGGTGGAAACTAGAGCAATTGGATTTTTGTGACTAATTTCAATTTGCTGGTGTTTTTGTTTTTTTCTTTCTCAAATTAATGAAGCTGTTGAAGAAGTTAAGCACAGAAGTAGCTTCTCAGAGAAGGAGCCCTGCACAATCAAGAAGAGCAAAGCTGGTAAAACAAACCATTCATCAATTATCAAAACTCTGTGAGAAAGTTTTCTTCTTTTTTTTTGTTTCTCATGATTTCTGAGTTTCACAGAGAAACTCAATAAGAGCTGGGAGCAGCAAGCTAGACAAAGGAGAATGAACTATGAAAATCCCAGAATCATTGATGTCCAAAACTACAGGTATATACACATAGATAGATGTTTGTTATATTATGATCCATTGAAGTTGAATCTCATGTTCATGATGATGATACTTGACAACAGCATCTTCGTAGCTACATGGAACGTTGCTGGACGTTCTCCTCCTGCAGATCTAAACCTTGACGAGTGGCTTCATTCCTCAGCTCCTGCAGATATATACGTACTGGGGTATGTTACCATCACATCTTCTTCCCAAGACCCTCTCTCCCTTTGTTCAAGAAACGTTCTTGATGTGTTTTTATGCTGTGTGTTCATTTTAGATTCCAAGAGATTGTTCCTCTTAATGCCGGTAACGTTCTTGGAGCTGAAGACAATGGTCCTGCCAAAAAATGGCATTCCCTCATCAGGAAAACGCTCAATAACCTCCCCGGGACAAGCGGCCTCTGTCACACGCCCTCGCCTATCCCCGTCCCCATTGCTGAGATTGATGCTGATTTCTCAGGATCTTCAAGGCAAAAGAACGCCACTTTCTTCAACAGACGGTCTTTCCAGACCCCGAGCATATGGAGAACGGATGAGAATGACCCTTCAGTACCACAGCCACGGCTCGACCGTCGTTTGAGCGTCTGTGATCGCGTGTTCTTCAGTCACAGACCAAGTGATTTCGACCCGAGCTTCAGGTGCAACCACAGGCCGAGTGATTACTCAAGAAGGGCTAGTGATTACTCTAGACCGAGTGATTATTACTCTAGACCGAGCGATTATTACTCAAGACCGAGCGACTATTCTAGGCCGAGTGATGTCTCTCGGTGGGGTTCTTCGGATGATGATAACGGTCCAGGGGATTCCCCAAGCACGGTGTTGTACTCACCAGGTTCAAATGCTGGTTCTGCGTCTAACGAGAACGGCTGTAGAATCCCGTGGAACTCATCGCAGTATTGTTTGGTGGCGAGCAAACAAATGGTTGGTATCTTTTTAACAATTTGGGTGAAAAGCGAGTTAAGAGAACACGTCAAGAACATGAAAGTGTCTTGTGTTGGCAGAGGATTAATGGGTTATCTCGGAAATAAGGTAAAGAATCTTGTGCTTCAAGACCGTATGAGTTAGTTAGTGCATTGTTATGATTATAATGTGATTTTGGTGGTTATTGTAGGGATCAATCTCAATAAGTATGTTGCTTCACCAAACAAGCTTCTGCTTTGTCTGCACCCATTTGACCTCGGGACAGAAAGAAGGCGATGAGCTGAGGAGAAACTCTGATGTCATGGAGATACTCAAGAAAACAAGGTTTCCTCGTGTACAGAGTTCTGCAGAGGAGAAGTCCCCAGAGAATATCCTTCAGCATGAGTAAGCGAATCAATTACTTTTATCTTTTCATCTCTTTGATTGAGTCGTAAGTATAATCCGATTCATCAGTCTTTTGCACTCAAATTTTGTTTCTTCTCTTCTTTATTTTCCATTTGATTCAGTCGAGTAATATGGCTTGGTGATCTGAATTACCGGATAGCTCTCTCTTATCGATCCGCGAAAGCACTTGTCGAGATGCAAAATTGGAGGGCGTTACTAGAGAACGACCAGGTACATTGTAGTAGAACATTTACATTTCTCATTGGACAGAGTGTTCTGTTCCGAAACACTTAAACAAACATTGTTGCTGCAGTTACGGATAGAGCAGAAACGAGGCCATGTGTTTAAAGGATGGAACGAAGGGAAGATTTACTTCCCACCAACTTACAAATACTCAACCAACTCAGATAGATATGCAGGAGGTGATTTGCACCCAAAGGAGAAACGTCGCACTCCTGCTTGGTGAGTTTCTTGCATTTAGAACTTAGAAAAGACAAGAACCATGTGCTGACCTGAAAATGGTTTTGTTGCTAAAGGTGTGATCGAATATTGTGGCATGGAGAAGGACTGCATCAGTTATCTTATGTAAGAGGGGAGTCACGGTTCTCGGATCATAGACCAGTTTATGGCATATTCAGCGCAGAGGTTGAGTCAAATCACAAGAGATTAAAACGAAACACGAGTCACTCCAGTTCACGGGTCGAAGCTGAAGAACTCTTACCTTACACCCGAGGATACACCGAGCTAACTTTTTTCTGAAAGAAACAAACCTTAAAGGAGTTATCCCCTCAGCTTTTCACGGTAACATCTCTATTCAATATTCATAAAACTTATATTTATAACCAGAAGATTAGGAGATTGTAGTGTCAGTGACATGAAGCTATCAAAGGCAGTGTAGCCCAATTATTAGTAGTAGTAATTGTGGTCCTGAAACTCAAAATAGAGAGGCTAAGTTAGTAAGTAAATCCATTAAGATTGGTCTGCATTTATTGTATATCAGTCGAGAAAGTAGTAACCAACACGTTTCTCTCTTATCATTGAAGCACAACCAAAATTGATTCGAATATGTGATATGATTGTCTCTGCATCATCATATGAAAAAAGCAGATTCGAAATCCCAAGATTTGTTGTATTATTCTTGAGATAAAGATTAAAACTTTTTTTTTAATGATATCTGATAAGAGTTATTGTATACTCTCTTCATCATTTCACTTATTGTATATAATTTGATTCGGCTTTTGTCAGGTGAATTAAAGTTTTTTTTTTTTCTTTCGATTGTTGAAGCCTTGAAGAGTGCTGATGGAGACATTCCATTGCTTCGTTTTTAACACAGGAATCAGACAACAGGGTTGGTCCAAATTTCTCTTGTATGTCTGTTACCGGTTCGGTTTTTTCCTGACCTATTTTAACGTGTGAATTTCATCCGGTTCTACAGGTGTAAAAAGGGTTGTAATTTTGTCTTGGTTAAACCGATATCGCATATCGAACCGGTTCTTTTTTTTTCATGGATAAGGTAATAATTGGTGATTTTTTTCGGTTTTGTTAATAACAGTTTTAACTTTTAACTTATTAAAAACTTGTGTTTTGTGCAGGAGTATGAAACTGACAGATGGAATTTTTTTTAAATATAATTATCATTCTTTTTTTAGCTTAGTATTCAGGGAATATTTTTTGCATATAATATGAGTTGAAGTGTGTTCCCGAGACAATGATAGTGTAATGCTTGTTATATAAGGTTAGTCGTTTAAGTGTAACAAAAAGACTATACAAAAAGAAAAGCAATTATTTTATATGTGTTCATTATCATTGTTTCCTTGCAAAGAAAAAAGTTAGAAGAATCAAAAGATAACGTCTTGTAATGATCGTTGTACTGAAAAAGTTAGGGGTTTTTTTAAAACCTCGAAGCTCACTCATTCTCTGGCTCTATATTGGATTACATAAATTCAATGATTAAATTTTACTTTTATGTATATACATGAGTCATGGAATGGCGTACTCGCACAAGCTCAATCATCACAGACTCAGAGTTGTGAATTATGATGGTTCTAATTATTATATCGATTTCAATATTGAAAGTGGGTTGCACACACATATATGTGAATGATATATACGAATATAACTAACCCCCAAAAATGTAAGTAAACTATTTGATCAATGAAGTTAGTCAAATATGAAGTGAAAAACAACTTATGAGTCATAGAAAAATAGATTTGAGATTATCTACTGCACTTTTACTAAATAATTTATATGCTATTTAATGTTTTCATATACTAACAAATTAGTGTAAGAGAGAATAGTATGAAGGCCCTAGTAAAATGTAGAAGGAAATGATTGGGATGAAAGTGTGTTATGTAAGCTCATCATTTTCTCTTTTTCCTATTTGCCCATGCTTTCTCTTGTTTCAGCTTTCGTGATTACAACAACACTTGTAAATTCCCCCCCTTTTTATACTAATATATAAAAACGAAATTCAAAAAACAAAACGTTCTTGTAAAATGTGAAGTCAGAGGAGAATGATCAGTTATAATTTTTTTGAAGGAAAAACCTATTCTACAAAACATTAACTACTACAGTAAAAAAGAGAATGGAAATTGTGGTCCAGAAGTGTATATCAAAATAATTTACTTGGATACTTATAAAAGTTACTCCTATTAAAAATTGAAACTTATACAGTTATGATTTATAGGAGTGGTGCCGTGGTGGACACTTAGGTATAATTTATTTTGTCAACAGAAAACATCTCATATTTATAAAGTGAGTTCACATACTAATAAAGTTCACAAAAATATTTAGTTGTTCCATAGTAAGAGCTAGAGTACTTTTAATTGTATAGCTAATTATATATAGTATTGTATTAAAGCTAGATTGTTATAAAAAAAAAATTTATCAGAGAGTCAAAACAAAAATTTTAAAAGTAAAGTCAGAAGTCAAGGCTGCATAAAAAAAAACAGAGGTATGATAGAATAGGCTTTCATGAGTGGGAATCGAAAGCAGCCTCACAAGCACTTTTTTTTTCTCTTCTCTATAGTATTATTTTCTACCTCTAACCAACAAATTCGTTCATTTCACTGCATATAGTCGGAGAAACACACACAAAATTCATAGATTACACCTCAATTTAAGATAAACATAAATTACACATAAATTCACAATACAAGTCACCACTGAAAAAAAAAAAAATCATCTTTAACCAACCTTAGATTTACGGGCCATAATGTTGGGCTTTCTCTTAACCAAGCATGCACAGTCAGTGTATTTTGTTGAGTGATATTGGCTCAGATGAAATTGTGCTATCGATCAGTCGATGCACAATTATAACTTAGGTGTTTAACAAAAACTTGTATGTATTTATTTTCTAGAATCTTTATTTTGTTAAAAGATTTTTTTTTTAATTTCTAGAAACTAACATCGGTTATCCGGATTTTGCCAAAATTTCTAATTAATTCAAGAGAATGGTTTAATAAGAAAAAGAAAATCGTGGCGTGGGGGAAAGCCAAACAAAAATAACAGTGGTTTCGTTTACAAAGGGATACTAGGGTTTTGAAGCAAGTGTCTCCGCCATGAAATCACGGCGGCTGAACGTCTCAGACGATGGTCTAACCATTTCCCGACGCAGTTCACTATCTTCGACCTCAATGACTAATGGAAATGAAAGCTCTGAGCCGATCCCAGCAGATCTCATTTTCGAAATACTCTTGAGATTGGCGTCGAAATCTGTAGCAAGAAGCCGCTGCGTAGCGAAGCTCTGGGATTCCATACTCCGAGGTCCAGGTTTCACTGAGCTTTTCTTCACCAGATCTTCGTCTCGCCCGCAACTCTTGTTCTCATTTTATCAAGACGATGAGTTGGTCTTCTTCTCAGCACCAGATGAGAAGTCGTCTCTTCTCGTATCCTCCAAGTATCAAACGAAGTTCCCCATTCCCTGTGGCTATAGCCCTGTAATATGTGGCCACGTCCGAGGTTCGATCTTGCTTACACAGGTGCGGACCGTGAAGGGAAGGAAAGTAACGGTGCCGGTGATATGTAACCCTAGCACGGGACAGTCTCTAGAGTTACCCAAAGCGAAGGCGAGGTGGGTTACGGCGAGAAGCTTTTTTGCGTATGATCCGATTGGTAAACAGTTCAAGGTACTGTCCATGAGCTGGCCATGTTATACCGATGGATGGAGGTTCAGCAAGGAGCATCATGTTCTGACGTTAGGCACTGGAAAGCCATCATGGAGAAGGATCGAGTGTGGCACTCCACATAAACCTGCGCGTGGTGGGATATGCATCAACGGTCGTTTGTATTATCAAGCGGTCGAGAGCGTTTTAGAGGTTTCTGCGATTGTTTGCTTTGATATTACTTCTGAGAAATTTGGTTTTATTAAGAAAGATACGGGCGTGATTCATTGGTATGAATCAACTCTGGTGAACTACAAGGGTAAATTAGCTGCACTTACGACACATGAGTATGGAAAAGTTACTGAGCAAAGTAGATACATTCACATGTGGGTTCTAGTGGACGCTGAGAAACATGAATGGTCGAAGCATGTATACGCATTGCCCTCTATGTGGAAGGATGTAGTTCCAGTGGCCAACTTGTACTTTATTGGAATGGCTGGTTCAGATGAAATTGTGATGTTGCCGCTCTATCAATTGGACCGTAAATATGTTTTTTACTACAATTTCGAGAGGGGAACTCTCAGAAGTGTCGAAATCCAAGGATTGGGTGCATCTAGGTATACATTTCACACTTTTCTACACCATGTAGAGGACGTGAAGCTTTATGCAACTTTTTAGCACTTAATAACCTGAGTAAGGTTCATACGTTGAGGAAGAATGGTTGTTCTAAAGTAAGTTTTGAAACCTTTTTAAGCCACATTGTCACTTGTGTGTTGATGAGTTCTTATGTTAGTCATCCACAGGTAAAGACTACAATAAGGCCGATGAGTTATGTGCCAATCCATCCGAGTTGTATAATCTTTGATGCATCAAACATGCTTCTCCTCCATCTCTGGCATATCCCTTTTCTTTATGTAATCACAGTTTTTCTTTTTGCTACCTTAAGTAAGAGAAGTGAAGTTACTTTTCGTTTGTGTGTTTCTTTTTCTAGCTATCTTATCTACTTGATATGGGTTTACAAAAAGCCAACTCGTGGGGTAGATTAGATTCAACTAGGGGATGATAGTAATTCTTGTTATTTGAAACTCTGTAAATACTAATCCAAAACTGAGAAGTTTAAGAAATTGTCAAAATGTTGTTACTTTGCTTAAGATCACTTGAATTCGCCACAAAAGAGTTTTGATCTAGCCCTTGTACATGGTAGATCACAAGTTTCGTACTTGATTGTTATAAGACGTACCTTTATTTCATCTCGTGCTCCAGCTTTGTAACTCAAAAAATGATGGCCGTTTAAGGAACAAGATGAATAAAGAGATTGTGTTTTTATCTTTAAAAAAAACATACAATATAACGTAACAATGCTTCTAAAAAAAAACTAGAAAAAACAAGTGAAATTGGATGATAAACCATATAAATGACTGAAATTCATAAAGTAACTATACCAAAATGGGTGCTAGTATATTGTCTATATCTTCTACAAGAAAGGTCCTACGTAAATATTGTAAAATTTCACATATCTCTGACACGTATATAGAAAGAATCTGTCATTATAATTGGAGGGAAAAATCAATTGTATAAACTAAGAACCCTAACCACAGAGAATTTTAAATTAAGTGATATACATCACGTAGAAAAATCATCAACGCAGGTAAATGGGTTTCTCTGCTTCACAGATTCACCCAATTCAGTATGAATTTCCAGTTTTACTAAAATACTAACTAATCGTTCTTTGATTTGAATACACAACCAACAAATAGATTACATTACTATACTATATTCAGTTACTGTAGTATACTATTAATAGTTTTACAAATGTACTATTTTTATATCATACTATACTAACACTCCAAGAATTGACTCCACACTGTATGAGTATCTGCTAGTAATCTCATCTTTATCAATATCATCATCTCGTAAATTCACCTTCATATAGGACATCTTTCAGCGCAAATTCTACATTTATAGATACCCGAAAAGTGAACTGATCATAGTATTTCAAATAGAGTACATTACTATACTATACTCAGTTGGTGTAGTTTGCCATTGAGTAATATATATGACGTCAGAAAAATCCATTTTAGACATTTTCTTTTTCATAAAAATGTGTTTGTTATTTTTTCGAAAATGTATTATGATTTAATTTAAGAATTTACTAACTTGATATATATGAAATTAATTGTTAATCTAAAGCTTAATATTTCTATATAAACTCATTGTTGTTCACCAACTTTCAAAATATTATTAAAACTATTTTTTCTTTAATTAAATTTGATATATAATTGAATCCAACAACTATAAGTTTTTATTTTATTTAATTTAAAATAATTTTAAATTTTAAATAAAAAGAAAATAACATAGTTAACATAAGAGTACAACTGAAGCATCTGGTTACTGTTCCAATTAATTTGATTTTTTTCCTTTCAATTGTGTTAGTGTAATGTTTTTATTTCAGTAGCAGTCTCAAATACAAAACAACAATCAATGTTCTACACTCTTACAAATCCGTAAAATAACTATTTGTATATCAAATAAAGCAATATTTACATAATAAGTATACAAAATCACAATCATATTGATAAACTGTAATTTTTATTTGGTTCCTGCAGTATATTTAAACTATAGAAATGTAGATGAATAAAGCAAGTAATACATATACAAATACAATTTCATACTAACTCATTCTGTTAAACAAAGTATGTCAAGTTTTTCAAAACTCAAAAAGTGCAAAATGTACATTTTTATTTCGCTTATAATTTAACTTAAAATATTTTCTTAAACCATACATATATTTTGATCAGTCTTTATAATTAGATTAATTATATCTATTATATTATTTTTAAAGGAGCTTCTTAACCCAAAAAAACTATATTAGTTTTCCTTACATGTTGAGTTTGTAATGAAGTTATTTTTTGTTGATATGGATGCTTAGGGATGTTTTAGCCATTTTCTTTTACATAAAAATATATTTTATTTTTTTAATATAAAAGTTTAATATATTAATATTTAAAATAGAGTTATGCTAGTCTATTTTTTCTGTATTGCATATATTTTTGTAATAAGTAATGTATAAGTAAAGTCTTATAAGTATATCTTTATAGAGACTAGAGAGAATCGACAATTTTGTGTCCATATATGTAAATTACAGCTGTATTAAATTGAAAAAAAAATTATTTATTTGTTGTGTATATAATCTTTATGTTTCTAAAAGGTGAATGTTTTAAATTTTGTTTTAGAAAATATTATTTTGTACCCTTGTTTCTATTAACTATTATTTAAGTTTTTAGAGAAATTTGTTGTCCAATATAATCATTATATTACGAAAAGGAGTATGTATTAATGCTGTAAATCTAAATGACATTTATTTTACTGATTTAAAAAATTATATTTATTTTTATTTAGTTTTTGCTAATAACTATATTTTGTTGATGTGGCAAGTTTAAAGAGCTTTCTAAAAAGCTGAAGTGGATAGCTTTAGAAGCTCTAAACTCCTCCTTTTATTTAGTATATATGGTTAGATTGCAAATTAACCTAAAAAACAAAGCTTCCCCAAAAACTAATAGTAATATTTAAATGTTTTGAAGACTGAAATTAAATTCTCAAATAAACTTTGACTGAAGTAAATGAGGGTTGTTTATTGGATTTTTTTTGACTAAAAGGATTTCAAAGGGTTTATTTGATGTTTCAACTTTCAATGGTATACTCATAATGTAAACTATGTAATGATATATATTTGGCAACATATTAATATTGGGGTGTAATTTTATAACTATTGACCAATAAAAAAAGAATAGGAATAAAAAAGAAAAGAATGATAGGAACAAAAGAAAAAGAATGAATAAGAAAGAAAATTATGTAAGGAAGTAAATAAATATATTTTGTTTCTCATCAATTTTAATAAGGAATACATGTGTTCTATAATTTCTTATATGATAATGAATAAAAAGGAATGATAGAAAAATATTATTACTAGCAAATGGTAAATATTTAAAGAATGAAAAGAAATTCATTATTCCTTCTTACTCCCTTGATCACCAGTTGAAACCAATATATAGACCACCTAAATAGTGTAATGGAATCTAATTACTGGGCTTGTTGCAACCAAATTGTCGAGAGAAAAAATACAAATAAATATAAATGAAGACGGCACTCTCACTAGTAATTTTCATCATCTTTTTTATCACGTTTGCTTCGGGTATTTTCTTTTTTCTTTTTATCTTATCCAAATAATTAGACTGTGATTATTCCCTATAAAAAATGACAGAACAAGATGCACATGCACCGCATCTTAATATGTATAACTAAATAGTTAAAAATGTTTTACAATTTTGTTGTTTTGGTAATTTATCCGGGAAATAAATTAAATTTAGCAAATTCTTCTAGCAATTTACCACAATATATATTATATCATTTAACTGCACCAGATGGCTCTGTTTGTATTTTTTTTAATATCTCTAATATTTCTTCAACATTTAACATAACATATCTGCATAATCTTAAAATTATTATCTCCAAATGAATTTGTTTGATTAATATTTCCTTTTACAAATGATATAAAATGCTTATTCATAATATAAAATACTTTAATGCAAAAAAATATTGTAAAATATGATCTAATAATACAAATATTTACATCATACATATTCATTAACAGTTGGAAATAAGGCAAAGGCGGATATATGTGAAGATGGTCTAGGTGTTTGTAACCAATGTGATGAGAAATGCAAGGCCAAACACGGACCAACAGGCCAAGGCAGTTGCGATAAATATCAACAATGCACGTGCTATTACACATGTGAACTGCCTAAAACAAACCAATGCGATGGTGGGGGCTGGCCTTTGCAGCATTCAATCATGTGGGAAGGAGTGTTGCAATCAAAGATGTGCAGAAAAGTATGATGGCGGAGTTGGATTATGTGACAGCCTTGGCTCTACTTCATTGTGCAAATGCCAATATCCTTGCTAAAATTGTTTTAATGTTTTTTTTTATAAAAAGTAAAGCCGACTCAGTTTTCTTTTTCAGATGCTTGTAATCAATAAAATTATTATAGATTATTCAAAAGCTACACAAATGCATGTTCATGGTTAGGCTCTCATATTGCCGGCGAATTATCTATAGTTGTTCTTCTCCTCGGCACCTCAGCCTCAAAATCCGGACGAGAACTCGTCTCTTGTAGCCGTCAGTTTTCCCTACAACTCATGATGGAGATCATCATTTGATGAGTATCATCAAGTTTTGACACAAGGAACTAAACAAAATGCCATGGAGAAAGATCGAATGTTGTTGCATGCATGCCCACATTCTCCTATATCTAATGGGGATAATTACTTGATTGTTATAAGGCCTTTATTTCATCTCGTGCTTCAGCTTTGAATCTCAAAATGATGCCCGTTTAAGGGACAAGATGAATAGGGATACTGTGTTTTTCTAAACGTAACTATGCTTCCCAAAAACTAATAATAATAATTTAATGTATGAGGACTGAAATTGAATTCTCAAATAGACTTTGACTAAAGTAAATGAGGAGGGTTGTTTATAAGGATGCTCTCTTTTTTTTTGACTAATATTTTTCAAAGGATATTATTGGATGTTTCTTGGCAGCATATTAATTAGAAAAGATGAGGGGTACAATTACATAATTTACATATATATATATATATAGACCAACTAAAGTGTTGTAATAAAATCCAATTGTTGAGCAAAAGATTAAAAGAAAAATGAAGAAAGCACTCTCATTTGTGGTTTTCATCATCTTCTATCATGCTTGCTTCCGGTATTCTTTTTTTTTTTTTTTTTTTGTCTCTTGTCTAATTAATTAGGCTGTGAATAATCGTGTCTTCAATAATTAGGAAGATTTTGGTAGACATTTATTAATCAACGAGCTCACAAATACATAAGAAAAAAGAGAAAAAAAGAAAGAAAAAAACAGTGTGTTTTACATAGTCCATAAATAATACACAAAACCCAACATATTGAATATGAAACAATCTTTTTGTTGATCAATCACTTCAAAGAATCAGAAGGCAAGAAACTAAACATGACCATATCTCTTAAACTGCCTTTCATAATTAGAAACTTCCTCATCACACCTTCTCTAGTAAACCCAACTTTTTCGAGAACCCTTTGAGATCCGACGTTGCCCACGTCGACAAGTGCCTCAAGCCTCTCAATCTCCGGCATCTCCTTGAATATCTCCGCCGTCACTAGCCTCACCGCCTCCGTGGCGTACCCTTTCCCCCAATACTTTCTCGCTAGCACATAGCCGATCTCTTTCCTGATATTATCGACGGCCATGATCAAGATGTAGCCGATCGGACGGTCGTCCTCTAAACAGATGGCTTTGAGCCAAGGGTGTGTCAAGACCGAATCGGTTATGTATTTGATTGCTTCGTCTCGGCTCGTGCAAGGCTCCCAAGAGCAAAAGCGTGCGACTTTAGCGTCTGTGGCCCAAACCATGTAGTCGTCAACGTCGGAAAGAGTCATCCGCCGGAGTGATATTCTTCCCGGCGGTGAAGAAACCACTGGTGGTTGAGTCTCGTGTGTGTCCATCTCCAGTTACGATAATGTTTGTTTGAGATATCACATCATAATGTCAATGCCATATCTATATATACACATGGCGACTTGCAAAAACTCGAAATTTGCTTCTTGCTTTTGAGTAAAATAAAGCCAGTGGTATATTACTTATTATGATTATTTGATTAAAATATTAACTGAAGAGTACGACAAAAGATGACGCGTCACCCTGCGAATGGATGGTTGTTAATGTTGACTTTTGACTTTCGACGCATACTTGGTTGCCAAACAAAGCATAACATCGGAATTTGGAACTTACCATGTCGCTTCCGGTGAGATGCCCATCAGTCACTGTGGCAAAACGTATGTGGTCGCTTTTCCAAAAAGGATTTAACTTTTTGTCCAAGTGGTTACAGTAAATTCTCTGTTACTGGTGTGGTTTACAAACATGGTGTGGTGAGTCTGGTGACTGTGGTCGTCGCGTCGGTATAAAGTCACAGATTTATATATTCATCTCTAATCATTATATTGTTTAACAGATTTTCATTCATGTAATCGTTTCTAGAAATTATTTCTCTTATAACACAAGAAGAAGAAAACCAGAGCATCATATCAAGTTGTACATGTGATAATAATAAAAAAACAGAGCAAGTTACAATATATATATATATATATATATATATCAAACAAATTATATCAGCAAGACTAATGATCTCTTGTTGATTAAGATCAGATCAGTGTAAAGAATCAGAAGGCAAGAAACTAAACATGACCATATCTCTAACATTTCCTTTAAGACACATAAACTTCCTCATCACACCTTCTCTTGTAAACCCAACTTTTTCAAGAACCTTTTGAGATCCGACGTTATCCACGTCGACAAGCGCCTCAAGCCTCTCCATCTCCGGCTTCTCCTTGAATATCTCCGCCGCGACAAGCCTCACCGCCTCCGTCGCGATTCCTTTCCCCCAGTACTTGCTTCCGAGTACATACCCGATCTCTCCTCTGATCTTATCGACGGGGGTGACGGAGATCGAGCCGATCGGACGGTCGTTGTCTAAGCAGATAGCTCGGAGCCAAGGGTGTGGCAAAACGACGTCGTTTATGAAAGCGATTCCGGCTTCTCGGCTCGTGTAAGGCTCCCACGTGCAAAAGCGCGTGACGTTGGAGTCGGTTGCCCAGACCATGAAATCGTCGATGTCGGAGAGAGTCATTGGCCGGAGATGGATTTTCTGGGCGGTTTGGATCTTCTCCGATTTGATGGTCCATGAGTCGATCTCCATCTCAGATGACGATTCTTTCGAGTTTTCTTGGTTTGTTTCCTCTTGAGGCATATTGAAGCTTCGTTCTTTTGAGAAATTTCAAGAAATATTCTACCGGTTTCTTAATTCTCACAGATTCCTAAAGGCAATATGATTACTCGGTTCTACATATCTGCGATTTAAATAGTCAGAAATTTGTAACAAAATAATAAGATGAAATAAAAACAGAACTTTCCTTCTTGCTTCGAACGGTCAACAAATACGCAACAAGAAGGTCTCGAATCATTTTTTTTTGGACCATAAGACCATAAATGCCACATGGCAAAGCATATTTGGTCATTTTTCCAATAAGACCATTCATTGTTTTGTTTTCATTTAATTCGTTCGTGTAAGAAAATTTGTATATAGAAACTTTCCGGTGGTATATAGTTTATTCATGTGTGTTTGTATATATTTCCCCCCTAATTGTAATTTATTTGTATCGAGTAGGGGATACAAAAAAAAGAAAATAAAAATTGTATTTAATGAAAAATCAGAAAATAGAAAAAGAGAAAATGTTATTTATCCAGACACCCTCTCCAGAGCGCGCAAGAGACGGAGTGTTCACTAAAAAGAGAAGTTAATTATTTAATTTTAATGGCGACTCACAATCTTTTCTCTATCCCAATCTCACCTTTCCAAATTACAGTTTTGCCATTCTCCTCCCCCCTCACGAACAACGGGACAAGAAGACGCCTTGCAATCACCGCCCGATCCCACCGCCGGAAGATTCGTAGGAGACCTCCGGATAGAAGAGACATGTCCGCCATAGTTTCAATCCCGGAGCTTCCTCGCAGGCGGGATTCACAGGAAAGCCTGCTTCTAGATTCTAGAATTAGTAAGTTTCCTTCATCTTTCATCAGTTTCTATTGCTTTCAAGTTTTTGTTACCGGCAAAGATAGTGAATTGTGACTAATTTTGTTGGCAACAATCGAAGTTAGGGATAAGAAGAGTAACTGCAGGAATCGTGAGACTATTAATTGCCATTTTGTTTGTTAAAAACTGAGCTTTTTGTTGTAGCAAGCTCAATTACAATGTGAGAAATGTTTTGTATTCATAGGTGTAGCTGAAGGAGATATATCAAAGACAGATGAAGAAGGAGACAGAGATACTTCCATTAGAACACAGCCTCGTAAAGGAAGAAACCTTAGTAGCAAAAACAAAATTTTCGGTGTTGAATTATCACCGGACAATTTCGCAGTAGCAATGGTGTATTTTGTTCAAGGTGTTTTAGGACTCGCGAGGCTCGCTGTTAGTTTCTATTTAAAAGACGACTTGCATCTTGATCCTGCAGAGGTATGTCCTTGTAATGTTTTGCTAAAATTGATTAATATAAGTGAAATTAGCAATGACATAGATTGTAATGTGCTTTTGAAGTTCCAGACTTTCATGACTATGTCTTTATAGACTGACAATATATACTTCTTGACTAGACAGCTGTGATAATGGGTCTTTCTTCACTGCCATGGCTTGTTAAGCCTCTCTACGGTTTTATTAGGTATGGCTCCTTCATCACCTCTGTACTTGCTAACACTTTGATTCTAACTTCAGAGACCATTGTCTAAGGAACTTGAACCGTTTCACAGTGATTCTGTGCCTTTATTTGGCTACCGAAGGAGGTCATATCTAGTTCTCTCGGGACTTCTTGGTGCATTTTCTTGGAGCTTGATGGCTGGTTTTGTCGACAGTAAATACAGTGCTGCTTCTTGTATACTTCTCGGTTCCCTTTCTGTCGCCTTTTCTGATGTTGTAAGTTTTCTAACCCATTAAGTGGTTTAGTTGACTCTGGTTAAGGTCTCTCGAATGAGTTGCAAAACAGAGATTGAATTGTTGGGTGGTGAACTTTTAATAGGTAGTAGACTCAATGGTCGTGGAACGAGCTCGTGGTGAGTCACAAAGCGTGTCGGGATCTCTGCAGTCTTTATGCTGGGGATCCTCAGCTTTTGGTGGAATTGTGAGCTCCTACTTTAGCGGCTCCCTCGTGGAGTCCTACGGTGTGAGGTACAGTACACAAGTTTCTCTTAAAAAAAAAACTTTTCTTTTTCTGTATCCTGTGGCGTAGATAACTAACTTGGTGGCATTCTAAAAGCTGTTACACCTCAGGTTTGTATTCGGGGTGACAGCTTTGTTACCTTTGATAACTTCAGCAGTTGCTGTTCTCGTGAACGAACAACGTGTGGTCAGACCAGCATCAGGGCAGAAAGAGAACATTACCTTGGTCAGTCCTGGCTTTCTTCAGACCTCAAAGCAGAACATGGTTCAGCTATGGAGTGCCATTAAGCAACCGAATGTTTTTCTCCCGACCTTATTTATCTTCTTATGGCAAGCCACACCACATTCCGATTCTGCCATGTTTTACTTCACGTATGTCCTCTCCTCTTCCACTTGTTTTCATATTCACTGAAGTTAAGTTACTAGCTAATGCTATCTGGTTTAAATTATCAATTATCAGAACGAACAAGCTCGGCTTTACCCCGGAGTTTTTAGGACGAGTTAAACTTGTGACTTCAATCGCTTCATTACTTGGAGTGGGACTGTACAATGGATTCCTCAAGACTGTTCCATTGAGAAAAATCTTTCTCGTGACAACCATTTTCGGCACCGGTCTAGGGATGACTCAGGTTGGTCCCACTTTTTTCCTTAGAAGAAGAACTTTTACTTCTGTATAGTAACTCTTGGGACTGCTCTTATGTTTTTCAGGTTTTCCTCGTGACGGGTTTCAACAGGCAGTTGGGAATAAGCGACGAGTGGTTTGCTATCGGAGACTCTCTAATCCTAACAGTTCTTGCTCAGGTCTCTACTTTTGTCAGCATTGAGTTTCTCAAAGGCTTTGCGTTATGATTCAATAGTGGAATGTGTCAGTATCAATACACTGACAGCTTAGAATCAAACTGTCACAGGCTTCGTTCATGCCGGTTCTTGTCTTAGCAGCGAGATTGTGTCCAGAAGGAATGGAAGCAACGCTCTTCGCTACACTCATGTCAATCTCCAATGGAGGCAGTGTTCTTGGTGGACTTATGGGGGCAGGGCTGACCCAAGTGTTCGGCATCACAAGAGACAGTTTCGATAACCTATCAACGCTTATTATACTCTGCAACCTTAGCTCACTGCTCCCTCTGCCTCTACTCGGTCTTTTGCCGAAAGATTCTCCAGAGACTGTTGCTAAAGATGATGCAGACATCGAGATGAAATCCAATTGAAGGAAAATGATGATTATGTCAAAAGTAAAAATGTCATACCTTTTGGGATTTGGTGTATTCAGTTTCAACTCTGAGATCACTTGAGAAGAATGAAGCAAGACTTTAACTTGAAAACTTATTTCATAACCACGTCATGTAACCAAAATATTGTCATTTACAAAGAAGAAAAAAAACTAAATAGTGGTAATGATGGTAATCTCGACAGTTAAATTTCTAACATGATTTTTGGATTTGATTCAACAGACCTGATTCAGTCTTCCTCATCAGTACCATAGTTGTGACATAGTGATGCGAGTCCCATACTTGTTGTCTTCTCCTTCTTAGAGGTTTTTATACGAACAGAAGAGATTTGACTAGGAGATTTACCGCAAGCAAGTCTCTTAGCCTTAGGTTTCTTCTTCTCATCTATTTCCTCCATTCTTCTCTTCTTGTCATCGGTTTCTTCTTCATCAATCCTCCTCTGCTTACCAAATCTTATAGATTTTATCAGCACTGCATCCTCTTCTTTTGCTTCTTCTTCATCATCTTTGTTTCTTCTACTCAAACCCTCAAGCAGAGAGTCTATGCTAACAGACATTCGTCTAGCTTTCATAGATTTCATCTCATCAAGCGCAGCCATAACTTCAATCTCTCTTTTAGAAACCAAAGTTCTCTTCTCCAAAGAACTCAACGCATCTCCACTCTCCTCGGCTTGCTCTTCTTCTTCGTGTTGATCATAAGTGCGAGTTGCACCTGATTCGACTACATAACCCGAATTCTGTGGATCGGTCTTCATAATCAGCTCGGCGCAGCATTTAGTGCACTTGAAGTAAAACCTAGAGATTTTGAGCCCTAAGTAGGTCTCGCCGATTACTTCTTCTTTACGGCAATTGAATTTGGTGCCTTGCGATATGTAATTCCCACAAGTGTTGCACCGGATACTATCCGGAAGCATATTTCGAACCTTCGTCTGATGATTCTTCGGTTTTCGGATCCGTGGAATCTTCTTCGGATCAAAGTCTGGTGGATAGTACTTGTTCGATCCTTTCCGCTCACCCATCGGAACCAATTTAGAAAAACCACAAATCTAATCGAAACCCTAAAAACCTTCTTAAAAAGATCGGAGAGAAAGGAGGAGACTTTATGAGAGACTGACGAGTGCTAATGCTTTATAAGGTTTTAGAGAAAAAGATGGAATAATCAAATTTGTATTTCCTCTAACTATTTCCTTTTTCGGTTTGGTTACAGTTTCCGACCATGTCTTACTTTTTTGCAAGTGTAATAGCTTATAACAAACTGACATCAAGATGAATTAAGAGGGCAGATATAAAATCATAATGTGGGAATTGGGACATGGAATTGATAACAGCCTAGATAACAGCAAAACTTCATGTTCCAAACAAATTCTCAAGACCTGTCCACTACCAAGTATTTAAAATTATCAAAAACAAAGGAAACATGAGAAAAAAAAAAAAAAAGTGGCCACAAGAAAGTAAAAAATGCGATTTTTTGGGGGGGGGATGAAAGCAACTGAAACTTGACTTGGCGACTTTAGTTAGATTCAATATGCTTCTTGACGATGTTGAGTGCAGTTGTCTCCTCACCGTAGTCCTGTAACAGCCAACACAGAACCGCACCGATACATCAACAGACATAAGTCAAACAAATTGTATGTAATTCGATTCATGGATTAAGAGAGATTCAAAAGACTCCTTACCTTGACTACAAGGCATGAGCATCCAACCACCTTCCTCGCATTGCCCTCTGAATCAATCTTGCAAAGCTGCAACCACATTCAAGATTATTAAAATCAAATCTTGAGAGTAGAACGAGAAGAACAAATCCTTAAAGGAAGAGAGCTTTAACAAAAAAAAAAGGACAAGGAAAGGCTACTTACACCAGCCCATTCGCCGAGGGTTTTGGCACTGGGAACCGTAAGCAAGTTGATGTTGTGATCAGCGCAAAGAGCTTTGACCAGCTTCACATAGTCAGGTTGGTTGCAATCTTCGGCCAAGACACAGAGCTGAGCGGAACGCTTCTCAATAAGCTTGGCGCATTCATGGAGACCACGAACAACACCACCATGAGCACGAGCCTTCCTTAGAGTCAGCTCCAACGCAGTCAATAGGTCCATGTCCTCTGGGATTGCAGCTGCCTCAGCAACCGGAGGAACAACAGCAGGAGCAGCTTCATCACTGAGAGAAAGTGTAAGAATAAGACTCAGCCACACACATTACAACTACAGATTCAATGTGAGTAATCCTAAACTATGAACAATCCATATTAAGAAGTCTGAATTCGATATAAAGTACACCAAACTGGAGGATAGGCTGGAGACTAAATCACATAGGATAAGCAAAAGTCCATTTCTAAAATGATAATCGATCAACCTAAAAATGAACCTACAAAACCTAAACTTCACTATTTTTCACCAAAATCAGCAGATTAAAAACCAAATGTGGTAATAAGCAACATAGCTACACATGAAAAGAGAAGCTTACCCAGACATATTGACTCTTTGAATTGCCTTTTACGAACGAGGAAAAGCGAGAGAGCTTTTAAATCTGCCAATAAAGCCAAAGCAAATCAGCTCAGTACAAACCTTGAATCAGAATAAAGTTAGGGAAGGAAGAAGAAAAGTTCGAGAATCGTATACATAACACAGATCAAATTCGTAACAGTAATCGAGGAACTGTGGGAAAAAAGTGAGAGACAAACCTTAGAGAGAGTGGCTACAACGACGACGAGTAGCGAAAATTGAGCAACGAGTTTTTATATATTAGGGTTTACGAAACCCTGAATACGCCACTTAAATGGGCTTCACTGGGCCTCTTATTTAAAATGGGTCCTGTGGCGTATTTTCAATTTCTTAAAACACTAAACAGAATTCATTATGTTTTGATTATTTCCGCATTGTAATTTTAGGTTTTGGGTTTAGGCGATAACGTCAAAAAACTGTAATCAGTACTCATTAGTTTTGAGCTCAAGCCGAAACCAAACTTCTTATTGTTTTTTCTTTTTTTTTTTTTTGAACTTTAACTTCTTATCGTTCAGAAAGACTTAAAACCCTAAAATATCTTGCCTCTCGAAAACTTAGCGCAGTCGCATCTTCTCTATGGACGGATCCGGCATGAAAGGTGTGGAATTGAACGATAGTGATGCAGGCACTCGAAAAAGCAGTCGCATTAGCAGGATTTACGTTGAGGGATACGACACTTCGCTCTCTGGCCATGATTTGTTTTCTTGAAAGAACACTTCGCTTCATGTGGAGAGTTGGTCCATGTTTATATTTCCGGATTCTTTAAAAGGGAGCACCGGTATTATTCTCAACAGGTTTGCCTTGGTTTATCTTCGGGGAGACGAGAAGGCGTTGAAACTTGGTGAAAGTGACGTGGGAGGACACAAGGTAGTCGCTAAGGCATACCCGTTCCCTGAGCTCGCTCCTACGAGAGACCAAGAGAACAAGGAAAATTATTTGATGGGAGTTGGGGGATATGACATTTCGCTTCCTGCGGAATATGTCAAGAGCATGCTGATTCGACATTTCTCTATATGTGGACGTGTCTTGAGTGTTCTTTGTTACAAGGATGAAAGCAAAGGTGTTCTCTACAGCAAAGCTTTGCTTTCTCTTGTGGGACAAGACGCAGTAGACAAGGCGCTACAACATTGCGGAAGTGATGTGGAAGGATTGAAGAATATTGAAGTGTCTATGGTTGCGCCGCCAGACAAGAAACCGGCCGGGAGCGGCTTTAACTCGTGGCCAAGGAAGAGAATCAAACCTGACGTCCAGGACTTACCCTGACCAATCATCAGCCCCTTGTTAGGATGAAGATTATTACGGGGTAGTAAGCTCGAAGCTCTGGGGTGTTTTCAACTTATTGTGTGGTGTGTTTTTTTTTTCTTTTCCATCTCAACTAGGATCTAATGTTTTTTTATAATTTAATTTTAAAAATGTTAGTTTTATAAATATAATTTTAAAATGTAATTTTATTATTCTACAACATTGTAATCAAAATAGTTAATATACAAATAATATTAAGATGTTATAAAATATGATTAATTATCTTATTATTAATCATATTCATGTTTTTAGTCAAACAATTATACAATAGAAGTGTATTTGATTTTTAATAAAAATATAATATATTAATATTTTTCTTCTTCTTTATTTCATTTGTTATTATTCTTTTGTTATTGTTTTTCATCTTTTTCTAAATCTTTACTAATGTTCTTCTTCTTTTTCTTTTCTTCATCTTCTTTTTATTTTTTTATATATTTTTTAAGTTCTTTTTGTATGTTATTCCTTTTTATTTTTCCTTTCTTCTTATTTTTAATGATTTTTTATTCATTTCATATTTTCCTTTTTCGTTCTTTTTTTGTAAGTTTTTTTTGTGCTTGTTCGTTTTGTTTATTTTTTAATTTTAAATTTTCTATGTTTTTTTTCCTTTTTTCTTCACCTTTTTCATATTTTTTCTTTTATAATCTTATTCTTTATTTTATTTTATTTTAAACTTTGCAAAACAAAATTGAAATTGAAATTTCTTATATTATATAATTAATATTATATAAATAATTTTTGGTCTAACATATTTTAAGATTTTTCGGTAAAATAAAATTTAGACTCTAAAATTTTATTTTTTAATTTTATTTTGTCATTTTCTATATATATTTTTATAAATTTCGAATTAAAAACAAAGAAAATAAAGTGGTTCAAAAATTTTAAATAAAAATGGGCCTTTTAAGAAGAAGAAAAACAAAATATTAGGCCCATAATGAGAAAAGTAAAAAAAAATTAAGCATTTGATAATTTAATGAGAATAATAGATTTAATAAAAATTTATATAACTAATGGAAGTCCAATGGCATATTAAGTAAATAACAAATGAATTAAAGGTTAGTCTTCTAAAGTAGATTCTCTTTTAATATAATAGGTGTTTAAAGTAAGTTCAGTCTGATCAACAATCTGCTTCAGTATTATGGCCTCAGTATGATGTTTTTATATGGATACTAGTTGGTGATCCGCGCTACGCGCGGCTATGTGATTCATTTTTATACATTTTTGTATTCAATTTATTGTACCATATATTCTTGAGAATTTTAAGATGAATTTCTGTTTCTCACATGTATCTCTTCAAAATTTTTTTTTAATTTCTAGTTTGTGATCCGCGCAACACGTGAATTTGGATATTTTGAGGTTGTTTATTTTTTTTTCAATGTATTCATCTTGAATTTTTTTGTCTTATCTCAATTTCGATCAAATATATCCATTCAAGATTATTTGATTTACTTAAACATATAAGAAAAGAGAACATGTATGATATTAGATATCCAAATTATCCGTTTAAGAACTAAAATTTTAAAAATTATATATTTTTAAAAAATTTCTTTGACTTTTCGGAATTTTTCCAAAATACTTTTTCGAAGTTGACTTTCATCCAAAATATTGAGAATTAGTAAATAGATTTTAGATAATGCAATTTCTCGAACCCGTCTCGTTACCCAAATTTTCTATTCCATTTTTATTAGATTTTCTTTAGAAATTGTTTTCCGTCTTTCTAATTACCAATTCCCATCACACTTTCTTAAATTTCTGCTTTTAATCTTGAAATACTCAAAGCTAATGTATATCATTGTTATTATTAATTTGTATTTTGTATTTTGTTTATTTTTTATTTTTTGACAACACATTATAATTTGAAGTTTTATGTTTGCTATTTTTATATTAAATTTTAATATTAATTTTTCCGTCTTTTTAATTATCAATGTCCGTCACACACTCATAAATTTCTGTCTTGAATCATGAAATAGTCACAGCTAATGTATATCAATATTTATTGGTTTATTATATTGTATTTTGTTGATTTTTTATTTTCTGATAACACATTATTTATTTTATGTTATTCTTTTATATTGAATGTTAATATTAATTTTTATTATTTTCCATCTTTCTAATTACCAATTCTGTTACGCAGACGTAAATTTCACTGCTGAATCTTGCAATACTGAGAGCTAATGTATATCATTATTTTTTATAGCATTTTGTAGATCTTTTATTTTCTGACAATACATTATATTTGTCTTTTTATGTTTGCTATTTTTTACATTGATTGTTAATATTAATTTTCATTATTTTCTGCCTTTCTAATTACCAATTTCCGTCTCACACTCGTATATTTTTTTCTTGAATCATGAAATACTCAGAGCTAATGTATGTCATTATTTTTTTATTTTGCTATTTTGTACTTTGTTGATTTTTATTTTCTGACAACACATTATAATTATATTTTTATGTTTGTTATTTTTTTATATTGAATATTAATGTTAACTTTTATTATTTTCTGTCTTTCTAATTACCAATTCCCATCACACACTTATAAAATTTCAGTTTTAAATTTTGAAATATTCAAAGCTAATGTATATAATTATTCTTTTTATATTTTATTTTATTTTCTGACAACATATTATAATTATCTTTTTATTTTTTATATTTTTATATTGAATGTTATTGTTATTTTGTGTTTTAAAAGAATTTAAATAAAAAATAATTAATGATGTAGTTGCTGAGCTGGCAGCACCAGAAGAGAGAAAAGCTTACTTTATATATATATATATATAGATGTTAATGTTATTTTGTGTTTTAAAAAAAAAAATAATAATAATAATTAATAATGTAGTTGCTGAGGTGGCAGTACCAAAAGAGAAGAAAGTTTAGTTTATAAATATAGAAGCCCAATAATCATTATCTGCCTTCATGAGTAAAAAAAAAAAAACTTCTTATCGTTCTTTGGGTATTTGTAATAAATAACCATATTGAGAAGGTAGCAAAATTAATTTTCTAACCATATTATAGCATGATTACGATATTCTCTATATCTTTTGTATTAATATCGAAACAATCTTAAGTTTGTCAATTGAATGGACAAATGCTGGCTAGGAATTGAATGACAATGATCTAGTTTGTCAATCAAAAAGCTGAAGCAATATAAAATAGTACAAGACGATTGGAGGTTGAAGAAGCATAACTAAAAACTGAAGAACACGTTCTTTTTTTAAGCCATATAGTACAATTTTTTGTACTATTCTATTTATTTATATTTTGGTCTATTATATTATTTATTATTTAATGGAAATATTATAGATGAATTTGTGTTGCATTAACAGTAATCATGAACAATTTCTTTCCATAATTATTACAATTTCAAATTAATAGTATAATCCAAAATACAAATAATTGTAGTATAGTATATGAAGCATACTTGAGAAATGAAGAATATGTCCTTAAGTTATACAAAAATTTTGTGTACTATACTATGTTCTTGTCAAGGGGTATTATTGCATAACAAATTTATATTGGGTTTTGATTTTAAAGGTGTTAGCATATATTAAAGAGGGTTTGGGTATAGGTTGTAGTGGTTTGGGTTTAGTTTCAAATAATTTAAGTTATTTTTATAACTATATTAATTTTGGTATAGATTCGGGCAATTGGGTATAGTAAGTAATGGTTTGGGTTTAGTTTATATTAAAGAAGGTTAGCGTATATTAAAGAGGATTTGGGTATATGTTGTAGTGGTTTGGGTTTAATTTCAAATAATTTGAGTTATTTTTATAACTATAGTAACTTTAGTTTAGATTCGGAGATTTGAGTATATTAACTAGTGGTTTGAGTTTAGTTTTTAAATTGTTTGAATTCATTTCAGAGTTTATAACGTATTATAGCTTACAGAGATATAAGTACTGATTTGGGTATAGTAAGTAGTATTTTAGATTTGTTTTGATTTAAGCAAATTTATTGAATCTTCTTTCTTTCCTTTCTTTTTATAGATTTCGCATAACAAGTATATACTATTTTGCAAGATAAAATAGTATAAGATGCAAAACGAAATAGTATAGATAATATGAAATTAAAATAATAATAAAATATCATAAAATTTTCTGTTCACACTCTCTTCTCTTACTCTCTCTCTATCCATAATAGTCAATGGATAGTTTTGACAAAAAAATATCTATGGTTAGTTTGTTATTAGAGCATTTGCATTGGTGAGAGATTCAAATAAGTTTCTAATCAATTTAATAATAATAATTTTAATATAATTTAATTAAATTATTTAATTTTATATCATAAATAAATTTTAGACCAATAATATATAGACACAAATAAATAAGTCTCTCATATGAGAGACTTTCTCTTCTATTTTTCTAAGTTTATTAATATTATATTATGAGAAACTGTTATGAGAAACTACCACTAGAAACTACTAGTTTCAAAATTGCTATGGCTATATTTTTAATATCATACCCCAATATGGGTATTAAGCAAAAAGATCTTTGTTCTTCTAACATTTTACTTTGGGAAATTTGCTGTTATACTAATAATCCTATGACCCGTTGAAATTAATGAAATGACCATATGAAAAGTGGTACTATAGTATTTTTTATATTTTATACAATGTATACCAAATTATTCTTCTCTTCTCTTTCTTCCGCTTACCTTCACGTCTTCTCATCTTTTCTCTTCCTCTTCCCCTTCTCTCCCCTTCTTGTCTTCTCCTCTCTCATCCTCCCCTCCCCTCCCCTCCCCTCCTTGTCTTCTCCTCTCTCATCCTCCCCTCCCCTCCCCTCCTCTCCCCTCTCCATTTCAAATATTATATTATATAAGTTTTTTCGTATAAGAACATATATTATAATATAATTTGAAAAAGTTATATATTATAATATAGTCTATAAAAAAATATGGACAACATATTATATTATAGTATAGTTTAAAAAAAGTTTTTAGTAATTTTTATGTGAATCATAATTAGTTTGTATATTATTTAAATAGTATCGTTATATTCTTCTGTTGTTTTGTCGCATTTGTCGAATACGATTAGATAGCAAAAAAGCCATTTTATGATTTTTGAACATAGATAATGTAAATTTCTGTATTTGCATTTTCTTGTAGACAAGTCTCTAGCAAACAATCTAATTTACGCGATGAATAAACTAAACCATCTAACCAAAAGATCATATAGACTGTTGTCATTTTACAAAGAAGATTTGAGTATATAAATTCTTGCGGCGATCATCTTCTTCTAATCTGTGATGTAAATTGTTAAATAAAAATTTTTTAAAAAATGTATGATACTTTTGTTTTTTCGTTCTCAGTGAACAATCTGACCATTTTCAACACCTAATCCATACAAAACACCAGAATACTTCTCCATGGAACCAATGAAGAAGTTCTCCTGAAGCTTCCTGAATGTACACGAGGTCAACAAGCTATCAGATCCCGCCTGGTGACAAATCCCGACTCGCTCGACCTCGAGCAGCTCCGCCAACTTGTTCAGTCCTCCATGGAGGCTGTTGCAGAACTTCATCAGGTGCTTGATATCGTAGACCCTCGGGAAATACACACCGATCATCTCGAAGAAGCCGCCCTGAGTCTCCGGCAGGTTCTGACAGGTCAAGAGCTTCAGCAAGTAGCCGAAGTCGTACCCGCTGTGAAACGTGACCCAGTGGACGTTTTCGTTCAGGACGATCCCGGAGGACATGAAGAGCTCCGCGAATCGACTCGAGTCGATCCCGATCTGGTTGTTTTTCGCGAAGTCGATGCCGGACTGACGGAGAAGCTCGATGGAGTCGTGCGCGAAGATGTCGGAGGCGAGGTCGAACTCGCGGAAATTGAACTGCCAGATGCAGAATTTGCCGTCGGATCCGCAGGTCGGGAGGTTTCCTTTCTCGTCGGAGAAGGTGAGGCCGAGCTGGATCATCTTGAGGAGGTTGACGTTCGTCCTCAGGGTTTCGTAGTGGTACTCGGTGTTGGTTTTGAAAGTTCCGACTGGTCTGCAGACGATTCCGGGGAACTCTGTGTCCATGGCGACGAAAGGGAAGTCGTCGACGACTTCTCGGATCAGCGCCATCTCTGATTCCAGATTGTCGTTCCACACCTCGCGGATTTGAATCGAGTCGTCTTTCAGAAACAGCGACATGATGATGATGATGATGATGATGATGATGATGATGCGAGAGAGATTGGAGAAGAAATCGAAGAAGCGTGCGACGGATCTAGAGCAAGATCCGATCCGGTTCCATTATTTACTGCAATCGGTTCAACAAGAAAGAGAAGAAGAACTCAGTAAAATTCAACGAAAAAAAGACTCGTGAATGCATCGATGTTTATATACGAATGAGAGGAGGCGATTTTTAAGTCGGCTGATTTCGAACCTCGAAATCAAGAAAAGTAGAATGATCTTTCTGGGGAAGGCGGCGATTGTCAAGGCTAGGGTTTCAGAGGATGCTCTGGGTTTATTATTTGAAGAGGATATATATATAAATCACCGACTTTACGCGTCTCGGCTTTTTTACATTTTTTGTTAAAACCTCACTCTCTCTCTCTGATCACTCGACCACTCACTTACTTTCTCTCTCTTCTTGTCTGAAGCTTAATATATTTTTTTTTATTCTAACAAAAAGCTGTTTATTTCTCTTGACTCGATACAAAATTTTTTTCTTTCGTTTAACGTATCTAGAATTTGTAGATCACGAACGCATTCTCGTCACTCTTCCTCTCCAATATAGAAGTAGGAAGTTTTCTGAGAATCTTTAGCGAACAAAAGAGTGTGTGCTTCACGAGTTATATAAAACAAAAACTAGTCATATATTCAGATTCAGACATGACACTCTTTGTCTAATTGCACCATAAGAAAAGGTAATCTCCAAAGTCAAATACTCATATTATAGAACTTCAATTTTTATTACCACTGGCATTAGCCAAAACATATAAACCCCAATATTCTTTTACAAATGAAGATGTCAACAGATATACACCCAATGACCCAAACTAGAAAAATAAAAGAAGTTAAAACAGAACAGAAGCAAATAAGGACTCACCAATTTTCAAACTTTCTATTAAGAGGAACGAGGGAAGGAGAAAGAGAGAGAGAGAGAGAGAGATACAGATGGTGGATGATTTCAGCTTATTCCCAGTTGCAGACTCCATACTTTGTATCTGCTTATATAAGCCAAATGATGCTGAATTATTGTAGACGATGTGAATGGGTGATACATTACGTGAAAACTATTTGCACACCGGAGATCAGACAGCTAAGTCGCCAGATTCGAAAATGTTAGAGGATTGAGATTTGAACAGACTCCATATTTGTTTTTATAATTCCAATCCCCTAAAAGAATCAAAATACTCATCTCTGAGGAGGATCAACCGTCCTGACATTTGCACCTGTCATCCCTTCAATCCTATCTTTGGTGATATCCACAAAGTGACCAATCACTTCATGAAACTGCTTAAGTCCCGATAACGGTAGTATGATCGAGGACCTGTCAGAACCTGCCACCTACATTTTCATTTGCAATAATGTGTTAAAAACAAAGCTCTCAAGAGTCAAAACAAACAAATAAAGCTAATACCTCAGATATCCTCAGGAAATGTCCCCTGTTGTTGTTCCCAAGATCAAAGAAGAACCGTTTCTGATCAGCTCTGATCACCTTCGAAACACCCGTCATTCCGGTTTCGTCGTGGCCCGGCGAGTCAGTTGATCGTTCCACGGTAAGCTCCGAAGAAGACGGCGGTTGGCTACCGTGGCCAGGTATAAATCCAGCTCCGACATCGTCAGAGAGCCCAACCAGATGTTCCTGTGCATCAGAAGGTTTCTGTTTTCAAGAGGAACTGAGAAATGAGACCCGAGTGAAACAGAGAGCTTGATTAACCGACAGAGAGTCATCCAAACCTGATTTGGCATCGCGAAAAGCCCTGAAGCTTCATGGATCTCAGCCAAGATGTTCCTGAAAGCTGCCCATCCTTCATCAGGAGAGCTTCCAGCGGGAACGATGATGGTGCTCCGGTTTCTACTCACAGATGCTTCTGACACCTACAGATCAAACCCAAATCAGAACTGAGAAAGGAAGCTATCAAATCTCATTCAGATTCCACAAACCGCATAAACTTCGAATTCAAACTACACAATCCAATCCGAAGCAAGAACTCAAAAGACTTCAGATTCGTATAGGAAAACAAGAAATTGAAATACCTTCAAGAAGCGTCCCCTCCTGTTCTCACCGATGTCGAAGTAAAACACCTAATACAGAAAAAAAGAGAGAAAAAGTCAACGGCCGTAGCAGAGGAGAGTGAATGAAAAGTTAAAAGAGGAAACCTTGGAATCAAGCTGCAATTCTTTGCTAAAGAGCTCGTGTTCCTCGGAATTGACGTAGTAATTGAAGAGATCGAGGAACCAGGAGATGCCGGAGGAAGGAACGATGATGGTTGACCTCGTCGCCGACGTCTTCTCCGATATCTTAAGGTACCTACCGCGAGGGTTCTCCTTGAGATCAAAATAGAAAAGCTTATGCTCCACCTGCAACGTCTTGCTCACCAATTCCACATCGCTCCCTCCTCCTCCTCCTCCTCCTCCAGCTGCCGCTCCTCCGCCTGAATTCCCTTCCATGTCAAAATCTTCAACCGATCGATCGGCGTAGCGGAAACTCCGAGAAGTTTCGCTGCAATCGCTTCACTGATGAGTTGAATTGACGTCTGATCTGAGAGGTAGAGAGAGTGCGATTGCAAAAATGAGAGATTGAGGAGGATTACGAGAAAAAAATAGGGTTTAAAATCGAACCGGGTTTTTAACCGGATACATTGCTGGGTTGGGGGTTCAAAGTTTTTCTGATTGGTCGGATTCTTTTTTAATCTCCCTCTCAGACATACCTTGTATGAAACTTTTCATTTCTGTTTGGGAAATTGGTCGGATTCAGCAGCATATGTTTTGAATGCATCTATACGATATTATATTAAAATATCAATTACTTGAAAGATTACAATTTAAACAGTTTTGAAAATTACTACACATTGTGAAACAACACAAAATATTTCATAATTTGTTTTCATATATATAAAACAGTGAAAGAAGTTCTTTTTTTGGTACCTGTCATAGAAGTTCTTTGAAGATAAGAAAGAAAAAAAAGTTATTTGAAGATTCTATAGTTGATTTTGAAAATTCCAGAGATAATTATCTTTACTTTTTGCCAAAACAAAAAAAAAAATGATGGTTTTCAATTTAGTGAAAAGTCAAAACGGATCGGTTCAGCGGTACTCGGTATTGTTTAAGTTGAAGATGTGTTATAAGAAGGCGATGCCAGGTAACCCCATAATTACGTAACAGTGATGACTGCGATTAATACTTGCTAATCCATTTATGTTTCACTCATTGTAACTTTGGTTTCTGTCTTTCTGAATTTCTTTGATCTTAGAACCAACATGGCGACTCTCGGCCATATCGCCAGAGAATCATCCGACATCACACGCCTTGCCCAATTTTACAAAGAGGTAAGGCGTTTATAATTAATTCGATTTTTCTCTCTTTTTATCTCCTTCCTCGGATTCATCGAATCCCCTGTTCTGGGTTTGTGTTGTTACAAAACGATGCTCTTGATCTAATTAGCTCGATGTATCGATTACCGATCTTCTCTAGAATCTAGGGTTTTCAAATCGGATAGTTGTGGTGCTTTTGTGGCTGCACGTCGTTTCGAATTTCTGTTTGAGGATTGTCCACGCTTGACAGAGAATAAGAATTGGGATTTATTTTATATATACATCACTTGTTGTAGTCACACTCTTTCGTAATTTTAATCCTTACTCATTTTTCTAATAATTTTTCAGGTATTTGGGTTTGAGGAGATCGAAAGCCCTGATTTCGGAGACCTAAAGGTGGTGTGGCTAAACTTGCCAGGTGCTTTTGCAATGCACATAATCCAGAGAAACACTTCAACAAATCTTCCAGAAGGTCCTTACAGTGCCACCTCAGCGGTTCGAGATCCGAGGCATCTCCCAATGGGTCACCATATCTGCTTCTCCATCTCCAACTTCGACTCTTTCCTTCGCTCTCTCAAGGTTTTGTTTCTCTGGCATTGCTGTTGTCTCGTTTACATGAGAGCTTTGATTATATATGATCATGGTTGGTATTGAATTTTTAACTGATTGTAACAGTTATGCTTCCTCAGAAGCTCAAAGCTTTACTCTGTTGAGTCTTTTGATGATCGTCTACTGTTCTGTAACTGTTTCAATGTTGACTGTACTTATTTCTCCTGAGTAACTTCATTGATCTTCTCTCGTCGTTTGAATGATGTTAGGAGAAAGGGGTAGAAACTTTCGAGAAGTCTCTTCCTGATGGAAAAGTCAAGCAAGTTTTCTTCTTTGATCCAGATGGTAATTAATCTCTTTACCGATGCTTAATATTAATTCCCAAATAGTTTGTACTCTTGTCATTCCAGAATTAAAGCATTGAATACATAATAAACAAGAATTGTAATTTGCAATTTCTTGGATGCTTGTTAATGTATGTTTTAAACTAACAGATTATGCTGTCAATTTTTGCAGGAAACGGATTAGAGGTTGCAAGTCGATCTGAGTCTTGAAGCGGAAGTTTGTGGTATGAGAGTACGTGTACGTAGAATTTAAATAAAAGTGAAAATAATCAGCTGTTGGAACACGATAATAAATGTAAAGAACGTGTTCCTGTTCTCGTTTCTTAGCTGGAGAGTTTTGGAACAATCTTGAGTCTATTATGTTTAGGTTTGATGTTCACTTCTGACAACTTACGCTTCGAATCTCATGTGCTTTGAATGTTGGACGTATCGCATTAATGACCTTTTCTTGTCTACTAGTTCCCATGTCCTTGTAACAACAACGAAGAGAGAGAGAGAGAGAGATGGTTACTAGAGAGAGAGAGAGAGAGAGAGAGAGAGAGAGAGAGAGACTTAACTAAGAACAACCATGCATTCATATAATCAAGATATTTTCTCTTGGTGCTGAATCCAAGAAAATCAGGATTTAGACGTGGTCCGGTCACACACCCGGTTCAGGGTTTGACAGATTCTGGCTCCAATGATGACTAGCTGAACTAAACCGAAATGGTCATTTGCAACTATTGAAAGTATAACAAACCGATTATCCCCAAAATATGATAGCAAAATAGAGAAAACTTGTCTCAAAATTTTTGTCTAAGAAATTAAAAATAACATCAATTTGTGGGGCTAAGTTGTTGTTCATAAACCAACATGTCATGGGCATAGTTGTCTTAAGGCATTAGAAACATTCTACAACTTACCATAAGATTATCAAGAAACGTTTTAATCGATTGATCCATCACTCGCCGTTTTTGTGGTTGTTATTAGGTAACAACAAATCTGATAGCTATATATTTTTTGGTAGTGTCCCACATAAACTGAATTTATCCGTAGGAAAGATGAGTTCGAATCTTTTCTGGTGCCGGATAATTACGCAAAGTGGTACCACCGGTCCATCCTCGGCAAGATTATAGCCACAAGGCTGTGCATTTCAGCTCAGGACGTTCGATTTTATCTGTAACCAATATTATATTTTCGGTCTCTCTGTAACATTTTTGAATGTGTAAGTGAATTGATCCGATGTAAATATGTATCAAGAGAATTTGGATAATGATTTTATTGGTTAATTTATTCTTGTTATTCATTTCCAAAGTTACAAATTCCTTCAAGACTCAAATATCATGTGAAAAATGCAATATTCATATAATATAAAAGTGAAACCAAAACACATATATACAACTCTTAAATAATGCAAAGTGAGATAAAAGCCAATGAATAAAAAAGAGTTATAAGATATGCAAGAACCATGAATATCCTTTATGTTTAGAATTATTCGTATCGACACCAATTTATCAATCTTCATCATATATATACTAATATACTATAGTGATAGTCACTTAGCTTAACATTTTTAGGGTTTTTATTTATGTCTAATCAGCTACCACCCCATTGATCAGGTTGGTCGGACCAGTGAAAAGTCGACTTGACCTTGTGGTTCGGACCGGTGGACCAGAAGCAGGACCACAGTAGGGGAGTAGGCGTACTTGAACTAACATCTTTTGGAATTTACGTCATGATGAGTGGACCAATCTAGGTGGTGGATAAATTTTCCTCGTGAGCTTTTTTTTCTTCTGTAATTGCAAGGACAATCATTCTCCATGTTTTGCAGTTTTTGTAACTCTAACTATATTATATGTTTATATAAATAAATCAAAATTATTAAATAACATTCACGAATATAGAAAAAGAAATGACTCCCCATGTTGAATGCAGCTTTTGTATGTCAGAGTCCAGAAAGAAAGTAAATAAATACAAAATTAGAAAGTATAAAACCAAAATAAATAAAATAAACTAAAAAAGTAAATATCTGGCCTTCACCATTCACTCGAACGTACAACACCATTTAAGGGGGTATAGCTGACTCCGTTGCTTTTTCTCTTTTTGTAATCTACTTTGTGATGAATCTTTTCATCTATGTTATACACACATGTGAAGTAAGGATCTTGATAACTGTAGTTAGTAACTTATTAAAATAAGTAGAGTTAGTATGTTTTGCAACTCGCAACACAAGTGCTGTGGTGATTGGTGAACATAGTCAACATTCAGACGCTTGGTAGCTGCATTACGATTCTTGAAAATGAGAGAAAATTGATAGTAAGTGTAACTCACTAATTAGTTAATAAATTTGTGGAAATGCTTTAAAATGATAAAATATTATGAAATGAGTATTTTATTGGAGGGAAGTTGTGAAAATGATTTATTTTATAATTTTTATAAATATCAGCGCTACTTTTCTAACTACTGTTATTTATAGACTAATGATACATTAAATGCAGACTACTGACAAACTGATTAGTTAAATAATTGAATGTAGATTAATGGTAGACTAATTACAAATTACTGGTAGATTAATAACATATTGAAAACAAACTAGTAGACTTTTCTTATCGGAATGGTCATATTTTATAATAAAATTATCAAGTTAATTATTTTAAAAATTATCCTAATAAATTTTGTAAATTACATAATTATCCTTATCTCAATAATGAGACATTGTTGTGACTTGTGAATATATATATGCTACTACAAAATAAGACACCAAATCCAATTGCTCTGAACATTTATTCTCTTAACTCTCTCTCTCTCTCTCTCTAAAAAAATGCCAAAAATCTTGTGGAAAAGCCTACATCTTTGCTTCCCGTCAAATCTCACAAAATGCTATTTATCGCCGTGCCTTCCTCCCGCCGCCGCAGAAGCCGACGATCCCAGTCTTCCCTCCATCGTTCTCATCAACAACTTCAACCTTCTCTACCACGACGACAAAAATCACCATCAACGACGTGTCGTTGACTTACCTTCCTCCTCCTCCACCGCAACTACATCCTCCTCTTTCGCCACGTCATCATATGAATCCGATACTCACGACATTTCTCCTGATGTATCCGCCGCTTTCGCTTCCCGTCGCTTCTTCTTCTCTTCCCCTGGCCGATCCAATGCAATCACCGACTCACCCGAAACCCGGTCAAGAGAACTCTCTGTCTCCGATAATTACGACAGTGCCACTATCAAGATAGCAGAGAAGGATCGCTACGATACTTCCGTGAATACTACAACGAGGCTTCTAAGCGGAGGACATGCCGTGAAGCAACATGTGTTCTCACCGGATCCGTTAACTGACTTCCGGCGATCAATGCAGGAGATGATCGACGCCGCCATGGTCGCCGGGGAACTTAGCCATCCAGACGACGGGTACGATTTCTTGAACGAGTTGCTACGCAGTTATCTCTCGTTGAATCCAACCGACACACACAAGTTTGTTATCAGAGCTTTCTCCGACATTCTGGTCTCACTCTTGTCTGAAGAACGTCGGATATGATGACGTGGTGTCCGTCGGGATAAAAAAAAATCTCCCAGTGTAATCAATGCCCCACATGGTTATTAATTAGGAGAACCTAACCCCATTTTTTTTGTTCCATTAACGTCTTTAAGGAAGAGTAACCAAGCAATCCAGAAGAACTACTGACAGATTTATCCTTTTATATATTTTATTTTATTTGTTTGAATGTTTTATTAAAACAATCTTCAACTTCGTAACAGAGGTTAATATTTTTGCAAGCATTAAGACCGAATGGTCAAATGTAATTATTGTGTAATGATATGTTCCTTAAGCAGGAGGCGTGTGCATAATGGTTTGGGTTTTTTTTCTTCTTCTAAATCTGTTTTGATGATTGAATGATGCTAAAACTTAAAACCCAAAAAATAATTGAATGATGAAAAGGATAGAAGAAATATGTATGAGATATATTTTAAATATTGACATGTATATTTGGTTAGATATTATAAAGTTAGATATTTTGTTGACGAAATAAGGACAAGAATGAAGAAACTAAAATCTTCTAAAATGTTGGATACTACTTCTACAACTTTACATATACTAGACATACTATGAGAGTGAAAAACAATATTTCTTGATTTAACGTACCACTCAGAGAATTGTCAACATAATTATAGGCAGAACAAAACATTTGAATTGGTAGCAGATTTCTAATGATGTGGACAAAACCTGTTTCGGAGGTAGTCTCCAAATTCAAATGAAATAAATTAAATAAATTTCTTGTCATTGTTAAACTTATTAATTAACAAATGTATACGTCCAAAAAAACTTTATGCGAAGAGTTAAAATTGAACTTGGCCTTTTGATCAATGAAGAATAAGGCTGAGTAGTACAGCAAAGTATCACCAAAGTTCAAAGCTGAAGGCATCGATAAACTCTCTATAGTTGTGCTTATATTGTATCAAGGCATTAATTTTTTTTTTAATATTAGTATATTACTAAGAATCAAAACTGTAGTAAAGGGGAAAATAATTTATGTTTTAAAAGTTCTATAAAGTAATGTTTTGTTTTCATTAAATATTAACCAAAGACTACTTCTTAATGTTTTCTAGTTACTACATCATATAGTATTTGATTTTCTTCTGTATGTGTAGAATTAAAATTTCTTTCAAGATTGTATCATGTATCATAAAATCAGTTTTTTTATGTTACATATTTAAAAATGAAAATGCATGGACATATATAAACCAAAATGAATGCTACATATCTTTTTTCTTTTCTCTTTGAACAAAAGTTTTGAATGCTACATATCTTGCTTGTTTATGTACAAAGCTATAAAGAAATATTGTTTGTACTTAGATTAAATATTGAAATCTATTCTTTTTTGCTTCTTTCCATTAGATTTAACACATAACACAATGTGAGACCAAACAAAATAATTGAGAATCCTAAGAGACGGATGTTGGAAGGTCCACTCGACCAAATAAACTATAAACTGTGGGTAGCAATTTTTAAGTAATGGTCTAATTAATTAAAAACAGAGTATTAAAAAAGTTAGTTGGTTTAGGTAAAAATAAAACCATACATGTTGTCTTATTCACTCAAGAAGTAGAACTAGCCTCTAGACCCTCTCAATTGCGACAATTTTGTGAAACCAAACACAATTGAAATTAATCAGGACATGATGATATACAGGTCTAAATAATTCCCATTCGTAACACTTTGAATAATTAAT